TGAGGGGTAGATATAGAAACGAATCCTGAATCATTGGCAGTGGAAACAACTATCCGACTCCTCTAACCATATTACTATGGCAACAATGTCAAGTAGCAGTAGATGTCTTGGAAACCACTTTTAAGATGGAATTGAATTATTATTACTATTTCCTTTAATTCCTAGAGGAACATAGGGTTTCAGCCGTGCGTCTCCACTGCGTTCGATTCTTTGCTAGAGTTTCCACCTGGCTCCAAGTCTGCCCACATGCTTTCATCTCCTCTTCACATGACCTCCTCCAAGTCACCCTCTCATTGACGATCAACTCGCCGCTTCCATTTCGGGTTCCACTCGAGCAATGGCTTGTCTAGTGATGTCACTTGATGGTTTGTTTCCTCAGAGTATGGCCAGTCAATCCATCTCCATTTCTTCCTGCCTATTTGTTGCACAATCCGTTCCCGCTCGGTTGGTTCGCTCATTGCCAGAGATTCATCCCTGCCGCTGATCTTTTCTAACCGGCTATCTGATCTTGAGTATTGAGCGAAGACAACTGTTAATGAAGGTCTGTAGTTTGTTTGAGATGCTCTTCAAGACGTGCCAAGTCTCTGATCCATAAAGTAGCACTGAATTCACATAGGAGTTGAAAATCCGTATCTTATTTCTCATGCTGATTGCTGTTTACCTCCACACAGACTTGAGAGTAATGAAAGCTTGACTTTCTTTCCCGATGATCCTCGCTTTGATATCCTCTTCAGTTCCATCCGCCTGTAGTTGAAACGATGTTTCCCATGTAGGTAGGTAAAAGAGGTTGTTTCTTTCAGGTTCCTTCCATTTATGCTGGCCGATTGTTGTCTGTTATTGTTGTTGTTGCTGTTGGTGTTGGCCAGGAATCTTCATTACCTCTGTTTTCTCTATGTTCACCTGAAGTCCTATCTTTGATGCTTCTTCTGCTAATTTGTTGCTTTTCGCTTGCATATCTTCCAGTTTGTGGGAAATCAGACATATGTCATCATCGGCGAAGTCCAGATCCTCCAAGTTGGTTTTTTGTGTGAGTCCATTTTATGCCTGTTTCCTCATTGCCCGCCGTCTGTCGCATTATCCAATCTACGGAAATCAGGAAAATCATTGGCGAAAGTAGTCAGCTAGCTCGTCTTACTCCTGTCTTCACTTCGAAGGGTTCCGTAAGTTTCCCGTTGTGGATTACTTAGCATGCAGCATTGTCGTACAGCTGTTGGATGAGATGTATAATTGTCGGTGGCACCCCGTAGTAGCGAAGTAGTTCCCAAATTACCTCTCGATCGACGCTGTCGAAGGCCTTTCCAAAGTCGCTGAAGTTGAGATAGAGGGGTGACTACCATTTCAAACTCTGTTCAATGATGAACCGTAGTGTGGCGATCTGATCAATGCATGACTTGTTTCTCCTGAATCCAGCCTGTTCCGGTCGAAGTTTTTCATCCAGTGCATGTTTGATTCTCTCCAGGATGATGCGGCTCAGTATTTTGCTTGCGATGGGCAGGAGCATAATTTCGCGCCAGTTCTTGCATTGACTTAATTGTCCTTTCTTTGGTAGTTTGAATAAGTATCCCTTCTTCCAATCTTCAGGTACTTTGCCTTCTTTCCACACCTTCTCCAGTAATGGCGCCATCAAGTCCGCTGTTGTCTCTGGGTCCGTTTTCAATGCTTCTGCTGGGATTCCATCTGGTCCTGCCGCTTTTCCAGCTTTTAGCATTTTGATTGCCTTCAGGACTTATGTTCTCGTCAGGGGGTTGGTGTTCGCTGGTAATTCTGCTTCCGTTGTTGGTATTGTTTGGCGCGTTGTAGGTGGCGGTCGGTTTAGTAGTCTTTTGAAGTGTTCAGGCCACTGTTTCCTTTGTTCCACTTCTTCAGTGATTGACTTTCCATTGGCATCCTTCACTGGCTTAATTTGTGTCAAACTTTCCCCGATAGGTACCTAGTTGTTTGGTAGAGTGTTGTGAGGTCTCCTTTGCCTGCACTGCAGCTTGCTCTGCTTCCCTTGCCATGGCTTCGTAATATTTTCTTTTGTCTTGCCTGGCACTCTTCTTTACTCCTTTGTTCAGTGTATTGCAGCTTGCACTCAGCTACTGTTTTTGTTGTTCGTTGATGCACTGGAGAGTCTTTTGTTTCACCATCGTTCTTTCTTCTATTAGTCTCCAAGTGTCCATAGTGAGCCACTGTTTGTCCTGTCTCTTCTTTCTGCCTAGAACTTCCATGCAAGTTTGACTCCTAACTGTTTTCAAGTTGTTCCAGTACTCTTCGACGCTGACCTCTTCGCTAGTTTTGATTTGTGTCTCGGCTTTTCCTTTATGCTTGCAGTGAAGATGTCCTTTTGTCCCGGTCCTTCAGTTTTTGAGTGTTGAACTTGGTTTGTGGTCTATCTGCAGCTCCTGCTTCTCTGAAAGCTTTTAATTCGATTTGGATTTCCCTTGTACGAGATAGTGGTCTGAGCCAACGTCTGCTCCTCTTCTTACTTTTGTGTCCAGTAGGCTGCGCCTCCACTTCCTTGAGCAGCATCGAGATGAAGTCAATTTGGTTTTTGGTTCGCCCATCTGGTGACACCCATGTGGCCTTGTGGATATCCTTGTGTTTGCATACGCTGCTACCTATCACTAGTTCACTGAGGCGCAGAAGTCGGCGAAGAGTTCTCCATTTTCATTCATCTCTCCGAGGGCTTCTTTACCCATGGTGAGTTCCCTTCCTGTGTTGTCTGATCCCAGTTTGGCGTTCATGTCTCCCATTAGTATTTTAATGTCACCAACTGGAGTACTGTCCATTGTTGCCTGTAGTTGTCTGTAGAATTCTTCTTTCTTTTCGAGGTCTGCGTTGTTTGTCGGTGCATAGCATTGTATAACTGACACTTTCCTTCCTTTGGAGTTGAATCTGGTGGTCATTATCCTGGGCGAGATCGCCTCCCATTGCATCAGGGCCTTCGTTGCCGTTGATGACATCATGATAGCCACGCCCTCGGTGTGCATGTGGTCATCCTGTGGGTGACCGGAGTAGATCACTGACTCTCCCATTGACAATTTGATGAGTCCATTCCCGTTCCATCTGCTTTCACATATTCCCAGTACTTGAATTCCGTATCTTTTCGTCTCGTTGCAATCTGGGAAGCTTTGCCAATCTCGTACATGGTGCTGACATTCCATGTCCTCACACGGACTTTTCCTTTTGGCGCAAGGAGTTTCATCGTGCTGACGTTTCTGTAGCAACTTTGTTTACAGAGTGGGGTTGCTAGCCTCACGCCTGAGAAAGGGGTTGTTACATTAAAATATAGTTTAGAGAGAAGCGACCTTGTGGGTTCCTCCCCTTGAAACCAGGAAAACGGGGAATAAAACAATCAGAACAACAACAGCAAAGGAAAATTATTCACAACAGGAAGGGCAACAAGCGACAACAACAATAAAAAAGCAAAACGTAAGCAGTTGTATCAAATTCAGATACACTTAACAAAAATGATATCAAAATCATAGATCCACTGACTAGAAGTGAATTATGCTTGTACAACTATACTCACTTGAATAATAACAAAGAATAACCGGAATAACCGACTCACTTCCGATACCTCTTCATGCATTAGGGGTTATTACTGAGGTTATATTTGTCCCCATTCGTGCACAAAAGATTATCGCCCGTGATTAACTCGTTCTCACATAATCATCCAGAACTTCACAGGTTGCACCTGAGTATTGGAAGGTCAGCAGAAGCTACATTATTATATATTATATTATAGTGGCTCTTCAAAGTCTGGCAACACGTGCCAACTTAAAAGACAAGGACTCAACTGAATATCTTTGTCTCAAAGGAGTGGGTCAAATATTCAGTGTTATTTTCACTAGTTAATGTAAGTAAAATCAATTACTGGTAAACTTTTTACTGCTGTGGCCTTGGTTGACCCTAAAGAAACTGGCGAGGGGATTGAATGTGTGAGGTTTGTACTAGGTGGTGTTCTAAAACCGTGTTGCTGATTTGAATGGAGTTGATAGTGTTGCCTGTAAGTCGTCAAGTGCGGCCGATAGGAGAGACAGTAATCATGACAATAGATACAACTAACACATTGCGCAGACTTAAAAAGGAAAACACAAAGAGACAGATAATACAACTGTTTAAATAAGTGAATAAAAATGATCAGAGTAATAATTATGGAACAAGTGAAGGAATGGGTAGGGTGGTTTGAATGGTGAGAGAAGGATGAATCTACAGTTTTAAGGGGCGAGTTTTAGATGTATAGTCATAAATAGTATGGCGTGTCAGTTTTAAGTGGACAGACCATTTGGATGTAGCCATTGTGTTTCTGTGTGATTATCCAGACTCCGCATGAATCTTTCGGCATGCTCTGTGGTAGCAGAGCTACTGATTAGGAGTTCCAGGGGCTGGAAACTTGAGAGGAGAAGGATTGGAGGAGGATTTGGCTTCTTGCTGTTTAATGCGCAATATTTCACAGATTGCCACAAGGAAGCCGGTAGCAACTTAACGGCATAATACCTTTGTTTGGGTGATTCCGGCCTTTTGTAATCTTGTAGGCAGTAGTTAGGTCATTCCACATCAATTTGTTTGCCAGATATATCACATACCGAAACAGTATTATCCGCTGGATAACTCTTCAAACACAATTTACTGAGATGATACCATAATCACTTAGGTAACCCCTAAGGCTGTTATATTTCTGCTGAGGAAAATAATGAAAATAGACGCTATCGACTACTACTGACGTAATAGCAGCCCACTTGAAATTTCAGTGCTCAAGACACAAATGCAATTAGTAGTCACTAGGATCACATTTACAAGGAAACAAAGAGTAAAATCTAGATACCAGTTCTAGAAACAAAAGCTAATTTCTGGTTTATGATTTCTCAACAAAGTAGACATACTTAGATATTTTTTATCACTCTAACGTACGGATTAGTTTAAGTTCTGATGTCTTTATAATGTGTAAATAGGAATAGACTGCTCCTAAAGTTTGTTTAAGCAATCCATATTTCTGTCATCACTATGTTGTGTGATAAGAGGCTATTGGCACGGATTCAAAAGTTATGAGTAAAGGTTAACAACTTCTTCAGTTACATAATCTTTCGTTCCTTTTTGACATTCACTTAGTTATCCTGCTACTGGAATTTATTTCTATCAGTGATATATGTGAAGCTGACTTACAGGAAGACCCAAAAATTTTGACAGCTTTATTATAATGGCACAAAAGTATAAAGACTCAACCTTTCTTATATATCTCAATTTTGTTAAGATAATTTCAATTTGAGATTGTGTATTTAAACGTGAAACGCCTCACCCTAAGTGATTAAATGAGGAATAAATATGTTATCTGAAGTGGTACCGTAAGCTAAAACTAACTTTGGGTACACTGCAGAATACCAGTGCAAGTATCCTTGAGAAAACAGTCAGATATTTGCTGGTTTTTCTTTATTAAAAAACAGGCGATAAATAACTTTTAGAACGGAACCCTGATAGGTAACTGTGTTACACTTTGATCTCCTCAATGTATGTTGGTACTCAAGCTGCGTTTTTGGATAAGAGGTTCTTCGAACGCGTTTTAAAGAAATACACAGCTTTCCATGTCCGTTAAGCGCGGTCATTTGTCTTCTCTTCGAATAGAAGTTTCATTATCTTTAATACTTAATCTTAAGTAACGCAGTAAAGTGAGATAAGTCTATTTGAGGACATTGAAGATTACCTGAACATTTAAAAAATCAGCTGTTGTTTGTTGAAAGAGACGTGAAGTCACTTTCTGAAACATTTGCGATCGTTTTTTACAATTATAGAGATAACTTACCACCAGAAAACAGAACTGAACCAACTAACTGACTGACTGGTTTCAACATAGAACTTTGCGCCAATGTGCAGCATTTCGAGTCACCACACTTCACTTAGCACACAAAGCCAAAGAAGAAGAAAGTAAGAAGAAACGCAAAATAGGGACAGTAAACAGAGATATGAGGCAAAAGGAATAGTAATATCGAAGAACAATATAGTTTCATTGGGTAGTATAAGTCATAAGGAGTGGATGCATCCGCGCCAGCCATTGATAACGATTATTTTGAGCCACATCACCGATTGTCTTCAGCCTTCGTTGGTGTTTACCGTCCAGAGGACCCCAACCAGTCAGGAAGTCTACACCTTCCTACGTGGCCTAAGCTAACTGTTGTGGATTTTATTGACTGATGAAGCCATGTTTTGGTTTGACCACCACTGGCTCTTTTCCAACCTGACACTATGTCAGCTAACGTTACCTGTCGAGGAAGGCGACATGGATGTGTAACACATGTCCTAACCATCTCAGTCGATGTAGCTTCACAGCCTCGTCTATTGATTTCCCCTCCCTCCTTACTTAGCACTCGAAGCCTGAACTAAACATTGCTCACTTCACTATACCACTTCACACGGAAGATAGAAAGCAGACACCTATGATCAAAGATAGATCGCCTTTTCCTATCTTCCACTTTCAATTGCCATGTCTCCCTGGCAGCCATAAAGGAGGACGGAGTGGACTACTGAGCAGTACACACACCCTTTGGTCGACAGCCAGCCGAATATCACGTTTACACCAGAGGTGGCGTAAACTGGCCTATGCGAAACTAGCCTTCAGTATCCGTGCTGAGATTTTGCCAGCTGTCAACCCGTTGACACTGGCTGATGCAACTTCCCAAATAAGTGAACTGGTCAACACAGTCTACCACTTTACTGCCTATTTCTGAGCTAGGAGTCTGTGTAGTCCAGTCCTGTAACATCATCTTACATTCGGTGGGAGCGAGTCGCATGCCAAACATTCGAAGGTTGCTGCCCCTCAAGGTTTTCAGAAGACTCTGCATTTCGTCAGCGTCTTCATCTAGGAGCTGGACTATATCATCTGCATATTCTAAGTCAACGAGATTATCCCCTGGTAAAAAGTAATCCTTGAGTCGCTGAAGTCACTTAGGGTTAAATCCATTAGTATATCTATGATGAAGTTGAGTAGAAATGGGGACTGTGGGCATTCCTAACGGATACCACCAGTTGTCACCACTTCAGATGACAACTCGCTGTGAGCTCTTACCTGGCTGCATAAGTTCGAGTAGAGTGCCTTGATCAGTGCAATGTATTTTCTCGTCATTCCTTTCACAGACAAACATCTCCAGAGCACCACTCGGTCGACAAAATCGAATGCCACCTTCAGGTAGGTCAAGAAATATAACTATTGTTGGACGCCACCAGCAAGAATGCCTATGTTCTAGAGTCTGTCGTAGGGTGAAGATATGATCAAAACACCCTCTGGTTCTCTCGTGTTTGTTCCTCCCGTGGACCGCTTAGTCTCCGCATGATTATTAAGCCTAGAACTTTAGATACCATATTAATCAAGCTAATCTCCCTGTGATTATCACAAGAAGCTTGTCTCCTTGCTTTTATATGGGGATAGCCAATGACTTACATCAACCCGACGGGACTTACTCTGATTTCCAGACGCTGCCTAGTACCTTAGTTAACGCAGACAGGGAACTGTCTCCACCGTACTTAAACACTTCTGAAGTCATTCCATCAGGTCCTGCTGCTTTGCCTCGTTTCAGACTAGTGACAGCCTTAGTAACCTCACTTAGGGACGGAGAACCTGTGTCTATATCGCATTCAGGGAGATGTTAGACGTTCGTTAAGTTAGGTGAGGCTGTAGGCCAATTAAACTGCTCCTCATAGTGTTCTTTCCAGCGTTCCAGTCGTCTATTCTAGCAGCTAATTATGGTGCTACTTTTCTCAGAGATTGTTTCACTTATCGCTTGTCTTTTACCACATGTTTCCCTTATAACCCCAAATAGTTGTTTGGTGTTACCTATCGCCGATGCCTTTTCCACCTCTTTCGCTTTTGTTGCCCACCACTGTTCACGGTTGCCATCAAGACTTCTTGTTAGTTTGCGTTTGAGTAGCTTTCGCTCCTCATCATAATTGGAGCTCACCGGAATCAGTCTTCTTGCGTCATTCATTTTGGATGAGGTGGTAAAAATCCAATGGATCTTACTAACTTTAGGTTTCAGGTTATTAACAGCCTTTACAGCTGTGTCTACAGCTAACTGTATGTTGTGCCCGGCTTCCTCAGGAGGAGTCCTGCTGTCGACCTCAGATACTCGTTTCGCTATTTCTTCCTTATATAAAGACTCAGAGTTGCGAACTAGTTGGAGACGTAACTGCTGCGTTGCCAACAACCATTTTTGTCCGTTTAGTCGTGAGCATAAGCGTGCACGAACCAGGGCGTGATCGAAGTTTATGCACGTGCTCCCGAAGGAGCGGCAGTTTTCTCTTCTAATGACCCTCACTAAAGATACCCTATCACTATGTGGTCTATCTGAGTCCAGCGTCCACCTGGAGGTCACCAGGTTACACAATGTCTGTCTTTGTGCCTAAAGTTAGTGCTGACTGGGAACAGATGACTATCTAAACAGAAATGTAGAAGACGATCACCGTTGAAAATTCGTCGGCGTTGAGCTCCACACGTACCACCTACATACTTCTCAGTCCAACACAACTTTCCTACTTGGGCACTGAAGTCGCCTGCTAAAATAACTATATCTAAACGTTTTGCTTTATGCAGCAAATTAGACAGTTTCAGGAAAAGTCATCCTTTAGTTCATCCGAACTACAGTCTGTTGGGGTGCAAGTGAAGACTAAGAAAAGACAATGGCATGTAACGCCATCCTTCCTTCTCCTGATGGATCTGTCCAGATGAACCGCTCACAGACGATTATCTATTGGGATCCATTCAAGAAATGATTTTCCTGCCCAAACACTCAATAATATCCCTGCACTGTGAGTCCTCGCAAACTAGCTGAGGAGTCTACTGATACCCTTAAAGTAATTTTTGCAGATTCACCTTGTTGGCCGGGCGTGCCTCCAAAACACAACATACATCCATGGCTCGAGATGCCAGAGTTCTTGCTAGTGGTGCTTGTTGTCCGATTCGGCAGAGGTTCCCGACGTTAAATACTCGTATATGAACCAAGCTGGGGTACACAGGTATAATGATGCACAAGAGTGCAGGAGTCCAAACTGTCACAGTTCACAAAACCACAAATGAAGGTAGAAATAAAAGAAATGCAGTAAAACCACAATAAACGGAAATGTACTGGAGAGAAGAGATGAGGATAAGTGGGGATTTCCAGAATCTGAAAGGTCATACGGAGCAAACAGATCTGCTCCATTGAGATCGATTTCGAGCCATGTCACAAAAAGCCTCCAGCCATTGACTCTTGACATCTCGAGGATCACATCAAGACAGTCTACACTTTTCTGTATTACTCAAACCATAGCCGACGGTCAGGTGTTTGATGAATCAGTACCATGTTCGGCTTTGAAAGCTCTGAATTCTCCTGCATCCTAAACCTATTTCAGATAACATTGTTCGCTCAAGCACACTTCCATCTTTTTTACCTCCAATGCATTCCTTTTCTCTGTAATTTTATGATATGTGGTAAATTGGGTTACCACACTTTTGTGTCGAGTTAGTCACACCTTTTTAATGGTTCTGTGGTAAAAACTTACATATACTACTTTTCTGTTTCATGGAAAAGACCGTGACGTTTGACTTGGTTGCCTTTTATTCGGTGGTATATTGTTTGGTTTTCACAGTTTGAACATGAATCTACTTTTATTATTTTTTTAGACATCACTAAACACAAACTTCAGAAATATCTGAACAATTAGAAGTTTTTCAAAAGCAACTGAGTAGATCATTCTGTTGATGTTCATTGTAATAATTATCTCAGTATATGCGTTATTGATGACTTCTTAAATAGTTTGATGGGGTATTCTTTCAAATGTTTTGCTGACTAATTCATTGTGAATGTTTTTATTATTCACTGAATAATCTGTATGTTATGTAAACTACTTATATATCTTTTAAGTGGAATCTATGCTCATTGACTGACTGGTCTATTATTAAGTTAACACAGTACTCTACAAAAGTATATATTGGTCTGTGGGGAGAAACCACACTTAAAATCATACTATAACCCATGAAGTGTATCGGTGGCAAAGCGGATAGGACGCTCGCCGACCATGAACATGGTCCGGGATTCGATCCCCTGCCGACGTACTCCTTTACCTTGCTTAGCTAGTAATAAGACTGGTGAAGAGGAAAGGTTGGGCATGAGGCTAGCAACCCCATCCTGTAAAATAAGCACTGCCACAGAAACTTCAAGCCACTAGCTTGAAGCCCTATGTTCCACTGGTGGACGTGAAGGATAAAAAAATAACCCATGAAAATGTGTGACAGAGAGAAGAGGAGCATTGATGATATTCAGAATATGGAAGGTGACTAAGAATGAATATATGTTCATCATTGTCAACGATTTTGAACAATGTCAACAGGAATCTCTTACCATTGACACCTACCACCCTCTACGAAGTCTAGAATAACAGTTAGTAAGTTCATGAAATAGTGTTATTTCTGCCTTCTTAATTTTCAACTTTCTACCATCCTAATGCTGCGTCAAAATTTTCAACTAGCCACTTAAACGAGTGCATTTATATTCTAAAGCTTAAATACTGACTGATTCCTAAAGACTATCATTAGTATGTCCAGTTTCAATAGTTTAGAATTCAATGTCTTCATTAGAAGTCCGTAATTACAATTTCAACATAAGTTGTAAGTTTGCATTTTCAATCGTTGATTTGTAAGTAAATATGGAATTCCAGTCATTGTTTGATTAACAGATAGTTTCAGATGAATAGTAACTTTTGATAAGGACTGCATTGTAATATCAATTTCTCATTTATGTGCAGATAACCCTTCACTTGTATATATACTCACATAATCCTCTTCAAGTATTATCTTTCATTCTTTTCAGGTAATCGTGCTAAAGGTGGTAAGAACAAAGTAGATGGTGCCTGTGAAAAATTACCTTTGGGTCCAGATTTAATAACAAATGAACAATCCTCTGGATCATACAGACCACATATAATCTATGACAGTTCAATTGAACAACTTCGAATTACCGAGGAGCGTATCCAAGAAGTATGTTTTAGTTGTCCCTTTCTAATTAATAGTCTTCATGTTGTGTCTAATTAAGACAATTTGACCTTAGATTTCCTATAAAAGCATACACGGGTGCAACTTTTCGATTTCTTCAGATCCTAAGTGAATTTATCACAGCTCACTTACCTGTAGCTCTTTGGTCTAACTTGATACACTGCATCATGAATTTTGGTGCTCCCTTGAGAACTTAGATTGATACAGTTTCGTAGGCCGAATTGTGTGACAGTGTTTCAAAAGCTCAATAGTACAATAATTAATAGTTTTCGAGAATAATATGCTCAATAAAGATGAAAATCACTTTATATATATATATATCCAAAGGGGCCAAGTTAAACTTTGAGCACTACTAACTTTCATTGGAGTGCAACCTCACCAATGACCTTGAAACGCTCACTGAGCAAGGTAGTGAAACCTGGCAAATAATGTTGTCACCATCAATAAAATATGCTAATCGAAGTGTTATTCTTTTAAATGGGAAAGCCGGCAAGTCTTAGCTCAGGTTTGAGAAAGATTAAGTTACGGTTTAAGCCAAGGACAAGTTAGGGTTAGGTTAACATAACAAAGGCGACAGTAGGTTTGGTTCGAGTTAGATTACAGTTAGTTTAGGGATATGTTCACGTTAGGATTAGGCTCAGGAAAGATTAGGGTTATTGTAGGGGTTAGAAGACCCAAATAATTACATGCATAGAATGTGTTTAAATTTGTCTGTTGATATAAGAACAAAACTTGTGCACTTTGGTACGGTATAATTCCATTGTGAGTAAAATTTATTTTGATAAAGTCTCACAGTGTTATACAGTAATATTTACTGATGACGTTTCGAGCACAATCTATTGCTCATTAAATATTACCATATAACACTATTAAACTTTAGCAAAATAAATCTTACCCTCAATGGAATTATACTCTGTTGATACTCCAACTGAATGCTATTTTTATCACATGTGAGAGGAAAGTATCCTCTGTAACACTTTAATATAGTTATTAAGCAATTTTTTTAATGAATATTTGTATCCCATAGACAAAAATGCCTCCTTCAAATGATTGATGCGTTCGAGGTTATTTGCTGATTGGTGGTTAGTGGTGCTTAAAAATTAACTTTGACATATATCTGGCAGTATAGAGACCAGACATTCTTAGTGACCACTGATTGACCTGACAATTATTCGAAAAACAGCGAAAATCCCCATTTTGACATTTAGGAAAGCTGCTGATCAGTTCAGTCAGTCTTCATCTAAATATATTCTTGAAGTGTTCCAGAAGTGTTGTCATTTATTGGTTATTACTTCTATTTACTACCATTTCTCACAATAATTTCAACTCTGTGTGTGTACAACTGATCGAGTAATATGAGTAGTTGGATGTCACTCATATATAAACTAATTGATGCCAGTAACATATGGTGAGATACATTTAGATTTGCTTTCTTGACTGCGATTTATGACATCAAGTAGTGCATATACTGTTATCGGGATAATTTCACTTTCCAGCAGAAACTACAGCGGAATTCCACATCCAACTGCATAAATAACAAATCACGGAATGATTTGTAAATTTCGAATGTGACTTAGCTTTTACTTTGTGATTTTATTATCTTGTCGCTGCATCGGGGCATAAATCTGCACTCTGAATTTTTCTTATAGTATCAGTGTAAGATCATGTTTAAATGAGTTGTTTAACATGTTTAAAATTATTAAACAGACGATTGCAGCGAAGAAAATTTTCTTTTCGACGAAGTCATCAACTAGATGATAGCTGTACATTCGTGTATTTTTGATAAATGGGTGGGAAAGTTCCAGAATAATTCCCGGTCAAGGGTCAAATTAATAAAATTACAATTAGGAATTAAAATACCATAATAAACAGGGGGACGGATAAAACTCAAACAAAGTAGCATCATAATTACTGTGGAGATTGACATATTATGCAATTGGGGATTAGAAATGTGGAAATAACAAAATTAGACAGGATGTTCGGATAACAAAATCTAGTGGGATCATAACTAAGGTGACGATCAAACCTTTCAAAGTGAGTAAAATCAGAACGAAACCGTGTATATAGTTCAGTGACAGTACATCTGATCAATTCAGGACATTCAGCGCCATTCGAAAAATCCTTCAAAATAATATACAAGATTCTATCACACCTATCAAAGGGAGTAAAATTAAGATATCTGGGCATAGCCGAGGCACTATCTATCCAAAAGCTCAAACCCACGCTATTTATCCAAAAGAAATACGTCCAACCCTTGTCCCTGCCATGGCCATCATAACACAGGTAATTCTTTTAGCAATGACCATCCCACTACCTTTCTTATCCAAACTTCATGTTTATTCATGTTATTTTTAAGTTTTTCTTAACCCCTACTTACACTACCATATTTTCATATCTGAACCTCCTGTCTTTTTTTTGTCATTTTATTATTTCTACATATTTAATCGTTATATTAGTTATGATCCCACTAGATTTTGTTATCCGAACATCCTGTCTAATTTTGTTATTTCCACATTTCTAATCCCCAATTGCATAATATGTCAATCTCCACAGTAATTATGATGCTACTTTGTTTGAGTTTTATCCGTCCCCCTGTTTATTATGGTATTTTAATTCCTAATTGTAATTTTATTAATTTGACCCTTGACCGGGAATTATTCTGGAACTTTCCCACCCATTTATCACGAATACACGAATGTACAGCTATCATCTAGTTGATGACTTCGTCGAAAAGAAAATATTCTTCACTGCAACCGTGATCTTGATAATTCCTATGTTTAATATTATTGATTTAACTTCATCAGTTTAATAATGAGTCACAGGTGAAAATACTTGCATTATATTAGCAATATATTTGCTGAGTGTGTTCATATTTCCATACTTAGACTTTGATGATGATGATAGCTTGTTACTAATTAGGCTACTAGAATATTTAAACCCGAGAACGGAGTAAGCGGAGTGAAAATATTCAATGTGTACAGTAATTAGTATATCACACAAACTATAGCTGATTGTGTTACAAACTTTTATTAATATTATATTATTGTTTCCTTTAATTCCTACAGGAACATAGGGCTTCAGCCGTGCGTCTCCATTGAGTTCGGTTCTCTGCTAGAGTCTTCACCTGGTTCCAAGTCTGTCCACACGTTTTCATCTCCTCTTCACATGACCTCCTCCAAGTCACCCCACCTTCGCACTGACGACCAACTCGCCGCTTCCCTTTCGGGTCCCACTCGAGAAATGGCTTGTCTAGTGATGTCACTTGACGGATTGTTTCCTCAGAGTATGGCCAATCCATCTCCATTTCCTTCTGCATATTTGTTTCACAATCGGTTCCTGGTTGGTTCGTTCCCAAAGATCCCTGTTGCTGATCTTTCTGGCCGGCCATCTGATCTTGAGTATTGAGCGAAGACAACTGTTAATGAAGGTCTGCTCTGCAGTTTGTTTGAGATGCTTTTTATGACGCGCCAAGTCTCTGATCCGTATAGTAGCACTGACTTCACATTGGAGTTGAAAATCCGGATGTGATTTTTGATGCTGAGTGCTGTTGACCCCCACACAGACTTGAGAGAAATGAAAGCTTGTCTTGCTTTTCCGATTCTTGCTTTGATATCCTCATCAGTTCCGCCTGTAGTTGAAACGATGCTTCCCAGGTAGGTAGAGGAGGTTGTTTCTTTCAGGTTCCTCTCATTTATGCTGATTGTTGTCTGTTGTTGTTGTTGCTGTTGGTGGTGTTGCCCGGGAATCTTGATCACCTCTGTTTTCTCTATGTTCACCTGAATTAAGTCCTATCTTTGGTGCTTCTTCTGCCGACTTGTTGCTTTTCGCTGGCATATCTTCCAGTTTGTAGGAAATCACACATATATCATCGGCGAAGTCAAGATTCTCCAAGTTTTTTGTATGGGTCCATTTTATGCCTGTCCTCATTGCCCGCCGTCTGTCGCATTATCCAATCTACTGCAATCAGGAAAATCATTGGCGATAGTAGGCAGCCTTGTCTTACTCCTGTCCTCACTTCGAAGGGTTCCGTAAGTTTCCCGTTGTGGATTACTTGGCATGCAGCATTGTCGTACAGCTGTTGGATGAGATGTATAAATGTCGGTGGCACACCGTAGTAGCGAAGTAGTTTCCAAATCACCTCTCGATCGACGCTGTCGAGTGCCTTTTCAAAGTCGATGAAGTTGAGATAGAGAGGTGACTGCCATTCCAGGCTTTGTTCAATGATGATCCGTCTTATTATGAAATATATATGAATAAATGTAACAATCTTTCTTCCCAGGCGTGAGGCTAGCAACCCCACTCTCTTAACAAAGCTGTTACAGAAACTTCAGCACGATGAATCTCCTCGAGCCAAAAGAAAAAGTCTATGTGCGGACATGGAATGTCCGCATTATGTACGAGATTGGCAGAGCTGCCCAGATCGCAAACGAAATGAAAAGGTACAGAATTCAAGTACTGGGAATATGTGAAAGCAGATGGAAGGTGAATGGATTCACCAAATTGTCAACGGGTGAGTCGGTGATCTACTCCGGTCACCCAGAAGATAACCACTCGCACACCGAGGGCGTGGTTATCATGCTGTCACCAACGGCAACGAAAGCCCTAATCCAATGGGAGGCGATGTCGCCCAGGATAATGACCGCCAGATTCAACTCCAAAGGAAGGAAAGTGTCAGTTATACAATGCTATGCACCCACAAACAACACAGACCTCGAAAAGAAAGAAGAATTCTACAGACAACTACAGGCAACAATGAACAGTACTCCGGTTGGTGACATTAAAATACTGATGGGAGACATGAACGCCAAACTAGGACCAGACAACACAGGAGGGGAACTCATCATGGGTAGAGAAGCTCTCGGAGAAATGAATGAAAACGGAGAACTCTTCGCCGACTTCTGCGCCTCAATGAACTAGTGATAGGTAGCAGCGTATACAAACACAAGAATATCCACAAGGCCACATGGGTGTCACCAGATGGGCGAACCAAAAACCAAATTGATTTCATCTCGATGCTGCTCAAGGAAGTGGAGGCGCAGCCTACTGGACACAAAAGTAAGAAGAGGAGCAGACGTTGGCTCAGACCACTATCTCGTACAAGGGAAAATCCAAATCGAATTAAAAGCTTTCAGAGAAGCAGGAGCTGCAGATAGACCACAAGTTCAACACTCAAAAACTGAAGGACCAGGACACAAAGGACAGCTTCACTGCAAGCATAAAGGAAAAGCCGAGACACAAATCAAAACTAGCGAAGAGGTCAGCGTCGAAAAGCACAGGAACAACTTGAAGACAGTGTGAAGTCGGAACTGCATGGAAGTTCTAGGCAGAAAGAAGAGACAGGACAAACAGTGGCTCACTACGGACACTTGGAAACTAATAGAAGAGAGAGGGATGGTGAAACAAAAGATTCTCCAGTGCGCCGACAAGCAACAAAAACAGGAGTTGAATGCAAGCTACAAGACACTGAAGAAAAGAGCTAAGAAGAGTGCCAGGGAAGACAAAAAAACGTAACGAAACCATGGCAAGTGAAGCGGAACCAGCTGCAGTGCGGGCAAAGGAGACCTCGCAACACTCTACCATGCAACTAGGTACCTATCGGGCAAAAGTTTGACTTAAATTAGGCCGGTGAAGGATGACAATGGAAAGTCACTCACCAAAGAAGTGGAGCAAAGGAAACACTGGGCTGAACACTTCAAAAGACTCCTAAATCGACCACCACCTACAACGCGCCCAACAATACCAACAACGGAGACAGAGCTACCAGTGAACACCAACCCCCGACGAAATCAGAAGTCCTCAAGGCAATCAAGATGATAAAAGCTGGTAAAGCAGTAAGACCAGATGGAATCCCAGCAGAAGCGTTGAAAATGGACCCAGAGACAACAGCGGACTTGATGACGCCACTACTGGAGAAGGTGTGGAAAGAAGGCAAAGTACCCGAGGATTGGAAGAAAGGATACTTAATCAAACTACCGAAGAAAGGAGACCTGAGTCAATGCAAGAACTGGCGCGGAATTATGCTCCTGTCCATCCCAAGCAAAATACTAAGCCGCACCATCCTGGAGAGAATCAAACATGCCCTGGATGAAAAACTTCGACTTGAACAGGCTGGATTCAGGAGAAACAAGTCATGCACTGATCAGATCGCCACACTACGGATCATCATTGAACAAAGCCTGGAATGGCAGTCACCTCTCTATCTCAACTTCATCGACTTTGAAAAGGCACTCGACAGCGTCGATCGAGAGGTGATTTGGAAACTACTTCGCTACTACGGTGTGCCACCGACATTTATACATCTCATCCAACAGCTGTACGACAATGCTGCATGCCAAGTAATCCACAACGGGAAACTTACGGAACCCTTCGAAGTGAGGACAGGAGTAAGACAAGGCTGCCTACTATCGCCAATGATTTTCCTGATTGCAGTAGATTGGATAATGCGACAGACGGCGGGCAATGAGGACAGGCATAAAATGGACCCATACAAAAAACTTGGAGAATCTTGACTTCGCCGATGATATATGTGTGATTTCCTACAAACTGGAAGATATGCCAGCGAAAAGCAACAAGTCGGCAGAAGAAGCACCAAAGATAGGACTTAATTCAGGTGAACATAGAGAAAACAGAGGTGATCAAGATTCCCGGGCAACACCACCAACAGCAACAACAACAACAGACAACAATCAGCATAAATGAGAGGAACCTGAAAGAAACAACCTCCTCTACCTACCTGGGAAGCATCGTTTCAACTACAGGCGGAACTGATGAGGATATCAAAGCAAGAATCGGAAAAGCAAGACAAGCTTTCATTTCTCTCAAGTCTGTGTGGGGGTCAACAGCACTCAGCATCAAAAATCACATCCGGATTTTCAACTCCAATGTGAAGTCAGTGCTACTATACGGATCAGAGACTTGGCGCGTCATAAAAAGCATCTCAAACAAACTGCAGAGCAGACCTTCATTAACAGTTGTCTTCGCTCAATACTCAAGATCAGATGGCCGGCCAGAAAGATCAGCAACAGGGATCTTTGGGAACGAACCAACCAGGAACCGATTGTGAAACAAATATGCAGAAGGAAATGGAGATGGATTGGCCATACTCTGAGGAAACAATCCGTCAAGTGACATCACTAGACAAGCCATTTCTCGAGTGGGACCCGAAAGGGAAGCGGCGAGTTGGTCGTCAGTGCGAAGGTGGGGTGACTTGGAGGAGGTCATGTGAAGAGGAGATGAAAACGTGTGGACAGACTTGGAACCAGGTGAAGACTCTAGCAGAGAACCGAACTCAATGGAGACGCACGGCTGAAGCCCTATATTCCTCTAGGAATTCGAGGATATGATAATAGTGATTATAATAATAATAATAATGATTGAATGTGTCAAAAAGCAAATAATACTCAGTAATATGCAACCTAAGCTAGCTTTATTTTCACACAGTTCAGATAACAGTAATTCAGCCTGAATTTGTATATTAAATTCTGTCAGTTCTCTGAAACGTTTCAAATATCTTCAGTTTCAAATAATAATTTCTATTTATAAAAATTCCGGCCTATAATTTCTACTGGCGGATGGCCTACTGTACATTTTATAAGTTGACTTTTTTTCGTGAGAGGGATGTTCAAGCGATTAGCCATTTTCAAGTATTGATTCTTAGGGCTTTAGTTGAGAAGATTTATTCACCACTCGACAGATTTTCCGTCTCACTCTCGAACTCTTCACAAGTACAGATCACCCCACAAAAGACTTAAACACGAATCTTCAGGCTATCAGGCGAACATATGACCATCAGCCATTATTGTCAGTCACAATAAATTGCATAACTACACCGAAATTCATTTTTTTGGTTTTATTTGGTATAAACTAAACAGTGAAGTGGTTAACTTTTGAATGAAATCACAGTAGCTTGAAGAAAATGTTTTTATTAAAGAGAAGTCCTCACGATTTTCTGCTTGTCTTAATTTTGTCTCACAAAAAGTTAAAATTTGAATAACCTTTTATATTCGACTAAGCTGGACTACAAAGAAATGTTAATTTCGAATTGTTCACATAGAAGTTTAATTCTTCACTGTAAGGACAACTGAGGCTAGTGGAACAGCCTCACCCTTAAAAGAGGAAACACCAAATACCGGTCAAACAGCGGATGTGAATATACTGGAACATAATAGGAGGAACATGAAGTCTGGAAGTGAAGCAATGTGTATTATTATAACAACAACAAGTACATATTTTAGGCGGGCAGATTTAAACTTCAGACTTAATGTTCAATCATTTATATTTCTTTCGTTTACGTTTTTCAAGAGCTGGTCCATTAAACTTAAATGCCCCAGAGGAAATAAATACGGTTATATTACAATTATAAAGTATACATATCAGTTTCACAAAGGTTACAGCAACATTGTTTAAAATTACCACGTAATCATAAACAATCGAACAATTAAAAATCTGAATAAATTAATTGTAGACGTTAAGATACTAACATTATTTTTCCAGTTAGACCCCGGATTGGTACCAGTTAGAGAACCACTGAATACCAGCTGGAAGTACTGGACAGCTGTTTCATCCTAGTTTGGCAGCATAAACCCACCACCAGAGTCTCCAACCCAGGGTCTTCCAGTTACAAGGTAAGCTCGTACACTCTTCAGCCAGTGGAACCCGATTCAATGACCAGCCCATAAATTCTACCAATTCGTGGTTTTTAGCGTAGCCATCGACCATTGTGATCGGTGAGAACTCCATCCTAACTTCTCACGAGAACTCCAGGAAACTCCTTCCTGTAGAGAGCCACTAGCGAGCAACAGATAAATATCAATCCAGTGGTGTGACTCGAAAAATAAATCAAATCCTTACAAAATGACTCCTGAAAATTATTACTATTACTATTATTCTACTTAATAATAATAATAATAAAATTGTTTGTTATTTTAGAGACTGAAACAATTCGAAGCCGATCACCTGTCTCATAATCTATCTCAAGGATTAGATTCAATAGAGAATTTGAAAAATGTTCTGGTTAGAAAAACAATTCCGGAGAAAGACAGACCGAAACTCATGCGCAAGTAAGTATCTTTTCTCCTTCAAACATAACAGTAAGTATGGTAGTAGTTTATGCAGAGGATCATACAATCTGTCTCGGTTAAAATGACTCATTTAACAAACGACAGCATTAAGGTTATTATAAAGCAGACTGATAAATCTTTTTGGGTATTAGAAGTCAGTGGTAACGTCTCTGACTGCAGCACTGGCTGACGCCGGTTTAAAATCTCAGAAGGGACATGAGTTCCTTCAAGGTTGCAGGTACGCCTTGCTGACTGGTGAGTGCCAACTAGCACGAAAACTAGGTCCAAGACTTCCTATGGTCGATTGCCTCCAACCATCTAATATCATCAAATCAATGTTTACCATGATGGTGAGCTACCTAGAATGGTGGCCACATTAGAAACCTGATTGACAGAATTCAGTCTGCACCAAAGAAAAGACTAGACGCATCACACTAGTTACTAATGTCCAATCAAAGCATCAATAAATGCCGAGAAACCAAATGCTTTTAATAACAGTACTGAACAGTATATACTTTCAGCCTAAAACAGGACTGAAACGGTAATATTCAAGTCTTTAGTTAATTACATTACCATTCAGCCATGGTGGTTGAATCCAGTGATCACCATTTGAGTCTCTAGATTCCACACTCATTATTTCATACTCACCCTTGGGTTAGAATTCACCGTCAGATCCTGCTTTCCACGATAAATCAACCTATACTGAATAAATTTATGCCATTTTAAATATTAACGAGCAGTGTGCAAATACACAGGCAATCCAAACGCTAAATTTAATGCTTTATGAAATTCCTTCACTCTTGAAAATACACCATGAAGTATCCGGTCGAATTTAGGCTCTCTTAAATCCCTCTTTGGGTTACATTCGTTATTCCTGTTTTAGGTAAATAAACAATACTAATATAACTTATATCAAGCCTTTCATTTAAGAGAGTTAATAAAGCTAAAATGAACTGAATTTGCAACGTAGAACCCTGTACGCAAGTGCAGAAGTTCAGTATCTCAAATTTCATAAAAGTAAACATAAAGATTAAAAAAAGAGGAAATGTAAGGAAACTGCAGTTAGACGAGATCTTACCGGAAGATAGAGTAACTAAATAAGTATTGGTGAAGCTGGTAGATCACTCGAGGTGAATAAATCTGCGCCTTTGAGAGCAGTTTGGGTCAGTATCATCAATAGTCTGCAGCCAATGGTCAGAAGCGTCTTGAGGATCTTAGCCAGGCGGTCTACACGTCAGGCAAATCCCGATAGTTCAGTAAGGCATAAATATTGGTGAAGATTTCAGTAATGTCAACAAATTTGAAAAAGCAGGTTGGCAAGTATGAATAGTTTTGGGTTTCATCACGGACTAATATCAGCTGGAAAACTACTGAAAACGAGGGAGTGATGGGCAGTTGTTTTGTCCTGGTTTGGGACAGTATCATTATTATTCCCTTGAGTTCCAATTGGAACGTAGGACTTTAACAGTACATATCCGCTTTGTTCTACTCTCTGCTGTCCTCTTCAGCTGGCCCCACAATTACCCATAATCTCTCGTTTCCTCCTCTCCATATGATCTCCTCCAAGTCACCTTCCAACGACCCACTCATCGCTTCCCACTTGGATTCCACTCGAGGGCCGGGTGCACGAAGTCATTCGACGGTTTCCTTAAAGTATGCCTGATCCATTTCCATTATCTCTTACGTGTTTGTTGAGCAATCGGCTCTTGGTTGGTTTATTCCAAGACAGAGTTTCTTCTTGCTAATTCTTCCTGGCTGACCTTCAGTATTGAGCGAAGACAGCAACTTCGCCTAGTTAACTAGTTCGCTAGTTTTCTAGCCTGTCCCAAGCCCGGTTAAGGAGGGAGGATTGGCCGTGGGGGCTAGCGACTCTACCCCACAAAGCTAATCAAACCGCTACAGAAACTTCAGCGTACAATAAAAATATTGAATTTTAATAATGAATAATGTTTATTATCTAAGTGGTATTTAGGAAAACCAAAGTCAACTGCATCCATTTAATCCAAGTATTGGTTTTTAGGGATTTGACTAACTGGTTACAGGATTTCATCATGAGCTGATATCGGTTAGAGAACCATTGGAAAACCTGTAAGGAGTGCTGGACAGCTGTTTCGTAATGGGATGCTCACTAGCGACTGGATCTATTCAGGTAGGTAGTTACCTGGAGTTCTAGTGGGAAGTCGTGACCAGTAGGGTACAGGAGGTCGGGCGTGAGGGAAAATACTCGCCGAAGACATTGGCTAGTGGTCGCGTTATGTTGACTCTCTAAATAGCGTAAATGCAGTTTCATATCCTGTTATCTGTCTTTTCCAGACTTCTGGTTGAAGGGTGTAAAAATAACAAATTGAACAAATAAACACGCTGTTATTGTACTGGTCACCGAATATGAACAGAATATTCGGATATGACTGGTCTGAAGACGTTGGTTTTGTCGTCTTTTCCAAGCTATAGGGTCCAAATGTCCTTTTAGACGACATCTTCCGAGGCTGCTTCATTTTGAAGTAAGCTCATGGAATTCCTCACGAATGAAATAACTCTCTTCTCTCTTTCTGAAAAGCGCCTTTATACACAATGTAGAATCTTCAGTGAGTTTTTTATTCCAAGGTATTTACTCCATATACAGAATCTTTAAGTAACACAATAATCGATAATATACCATTTGAAGTAACACTGTTTCGTTCTCAGTATGTATTCTTCAGTCCTGCACACGGTTTTCCCTCCAATTCCTTCAGGAAATTCATAGCAGTATGCTGCAATATATTTGAAAATATACCTGGGTGTACATTATGATTCTTAGACATAACTGAGTGATTAAAACAGTATGAAATGGTATAAACGCTATCCATCGATGTGGATAGATAGTTTTATGACGTATTAAGGGCTGAAATAACCTAGTTCTATGCAAAGTTATGTGTTAATTGATTAGTCATATTACTTCAGTTAACAATTTCATAGAGAAACTAAAATGTCTTCGACTGACTTGTAGAAACGATTTAAATTTAGTGATAACTCACTAAATACTAACTTATATCATCTCACTTGATCATTTTGGCATTCATAGCTACTTTGTAAGTTTTACGAAATGATAACAATAACTCTCAAAATTAAGTTTCTTTCTTCTAAAAATCTTTTAAAGAGTTGCAGTATTAAGGAAGGCCTGTGAAGAATCAGCACTAGCAGAACAAATCACTACAATTCCACTGGACAGTAAGAAGCTTACGTGTAGAAGACAGTCGAATTTTAACTGGCATGCAGCTGGCTTGGGTCCTCGTTTCAGTCCTGATGGAACTATTTTAAACCATAGTATTCTGGGAGATCCTGTTGTTTTCTATCAAATTGCCTTGGCTCGTAATGATATTTCTTGGAACGTAAGTGATTTATTTAGTTTCGGGTTGTATTTGAGATATGATACGTCAAATTAACTAGAGTTGAATATAAGATATGTAAGGCAGAATTGACATGACAAATGACCACTCACCGTTTTTCATCCCTTAAACTTGCATTGAGTGTATTTTACTTATCTGTTGTATTCATATATTTTCTTATTTCACGCACTACAACTCACCTCTTACAGCCTGTATTCCTCTTGATTATATATCCACAGGAAATAAATTCTTCAATTGTATCACCTTATGCTTAGAATGACTGTCCATTCCGTGCAGATTTAAGTCCCTGTCACCATTATTATTATTATCCACTGCTTTAGTACCAAGTGGGAATAGAGGCTCAGCAGCACATATCCACTTCAATAAATTATCTGTCATCACTTTTAGCTGGTTCCACAATTGCCTATAAGCCCTCTTTCCTTCTTTGCCTAATCTTTCACATGGCATTATCGCACCCACTCCCAAACAGTCACTTCTGATACCACTCGATGGTTTAGCGTGTGATTTCACTTCACTGTCTCACCAGCGCAAGTCTAATCCATTCCTGTTTCCTTGTGCATATATGTTGTGCACTAGCTTGCTGGCTGGTTTGTCGTCAAAGTCCCTTGTTGCTTACTGTTTCTGGTCAACCATCTGGTCTTCAGTATTGAAATAAATAAGGTGTTGATGAAAAACCTCACCAATATACCGAGTTTCTGAAGTATATAGAAGAATTAACTTGATATTAGTGTTAGAAACTCTCAGGCCCTTCCGTTGTACTAAGTTATGTAACTTGGTTCTTCATACTGATATGAGAGTTATGAACGCCTTCATTGCCTTCTTCATCATGGCCAGTTTTAGCATCCTCATTAGTACCGTCTCTATCATCATTATTCACCTTACCATTCAACCATGTTCGATTCAGTTTACATTAAGACTATCCCTAAATTAGTTTTATTTTTCTTATACTGACTACTATGTGGTAATATTTTTGAAAAAAATTTATAACCACAGCATTGGGAGAGGAGGTTCTTGAAAAACTTTTAAAGCATGAATATGAAGAACAAAAACTAAAACTAAATAGATAAAGACAACTGCTATGTGAGCCAGGTTTTCGTTGAACTTAATGAACCTTAAGAATTCAATCTATTGTTCCTCTAGCACAAAGCACATTTGCACGTAACAGATAATCTCTCTTGTTTTCATCTGAAGATCGCTGATATTAAGATGTTAGTTGCTGTTCTACGTAACGTCCTTGGCTCAGTATTATGGCATTTCTATTGGGCCAAACCACCGAGTTCTTTTCTTCTTTTTCTTCACGTTACCCAGTGGAACATAGGGCTTCAAGCTAGTGGCTTGAAGTTTCTGTAGCAGTGTTTATTTTGCAGGATGAGGTTGCTAGCCTCATGCCCAACCTTTCCTCTTTACCAGCATTATGTCTGGCTCAGCGAGTTAAAGGAGTGCGTCAGCCGGGGGTCGAACCCCGGACCATGTGCATGGTCGGCGGGCGTCCTAACCGCTATACCACCGAGTTCAGCTTATCCGAAATAGTAATGATAATTGCAAACGAATTTTGAGTTACCCTACACTGTCATCTTCACTGGGATTTTCATCTAAGAAGCAGTGGTGTTAAACTGAACGAATATTACTCTGTAAACTCAATTAAACAGTGTTACTCATATTTGGAAAACTTGACCAGTATAAAATGATTAAGATCTAATAAGCAGTTTAGTAATAATTTCTTAGAGAAAACACGAAGGAAATTGAAAAATACAAATTGAGCAATCCATTGAAATAAGAGTAAAACTTGGGCACTGGTTCATGTTTGCTTGTTTGTTCGTTTTTTCATATTGTGAAGCTCATATAGAATCAGTATTATTCACTAGATGATGTTTCAAGCATAATTTATTGTCCATAGTCATACCAGAGTGCTTACACAACTCCTAAGATAAATAGATCTTTCTTGCAGCGTCATCTAGCATATAATAGTGTTACATTATTTTCTGCCAGGGGACAGATTCCCACCGATTAACAAAAGTATGCTGAAACTATATTATGACTCATTGTATTTACTGTTTACTAGTGAACGCCATAGGGAAGCTACTTAGCCAGCCGATGTGTCTTCTTCCGATGAAAGCAAAAACAAGAATGGGGACGTGGAGTACTCATACTACGTATGAAGCTAGAAAAGCTGCCCAGGTTGCCAAAGACACGAGGAGATATAGTATAGAAGTGCTAGGAGTCTGCGGGAGTGGGTGGCATTGATATCGACTATCCAAACTTTTAACTGGAGAGTCGATAATCTACTCTGGTCACCCAGGCGTCAGCCACTAGCACAGCGAGGGAGTGGATGTCATGATATCGGCTAAAAAGAAGAAAGGCTATCCTGTCAAACTATCAAAGAAGGACAACCTAGACCACTACAAGAACTGGAGTGGAATCATGCTCTTGTTCACGTTGAGCAATATGCTAATTTGCGTCATCCTGGAGAGAATATAAAAATTCAGTGGATGAAGAACTCAACCCACCAGAAAAAGCTAGATTCAGCAAAGGTAAATCATATGTGGATAAAATTGAAACACTGAGCATAACCACGGAACAGAGCATAGGCTGGCAATCAATTGACTTCAAAAAGACCTTCGACAACATTTACTTTGAAGCAGTTTGAATAGTACTTCAACACTATGGAGTGCAGTGCCCTAAATACTTATCAACTTCATTCAACATCTATATAACAAAGGCACGAGTCAGGTGATCCACATCGGAAAATTCAGTGAGGCGTTTGAAGTGAATATAGGCGTGAGACAAGACTGTCTATTATCACCATTGATATTCCTTATTCGATGGACTGGATTATAGGCCGATTGTGGGGGCGAGAAGAAAGTAATACGCTGGACCTATAAGAAGCTTCTAGAAGATCTGGATTTCTCAGATGATTTATGTTCAACGTCACACAAACTAGAAGACTTGCATGGGAAAACCAACCAACTGGCTGAAGAAACAGCGAAGAGGGGACTTCAGGTGAACACGGAGAAGACGGAGGTGATGAAGATAACCAGTGAACCGCAACAAATAGCACCAATCACCATCAACGGGAGAAATTTGCAACATGTCACTCCCTTCACCTATCTAGGCAGTATCGTTTCAACTACAGGCAGTCGGCATGGATAAAGATGTCAAAACCATAATCAGGAAGGCAAGACAGACCTTTATCACTCTGAAATCAATCTGGGAATCTTCTGCACTCAGCATACAGAATAAAATTCCGATCTTCAACACCATTGTTAAGTCAGTCAGTTCTTCTTCTTCAGAAACTTGACCAGCGCGTCACGAAAAGCATTTCTAACAACTGGCTGTAGACTTTGATTAACAGCTGCCTCCATTAGCTCCATAATGAAGATCAAATAACAAGAAAGAATTAGCATCAAGAAACTCTGGGAACAAATCAACCAAGAACCTGTCACCTAACAAATGTCCCGAAAGGAATAGGGATGGATTGGACACACGATGAGGAAACCATAGAGTGACACCGCGCACCAGGCCATCTCTACAGTGGGGCCGGAATGGGGAACGATGAGCTGGGCTTTGGTTCAATGGTAACATGAAGGAGATCTTGTGAGCAGGAGGTTAAAGACTATGGGCAGTCGTGAGGCCAGCAAAACAGGACTGTAGGGGAAAGGGAGAAATGCTGATGGGCCACTGAAGCTCCATATTCCACTCGGAACCCGATGGAAAGATAGCAATAGTAATAATCCACCGTTCCAGGCTGTATATAGATGAAGGCAAACCACAAAACAAATAAGGTGCTTTTTTTCAATTTTCTTCTCATGTGTCATTATATTTTAAGGTACCATAGTGCTGCGGTTATATCCTATAATATATGTATGGCATCGCATTTCACTTGGCAGTTTTATGGGAATACAATACTCGTTCAGACTTTTCAGTAGCATATTATCATTAACTGAACACCATACATTTTATTCCATAATATATGACAAATTGTTCATAGAAATGAACTAATTTACTATTTCGACTTATTTTAGATGGTCCCGAAGGAAATCCAACTACAACTTCAAGCCACAATGGCAGAAATGCAAAATCTCAATGTACCTATAGCTCTATCATGTATTCCAGAGCAAGCAAGCCCTGGCTCACATATATCAAATGAATCAAATTCAATAGTTAATTGTAGTACAATATCAAATCATCCATCTGTTGACAAAGAAAACAAGAACGCTTTGGACTCTGAAGTGAACTATTCACAAGGAAATGGGGATATGGCGTCACTTGAGAACTGGCGACTGAAAGTTGAACAACAAAAGTTGATTCAACGAAAATTAGCCGGTAAACATGATATTACATGCCTTTTAATATTAGTATTATTGTTAGATATATATCAGAAAAGTTAACAGTGAGTAAAATGATCTTCAAGATGGATGTAACTCAACAGAGGTGGCTTGAAGGTTGTGTAGAACGCTATACTGTAATTACCCAACATCTAAACTAATCGTTGATGTAACCTAAATATCAGTTTACTAACACTAGGCAAAGTCACAAAGACTGTTTATGTCTAATCAAAGCAACTTGAAAATCCCCATTCAGTCATATAAAAGAAAAGAAGGCGTTCAGCGAAGAGACTCTTTTCGGCGAATTCATTCACTGAGCTGTACAATCACATATTTATACAATTTTGTTTATGTGTGTGTACATTAGATTTATAAAGTTTAGATAATTATGTAATATAAGTATTTTTTGGCTTGGAAACAAACGTTAAGATGGAAAATAAAATAGAATTGATTAAGTGAGTAGAATTCAGATTAGGTCAGCTTGGCAACAGTGTTAATGAGTGGTGTTCAAAATCAAATAAGGGTGGGGTTAGAGAATAATACAGTTGAAAATAAGTAAGTTAATCGGATGACGTAACGCAGTTGACTAGAAATTTGACGTGGGTCAAGTTAGTAACATTGTTAATGAGGGTAGAGATTACAAAAGGGTGGGGTAGAGAATAATACAAATGAAGATGTGAAATAATAAAATGCAAAAGACAAAATAATACAATTAGTAAGACTGAAATTAAGAAAGATTGCGGCCATTGTAGATTTAATGAACGAACGAATTTCTTTTGTATGCAGAGTTCAGGATTTAGCAGATGAATTGCCATTGCTTCTGCGATGTGGAGAAGTTTGATCCGTACACTTTTAGCAAGATTGCCTTGTATTCTGTAGATAACTTTGAAGTTTATTTCTGGTTTGACTTGATGTCCAGAGTCGATCGAATCTTCAAGGATCGAGCTGCGGGGGCATCGGTTTTCTCCTTTATAAAACCATGAAGGTAAATGTTCGTTGACGCGTTTGGATAGCGAACGCTGAGTACGGCCGATATACCTGGCTCCACACGAGCAGGTGAATTGGTAGATGGACATAGATGAGGCCAACAGCGGTAGCTTATCCTTCACGGACATACGAATCATTGGTCTCGCGGAGAACGTCAGTCGTAATTCAGCTGCAACGAAGGTTTTCTTCAATGAGCGGTAGAGCCGATTTCTCAGTATTTCTGTAGATTGGTCTCCATTGAACTGTATATTCACATAGAGAAGTCTTTTTGGAGCACTGGGTGTGCGCGGCTTCTCTGGTCTGGGTTTCAACTTCAAATAGCAGGGAGACAGATTTGACGTCAGAGAAAGCAAATGATATAGAGTTGCAGAGATACATGGGAGATGTGAAAGGAACACAAAGAAACACAATATGAAGGTAGGCCAGGCCTCAAAGCATACTCCAACTTGGAGTGAACTTTTAAATTTCTGCACGAGTTTATTAGTCATCAGTCCTGGTCAGCTTGTACGTGATTGGTTGTTTTTGTAGAATCTACTTGTATTGGTATTGATTGCTCATGGATATTCATGGATGAATATAAACTGGCCATCAAAAGACACGATTTCCACTCCCTCATATTAATGCATGCAGTCAGCCATGGATACCAGTTCGTTTGGGATAATGTTCAAGTATTAGACAGAGGAAACACCAAAACCCCCAGGGAATTTTGGGAAGCTTGATATTCAAATGAATTGGCAATTAATGGATACATTGACAGAGACAAGATTTACCAATCCATAGGAAAGAAATCTCATACACAAAAAGTTATACTTCAGGTCAAGGAAACGATCGTTACCAATACAAGCAGACTTATAGATGTGAAAACACACAAAAATAACCAATCACTTACTACAAGCGTGCCAGGGGAGTTAACTAATAAACTCGTAGAGAATTTCAAAAGTTCACTGCAAGATGAAGTATGCTGTGATGATGTCGCCTCATAAGGCAATGAAAGTTTCGCAAATAAACCACCCAACTCAGAGAACAATATTATATCATACATTATGTATATGTATACCTGACTGGGCTTTGAGTTGTGTGAACTCGTCGATGAGTTGATTCAATTGAAGTATAGAACTTAACCAAGTACTATATCATTTAATATCATAACTAGTAATTTCGAGATAGTAATTAAATTTCTATAAAGCTGAGATCTAATAAATTCTGATTTCATCAGTATGCTAATAATAAAATTAATTTTAAAAATGTGAAATTGAGAATTCTCGGCAGACAATACTGGTTATATCATCAGTATGAATGACAAGCCGTTGTCAAGTCTAAAAAGGCCAGCTGTCACATAGCACATAAAATCTTAAAACTGATTAAAGGTACCCAATTGTTCAGGTTGATAATCAGACAACTTTAGACCACAGCAATGAAATTTGAGAGTTAATCATCCCTTTTTGTATGTTTATTCAGCCTGTTTCACTAATAATCAGTATTTTTGATAGTCACTAATAATTGTCTTATACAAGGTTACAACTATTTTATTTAATCCTTCCTAACAATGAGTGAATACATACATGAGCTCAAGACATAGATACAAGGCTAGAAAATCGTGACTATTAAGTCTTTTCAACCGACTACTAGTCAGAAATTCTTGAATTAAAAACACCACATTGAAAGCCTTAGTTTGTATGATTAATATTTTAAGTCATTGAAATAGTGTTGAAAGTTGTAACAAATTATTATTATTGTTTCCTGTAGTTCCTAGAAGAAAATACGGCTTCAAATGCACGTCTCCATTGCGATAGGTTCTCCGCCAACGTTTCCATCTAGATCCATGTCCGCCCACATGCTCCCATCTCCTCTTCACATCACCTCCTACATGTCACCCCAAACTCGAACTGACGACCAACTAACTCGCCACTTCCCATTCAGGTTCCACTCGAGACAGAAAGAGAGCCTGTTGTGTCATGTCACTTGATGATTTGTTTTCTCAGAGTATGGCTAATCGAATCCACCTCCATTTCTTCCTGAATTTTTGTTGTACAATTGGATCCTAGTGGGTTGGTTCGCTCCGTGAGATCCCTCACTCTTGCTGATTGTTTCTGGCTAGCCATCTGACCTTGAGTAGTATCGGGCAATGACACCTGTTGACGAAGGTCTGTAGTTTGTTCGAAGTGCCCTTCGTGACGCGGCGCCGAGACTCTTATCTGTATAGTAGCACTGATTTCACATTGGAGTTGAGAATCCCCATCTTATTTTTCATCCTGAGTGCTGTTAACCTCCAAACAGACTTGAGAGAAATGAAAGCTTTCCTTGCTTTTCCGACTATCCTCGCTTTGATATTCTCTTCAGTTCCGTCAGCCTGTAGTTGACACGATACTCCTCGGTTACGTAGGTAAAGGAGGTTGCTTCTTTTAGATTCCTCCCATCCATGCTGATTGTTGTCTGTTGTTACTGTTGCTGCTGTTGTTGGCCAGGAATCTTTATCACCACTGTCTTCTCAGTTTTCACGTGAAGGCCTATCTTCTCTGGATGCTTCTTCTGCTATCTTATTGCTTTTCAATTGCATATCTTCCAGTTTGTGGGAAATCAGACATATATCATCAGCGAAGTTCAGATACTCCAAGTTGTAACAAAATGTTGTATTAAAATTCACGATTTGCAATAATAAAATCCTAAATAAAACACAATGGTTTTTTGATTGGGCACTAGTTAGTTAGCAGTGTAATGTGTCTAGTCTTTCTTTGGTGTAAACTGAATTCTATCAGTCAAGTTTACAATGTGGTCACCGTGCTAGGTGGCTCGTCGTCATGGTGCACTTTGAATTGTTGATTTTCGATGGTTGGAGGCAATCGGCAGGAGACCCTCAAGAGGTCATTTGCGAGCTGTAATAGATCAGAGGTAACCTCTTTGACTGCAGTACTGGGTGAAGTGGTTTCGAACTTCATATGAGTTGCCTCAAGTTTGTAGATACGCTTTGGTGACAAGTGCCGGCTAACACGAAACCTAGGTCCGATCACCTCCAACCATCTGATATCCACACATTGTGTTCCATGATCCTATATACAAGTGACTGATTGGTTTGAGTACTTGGGCACCGCCTCCATGAATCCATATAGTGTCTGTTACGATGAATATCATTCACGGTATGCTAATATACTGTGATCTAAATAATTTCCGAGGGAAACTCTTGTTAAATTTGACCTCGAACTGTGTAATTTGAAATTTTCGAGTTTCAGTTTTTAAATAGAGAATTTGATTCAGTGTATTATTTAATTAACAAGCCAGAATTCCACTGACTTGAACTCAAGCAGCCCGTCTGAGCTGAGTCGAAATGACTTCAGCGTTAATGAGTTATGCCTCAAACAGTATTTAGAACACTTCGATGATTTGGTTAGCAAGCACTAGTAGCCAACATAATTGTGCCATGCAATTACTGATATCGAACAGTCATTAGTATAAAGCACCTTGAAAGGGCTTTGTTTTGATTAGATTGTATTATTACTAGTTCTCATCATGACACAATATGCGTCGATGGTACAGCCGTAGAATGCTCGCCAATCACACCGCATGTGGTTCGGGGTTTGATTCCCTACCGACGAACTCCTTTACCTCGCTAAGCCAGTAATAATACTGGTGAAGAGGGAAGGTTGGGTATAATACTAGCAACCTTATCCCATAAAAAATAAATACCACTGCTATCGAAACTTCATTGCTTTAGCCTGAGGCCTTATGTTCCACTAGGAACGTAAAAGAATAAAAAGAATAAGATTAGCCAGCTAAACCAAAGCTGTCCTTCAGAAAATGTCTAACATTGACTACTTGTGACTCTGTGATAATGATAAACTTGACATCATTTAAAAAAAAGAATTTATTTGATGTATTTTCAGGTTTAATGAAAAGAAAATCAAATGACTTAGTTATGAATTCGGGTGAAAATATTTATGAAGTACAACTAGCTAGAGAGAAGATAGATCGTGTACTGCCATTGGTTAGTGATGGTAAAGGAAGTGAGTTCAACTATTTCTCCAATTATTTATTGTCTTACTTAAGTTAGTGGTAACACACTTGACATCATCACTGAATCATGCGCTTTCTATTTTCACATCATGAAGACAAACACCATTTTTACGTTAAGTAGAATGACTTCTTTCATTTAACATCAAGAAAAATGCAACTTAGTTTCGCGTCATTTAAATTACTGATTACACTGACTAATTCAAATGACTGATTTAATTTAGAGATTACAGTCAAGCAACTTCAGTGGAATAAAGATTTCTAAGAAAGTGTTCTGTCTGACCCACAACATTAAGAAACTAAGACAGTTTGGAATCACCCAACCCCTACTTTCACAATTTGTCAACTCTTGTATCTTACCTAGTCTACTTTACTGCTCCCCGTTAGTCTTTTCTGGGCTACTGAAAAAGGACTACATCATCCTGAGTAGGATGTGGAAGGTAGTTAGTAGGATTAGTGGTGTAAAACTCAGTCAGCTGGTCACTAAATTAGTTGAAAGGCACCAGAATACATGCGAAAAATGGTCAAAAACCATTCTGTCCGACCCCCAACACCCCCTCTATTCCCAACTGTCGCCTTGTATCTCATCAAGTAGAACCAGAAATCAGTATAAAATAATCTATGCTCGTACAAACAAGTACAGGAACTCAACGATAACATATTTGGCCCGTGTTCTAAGTGACAGAGACAATGTCAAGCGCGAAACCTACGACTTGCTTTGTTGTTAATAACATAATTTTAGGCTCTTTTATTTCTCTCTTATTTTGTGTTCCATAGTGAACTCCTTCTTAAACATACTTAGCTACCTAAATTATTAACATTGGCTTACTTTTTTGAACTTTATTCCTTCTTTTCTGTATCTACTGGTTCCGACTATATTAGCACTATGAGTAGTACAAAATTGTCCTGTCATTAACCATCATGTAATTATTAATTTTTGTGGTTGTTTTCTCTTATTTTATTTATTTTTTTCGGCAATATTAAACTGACAATCATTGGTTGTGAACGCCAAAGTCACCCTTTAAATTTTGTATTATACAGGATTACTCACACTACTACTAAAAACACTGCATTAGACCTGACAATAAAAAAACAACAACCCTGAAATGTTATTTTATGATTGTTTAGAGTTGTTTCAAGCAAATTAACTGATCATCTTGGCGATAAACATTCTTAAATATTATTTCATAACTTCTGGTATGACTATAGCTTTACTGTCACCATGCATAATCGTATTATAGCTTCCACTACCCAATAGTGAGATATTATTATATGCTGTTTATTTTCCTTTCTACTTCTTGGTATTTTTTCGCATTCTTTTTATTATTTTTGTGTTTTTTGTTTTTTGCTGTTGTTGTCTTTAAATTTTTTTTTGAAATACTCCTTTTAAACGTTGGATAAAATTAGATGCAAATATTGTAGAAATGTGCTGAAAATTCCACTCTGTACCACAAGTACTGTTTCTGGAATAAAGCAAATTACTATTATTATTAAAGATACATCCAGCTGGTGATTTCTGTATAGAGTGAAACGCATGTCTTAGGTTTCACTGCTAGCCACTGTCAACCAAATAACATTCAGTTAACCCCAAAGCTCCGTTGAAGCGTCTGGAATAATTGCCGATATTCCAGCAGAAGTCAAAGGACTTCTGTTCATTAAAATCAACGAATAAGTAATTCAAAATATTTCGATTATTTACAGAGGTTTTTAACAATAAATAAAATTGAAATTTCATGCTCTATATACTAAAACAACCTGTCAGTTTATGGCTAACTACTATGCATATATAACTCATCTGAAATGAAATTTAAACAGCTCTTAGGGGGTAATTAATCTTTCTTCACAAAAGAAATTAAGAAAGGGCTTCAGCAGCACACCTCCAGTTCACTCTCTTCTTCTCTACAGTCCTTTTTAGCCGGCTTCATGGTTGTTCATAACCTTTCATTTCCTCCTAACATGATCTTCTCCATGTCAACTTCGTATCCAAGCCCAACTCGTGGTTTTCCATTTGGTTTTCAATCAACTTTTTTTCTTAAGCATGTGCTCAGTCGACTTTCATTTCTATGGACATATTTGTTATGCAATAAGTTCTTGTTTGGTTCATTACCGGAGTCCCTTATTGCCAGCACTTTCTGATCATCTGATTTTCAGGATCGATGCAGTGAAGGAAACTGTTGATGAAAGTCTGAAGCCTGTTAGTAATGCTTTTCGTTAAGCTTATGCTAAGTCTCTGAATTATACAGATGTTCAGACCTGACATCAGTGTTGAAAATCCGAATCTTATTCTTAATGCTGTATACTGTAGCCTTCCACACTGATTTCAGGTTAATAAAGGTCTGTTTTGCTTTTTTGATCCACGCCAGCATTGACATACTCATTTTTGCCACCTGTAGTTGAAACGACGTTACCTAGGTATGTATAAGAGAGGTGAGTTCGTTCAAATTTCTCCCATCGTTGGTAACTGATGCATATTTTTCCCTAGTTAGGTGTCATCATCACCTGTGTTGGCTCTATGTTCACTGCTTCTCCTACAGATTTTCTAGTTTGTGCGATATTTAACTTTAATTGTCCGCGAAGTCTCAATATTTTAAAGTCCTATTGTCAGCCCAGTGTATTTCAGTATTCGAGATCCTCAAGGTCTACTATATGATCTTGTCCACCACAATGAGGAATAGTAATCAGCCTTATCTTACTCCTCCTGTCTTGACTTCAAAGTTTTTATTGAATTTTCCGTTGTCACTGACTTAGCATGAGGCATCATCATAGCAAAGAAAATACTCTAAGATAATTTGTTTTGCCTTACTAATCAAGTTTATTCTGTTCATACTGAAAGTTTGTCACTGGATAGAGTTGTTTATATTCATGGATAATCCCAATCAAGGCATTAATGAAAACAATACACGTAGTTCAGTGAAAAGTCTCTTTTCAGCGGCGAATTCATTTTCTTAGCTGTACAATCGCAAATATATATGTATAATATTTTGTATGTATGTGTAAATTAAGTTCGCCAAACAAAATCACAATTCGTTATGATTATTTTAACTAAACAGGTAAACATTGGTAATTGGGGTTACGTAATACAAAATCGGTCAAGAAAATTAGGTTTTAATGAAATTAGGGTAGTAACGAAGATGATGAGTTGTTACAAACAGTTGTTAAAAAGAAGTTATGTAATAATACGAATAGTTTGATGATTGAGTTTTACTCAGGATGCACATAGGAACAAAGCAGAGAATTCAAAATTACGTAAGAGTGGCACAGCCGTTAGGACTCTCGCCAACCATGCACATGGTCCGGGTTCGATCCCCTGCCGGCGCACACCTGATATCAATGGTTGGCCTGCAAAATTTGGGCTACCGATATCAGATGCTGAAAATACCATACTTGTACCAAAAATACGGTGTGGAATCAAGCTATAATCAAAAAAATTAATACAAGAATTATAAGCAATTAAAGAAACAGACAAACAAACAAAATTAAGTCATCAAAAATCAACAAAGTTGTTACCATGACAGTAGAATTGGTTGAGTAATTCTCTTTCGTATGCATAGCTCCGGTGTTTCTATGTGAATGGCCAGGGTTTCAGCGATACAGAGAAGACGAAACCGTATTGCCTTTTGGTAGGTTATTCTTGACTCTGTAGATTACTTTGAAGGAGGCGTTTGTTGAGGTGGAATGATCAGTGTTAACTAGGTGTTCAATTATTGCACTCCTTATTGCACCAATATTGCCTTTCCACAACCATTCTGGGTAGTGTTCTTGAATCCTCTTGAACAGGGTGCGCGTCGAACGACCGATGTACCTGGCTCCACAGCAGCAGGTGAACTGATATATGCACACAGAAGTGGGCAGATGCGGGATCTTGTCCTTGAGGCTTCTGCAGATCAGTGGGCGACTCGAGAACACTATTCTTAGAGTTGCTGCAAAGAATGTTCTCAGAAATGATGTGATCCTTCTCTTGAGAATATCGCTTGTTAAATCTCCCTTGAAATCCAAGTTCATGAACAGTTTCCTTTTAGGCGCAAGTGAAGTTTCATTTCTCCAAATTCTTGGTTTGATATTTTTGTCTATGAATCTTGATGGGTATCCATTTTGGATGAAGATTCCTCTTAGAATATCTAATTTTATTTCTAGAACATCGGAACTACAGATGCGCCGGATGCGGGTGGCAAGTGATTCAATTAAATTCCGCTTTTGTTAGCTGAACATTCCAAGTAGCTTTTCTATGGATCGATCTTCTTAGGCTTTCATCAGTTCTTCTTGTTGGTTCCACATGAAGAAACGGAATTTTTGATTCGTTTCCCATTTCAAGAGTGAATTTTATTGCTGGATGGCAATTGTTAAATGTCTTCAGCAGTAGATTGGGTTCATTGTTGTTGTCATAAATAATGAATATGTCGTCTACGTATCTTTTATACAGTCACAAATTGTCAATGCTTGGCTTTAGTGGACCTTTCTCGAGGCTTGCCACTAAGCAATCTGATAGTAGTGGACCCAACGGAGATCCCATTGCAATACCGTCTTTTTGTCTGTAGATGGTGTCGTTGAATGTGAACTGGACGTTCAGAGTGCATCTCAATAGTAATTCCTTCAAATATGTTATAGATATTCCAATATTGAGATGGTTATCATCTATATATTTGCATTTGAAGCAGACCGTTTCCGTGAGTAGGAAATTGGTGAGAAGTGACTCAGTGTCGAAGGACAGCATAATTTTGTTAGACACATTCATGTCTTGTATGCACTCGATGAACTGGAAGGTGTCACGCAGCGAGTACGTACATAATTGTTTCCTTACAGGTTCCAGAATATCTGCCAGCCATTTTCCAATAGAGTGGTGAGGGGAAGCTGACATATCCAGAATTGGACAAAGTGGGAGACCAACCTTGTGTACCTTTGGTAGACCATAAAGTCTTGGTATTATTGAACCTGTTGACCAGATCTGGTCATAGATATCGCCACTGATTAGTTGACTGAACTTCATTCTCTTCAAGACGCCTGTTAGCTGATTCTCAATCTGTTCCGTTTTGTTTCTTTCATTGGAAGGTTGGGAAAATTTATCTTCATCCCACAGTATATTGTTCATTTTCTCGATGCAGCCTTTTCAATCCAGAAGTACTACACGGGCACCCTTGTCGGGACGAGTTATTAGCAGGTCTTTGTTATCTCTCAACTGTTTTAATTCTTCTCGGTGCCGCTTTGTTAGGTGGTTGCGGACTTTTGATTTTTTATTCAAGTATTGGTGGCAGCAGTCGATGATTGTTGACTTGAATCTCTGTAACTCGTTTTAAGAAGTTGGGATGAGATCGCTTGTTTGGCTGATGAGATTTTCAAGCTGGACATAAGTATGAAGTTTGTTGGCGTTGAAACTGATATCGCAGAATTTTGGGCCCAGAGAAAGGACTTCCAGTTGCACGTCAGTTAGAGGTACTGAGGCATAATTGAGCACAAATTTTGTGGGTTCGTCAGGAAATATGCCGTGGGGTTTCATCTGCTTACGGCTGTTGTTGAGCTGGGTTACAGCAGACTGTGACCACTTCTTTGCAACTAAGTTGATATATTCGGTGAATCTTTGACATTCATCCGGAGTCAATTCGTATTGGGCAGGGGACCTTTGATTAATATTCCGCTGCAATTCGGGCATACGTGATCTGATAGAATCAGCACAATTCACTGCATGACGTCGAAGGGACTTCGTATTTGGATATGTATGATATATAGAGTTGTTTACAGTTCGTTTAAACTTAAACGAAGGAATCATCATTCTGACAGCTTAATATAAAGCAGAGATTTTGTCTAAACAATAGAAGCTTACGATACTTAACAATTACTTAACGGAATAAAGTCATCATGTCTAGCAGCATAGCATTCTTAATAACCACTAGTCAGATTTATTAATAGCTGATTACTATGGTGCCATTTTGAACAATATTTTATCATGAACTGTTGATAAATGCACTCTTTTTGAGTAGTATTATAAATTCATCAAAATAAATCACTTCAAACTTCTGATAATATTATATTCATATTTTTTTAAACATATTTCTAATGGTTCATTTTAGGAAGATTTATGAGCGAATTTTGGAATCAGCCAGAATACATAAGAAATGAAAAATCAAATGATATTTGGTATGTTTCAAACTATAAATGGTATAAAATACTTTAGGAGCTACATTTAACTATGAAGCATTAACTGCCCCACTACAAATCCTGCTGATCGAGTAGTTGTATATCACTCACATCAGTAAGTAGTACCTGCTAACCAGATTGAAGTAATCTAAACAATGAACAGCCTTTTCGCTGGTCTGAGCCAGAGCTCATCATTAAACTACTCGTACTAATTAATCAGTAGTATACAGCATCATGCATTTATATTTACTATACTCATTGTCACTAATGGTGTCAAGCAGGTCACATATATAGTCTTCTGAATAATTTCGCTCTTCAAAGGAAACTGTGGTGAAATTTCACCACTCGAACTGTGTAAATTGCAAATAGCAACTTAATTTGTAAGATATGCCTTCATCAGCCTGAAATCAGTTTGGAAATCTCCTGCACTCCACCTTAGCATAAAAAACAAGATTCAGATTTTCAAAACCAATGTGAAGTCAGTCAGTTCTTCTACACGATTCAGAAACTTGTACTGCGCTTCACGAAAAGGATTTCTAAAAGGGTACTACAGACTTTTATCAACAGCTGCCCCGTCGCTGGCTCCACTCTGAAGATCAGATGGCCAGAAACAATAAGCAACAAGAAATTCTGACTGAAAATTAACCAACCAAGAGCCAATCGCTCAACAAATATGTAGGAGAAAATTGAGATGGATCGAGCACACATTGAGGAGGATGCCGAATGACATCGCACTCAGTGCAGGCGGTCACTCGATCGGAATGCAAGTGGGGAACGACGAGTAGGCCATCGGTACGAGGGTGACATGGAGGAGATGGTGTCAGAGATTATGGGCAATCGCAGACCCAGCTAAGTGGACAGCAGAGAAAAGAAGAAAGTGGAGATGTGTTGTTGAAGCCTTATGTCCCACTCGGAACCCAAGGGAACAGTAATATTTCATTAAATGACTGTTTGATCATTAAACGATTCAAAGCAACCCGACATGAGTTATCCGAAGCTGATTCATGCCTTTTTACTAATCAGTATTGCATTTGTTTCTGTATGAGACATTTTGCTTAACTTTTTACTTGTGCGTATTCCAACTAGACTTACTCTCATAATTTTCATATTTCTCATAATGTTTTTTTCCCTTTCAGTACAACATTAACTATGAAAGAAAGGGGTATTTACAAGCCAATTGAATTTATAAAGTGTCCGAAAGCAATCAAGGAGGAAAAAGGTTACTATTTTGAAACACTTTTAATTGTATCCTTTTTTAAACATTTAACTTTAAAAAGTTTATTTGTAAGGACTAGATTTGTTTTCTACGAGTTAGGGCACTGATTGATATTAGTTACAGTACCATTCAAATTCACCAAGGAGTACTGGACAGTTGTTTCATCCTAGTCTGAGAATCATCATCAGTACGCACCCCGCTGAGGCTCGCATCCAGGACCTTTAGGTTACAAGGCAAGCTCATATACCATTCACACACTGGGATCCGATTCAGTGACCAGCCCACGAATTCTAACTTCTACCAATTCATGATTTAGCGCGACCACCAACCAATGTGATCAGTGGGAACTCTATCCTCACACTTGACTGGATGGACCTCACTGGTCACGACTTCTCACATATTTAACATTTATTTATCATGGAGAATATAAAGATTTATCCACCAAAATACGGGTTAATGTAAACAAAGTTATCACTAGTTTGCCGGTAGCTATCAGCAGAATCCAGGGCTGATATTTCATGATGTCCAAGACTTGTCATCTGCATGCACCTATCCTCAGGTAAGTGATAATGCTGACACTGAGGCATAAACCCAGCAACTACTGCTTCAAACGCCAAAGAGTTATTTGATCGACTACTAGCCTGTATTACAAAACATAGTTGATCAGTTCACTTCAAAAATATCAAAGGGGGAAAACACAAATAGGAATAACTAATTTCAATCAAGGTTATATTTTGAAGCAAATATAAATAGATATTATTATTATTGTTCCCTTGAGTTTCTAGTGGAACATAGGGTTTCAACTGCACGTCTCCAATTGCTTCTGTCTTCTGCGAAACTTTTCACTTGCATCCATGTTAGTCCATACTGTTTCAGCTCCTCTTCACACGATCTCCTCCATGTCACCCTTGGAAGTCCCACTCGCCGCTTCCCTTTCGGGTTCCAATGGAGCTATAGCCTGACACGCGATGTCACCCAGCGGCCTCTTCAGCGAGTGTCCAATCCATCTTCAATTTCTCCTGCATATTTTTTGAGCGATTGGTTCCTGTTTTGTTTGTTCCCATAGTTTCTTGTTGGTTATTCTTTCCGGCCATCTGATCTTCAGTATAGAGCGAAGACAGTTGTTGATAAAGGTCTGAAACCTGCTGGAAATATTCTTTGTGACAAACTGGCCAAGTTTTTGATCCGTATAGAAGAACTGACTGACTTGACGTTTGTATTGAAAATCCGAATTTTGTTGTTGATGCTGAGTGACAGCGGAAGATTTCCAGATTGCTTTCAGGTTGATGAATGTGTTTCTCGCCTTCCCGATTCTCGATTTGACATCCTCGTCCGTCCCGACTGCCTGTAGTTGAGACAATGCTCCCTAGATAAGTGAACGAATTAACCTCTTTCAAATCCCTACCATTGATGGTAATTGGCACTGGATGTTGCTGTTGTTGTTGGTGGTGGTGGTTATTTTCATAACCTCCGTCTTGTCTATGTTCACCTGGAGTCCTGTCTTTGCTGCTTCTTCGACTGTAGTATTATGAATTGGCTTTCTGAGATTTAATTTGATGAGATAGCGCATACAGCGAATTCACAATGAAAGAAAAAGAATTCAGTGGAGTAAAGCATCTTATTCGATTGTGAGCAACAAAAATGATGCTCTGCTTGACTCATGATGGCTATCAGTGGATAGAAAGTGTCGCATTTTATCCTATTTTAGAATCGTTAACCTAACATACTTGTCAGGAATGATGTTCCTATTGAAACTTGAACACAAGACGTGTAGTTCGAAACGTCTTCAAATGTTTTATCATTAAACTGTTCAGATAATAATGATCTATATAGATGAATGACTAGTTAGTTATTCAGTCGGTTAAATAAACAATAAGTAAGGATGGTTTTAGTTCATCTCTGGTAGGATTTAAAGAGTGTAGATCCATGGGGTGAGATCCAAACTGGAAATAAATAAATAAATCCTAGACGTTTCATTCAATTCATTTCCTGTCTCAAAGCTTTTGAAAAAGAGTCATACGTACATTCGGTTACTTCAAATATAACGGATGTTTTATACTGTTATCAATCGTAGGTTTAATCTCATCAGAATGCACTAATACGGATGCATCAGCATCGCCAACAAAGCCACACAGAGGAAATTTATCTACACCAAATAGGCGGAGCACTTATCTCACAGAAAGGAATCAAGAATTATCTGAATTAATCAATCTGGTTGCACCGTATGAACCTCTAATGGATGATTTAGCACTTATTGGTGAGAAAGTGTTAAACAATGAAGTCAAGTGAGTCATAAAAATATCTTTAAATAAACATTCTACACTGAGACCGAGCACTTCAGTCCCGTCAATCGACGGGAAAATCTAAAATTGAATTAGATAATTAATATGATTCATTGCACAAGAGGTCGCCAGATTTCGTGGCCCAAGTGGTCTAGTGGGTTAAAGCTTTGGCGTTTGAAATTATGGGCACTGGGTCCGAGCCTCGGTGGGAACACCATCAGTCACTAAAGAGTGCAGACACACCTGAATGATGAGTCCCAAATAGGACGAAATGCGCATCGTGGATTCCACTGCGAGTTGCCATCCACCAATTAACTTCTAATTACATGCCCAGATATCATCAAAGCATCTGGACAAGAAGCTGACTTGTCACCCTGAGACCGGGCACTTCGGTTCAGTCAATCGATGGGAAGATCTAAAACTGAATTAAATATTCTACACTTTGGGGATGAAAACTAAATAAATGACCGAGTTGAATATATATATGTATAACATATCATATATACATATATATGATAACAGAAACGTCTTCTGATAAAATTTATCGGTGTAAAGAAATACCTGTTAGTTTTTGGTGTAGTTGTGTTCTCCGAGATGGATGATTTATTTGAAAAGTTTTCATTGTCTTACGAGGCCACATCTTCAGAGCATACTTCATCTTGCAGTGAACTTATGAAATTCTCTACGAATTTATTAGTTAACTCTCCTGACAAGCTTGAAAGTGACTGGTTGTTTCCAATCAATGCCAATACAAGTAGACTTGTGGATGTGAAAACGCACAGAAGCAACCAATCGCGGTCAAGCTTACCAGGACAAATACCTCCAAGTTGAAGTGTGCTTTGAGGATATAAAGTAATGAAAACTTTGCGACAAAATTATCCAACTCAGAGAACATGACTACACCGAATTCATCTATCTGAGCTACAAATCTTCTCTATTACATCTAATACTTAACAGATCATTAAATCATTGGTTGCTGCACTGAAACCATATGAATTCCCTCTGTAAAACCTAAACAGATGATCATCATTTTTTGTATTTAAGAAAATAACGTTAACTAGCAAAGTTGAGATTGTCTCTTTGGTAAACTTTAGAGCATATCTTTTGTTTCCAAATGTTTTTCTTTGATGTTGTCAGCTTTTAAAGCTTAAGAATGAGCATATTTTAGCATTATCTAAAAGTTGATTAACTTTGGTAAAACCTGCTTACATATAACGTTTATATTAAGAAGTATTATTTCCACGCTTAAAACGTTTAGTGCAATATTTTGTTAATGTAGGTGAAATAGGCCACAATAGTGCAACAAAGCGGTTGAAATTTTGCGATAAACTTACAACAGCGTATGCTGCTAAATACTATAAGTTGAAAAGAAAAGAAAAGTCGCTGATCGCTGGAGTATATTCCTACCACTATTTGAAAAGGATAGTTCTATTAGAAAAGTTCATGCTTTATTTGAAAACAATCACAGTAACCTGTTTGTTCCTGACCTAGTGCTCTAAAAGTGCATATACATATATATGTGTACCTCACTAGCCGGAACCTATCCTGTTCCCGTTTATCGGATAGCATGCTCTTCAGTGCAATCAACGGTTGACAGATGCCCTTCTCATGTTAACCCTAACTGTGAATACAAATTTACATGGATCTGTGGTAGTAGTTACATTAGGAGAATAGAAAGAAGAGAACAGCTTCAATTTTTCGAGCCTATTTCAAAAAACCTACGACTCAAGGGGATAAACGTTTACAATAGTGCCTTACCAGTCATCTCGTCAGTACGTGTTATAAGGTGGACATTATGAACCAGTCTCTCTCTATTAAACACCTGAAACCCAATTTACTTGTTCAGAAAGAAATAGTTATCAGTATTCATTTGCCCGAGCAACTAAGTATATTTACTCTATGCCTTTTATTTGATTACACAATCTTTCGCTTTAGCTTCTCACCACTTTAATATAGTCGACTTGGCTTATCTCGTGTTTCTATGATTTTGTTCTATACACAAGCTTAATGAGCCCTTTAGGCTGTACGTAGCTGATGAGAAGCCAAAAAATTCTTGATAGCACCATCTACTCCACATAAACGGTTGTTCTCGCTTCATCCAAATATATATATAGGATTTATTTTGTCTAGCTAGTGCGTCGGTGGCATAGCGGTCAAGACGCTCGCCAACCATGCACATGGTCCGGGGTTCAATCCCCGGCCGACGCACTCTTTACCTCGCTAAGCCAGAAATAATGCTGGTGAAGAGGAAAGGTTGGGCATGAGGCTATCAACCCCATCCTGTAAAATAAATACTGCTACAGAAACTTCAAGCCACTAGCTTGAAGCCCTATGTTCCACTGGGGAACGTGAAGGAATAAAAAATAAAAAAAATTTTGTCTAGCTAATTCTTGAAACTTCTGCGAGTCACAAGGTACTGAGACGAAGTATATTATTTGGTATTTTTTTATTCCTTTACGTTCCCCAGTGGAACATGGGGCTTCAGGCTAGAGGCTTGAAGTTTTGATAGCAGAGTTTATTTTTACAGGATGATGTTGCTAGCCTCATGACCAACTTTCCTTCATTACAAGTCTTATTACTGGCTTAGCGAGGTAAAGGAGTGCGTCGGCCAGGGATCGAACTCCGAACCACTTGTTCGGTATACTGTTAAGGTATTTAGTTGTACCCAGAGTCGTTACGACGTGGAAAGTTTACTTGCCTACTCGTACAGAGAATCCAAGCAATTATCCACAGATTATACGGCCCACTTTGATTGCGATATAACTGAAAAGTACACTGGATTATTATGAGTAGTTGCTAAAAATTAGTTCCAGCTATCAGTGTATGTTACATAAATCCTTTCATTTACATTTTCTATACAAATTCTGATGTCGAACATATTACGCTTTCACTTCTTAAATTTCTAGCTTCTTTCGGAAATCAGAGTAGATTGAAGAAGTTTGATTTTATTTAGTTATGACACCTGATCATAAATCTTGTAATTTTGAAATGTTTTACTGTAGACCATAATGACATCACTTTTTCGTCATTTTCATGGAGGTGTAAACTCGAGTCCTTAAATTTAATAACCGTGTGTTGTTTTTATCTCTTCATTAAGCGATAATGAATTAGGCGTAATTTAACTTTTGACTCGCTGGAGGTATTTAGCGATTTAATACGTATTACTTCCAAAACAGGGCGTCGGTGGCATAGCGGTCAAGACGCTCGCCAACCATGCACATGGTCCGGGGTTCAATCCCCGGCCGACGCACTCTTTACCTCGCTAAGCCAGAAATAATGCTGGTGAAGAGGAAAGGTTGGGCATGAGGCTATCAACCCCATCCTGTAAAATAAATACTGCTACAGAAACTTCAAGCCACTAGCTTGAAGCCCTATGTTCCACTGGGGAACGTGAAGAATAAAAAAACTTCCAAAACATACTACTAATGTGGTGGTGTGATACATACAATGTTTGCCAAAGGAATATTCTTCTCACATATTCCCACAGTTCAATACGCCATTAGAAGCAGAATACTGTGTATATTTGAACATTCCATTTCATGTCGTTTGATGTAAACCGATCATCACACGCTCAGTGACTGGTTCACGAATACAAACTGTAGATATATATGTAAACAGCAGTATGATCATTGAAATATACTTTGGCTTCCGTGTCTCGCCTTCTGTTATTACACTAGAATGATACATGGAAGTAGAATTTCTCTCAACCATGTATCATGCTCGATGCATCCCTAAACCTTTCCTTACTGGTAAAGACACCAGTAAACCAGGGAGGTTGGACATATGGCCAACTCACTCCATATATAACCAACATCGCTACTGAAACTTAAAAGCTTAAAGCCTGGCAACCTGTTGATTCACTAGGAACTCAAAGAAATAAATGATCAACCAAAATTCCATATTAGTTTGTTTATTAGATATATCGCACAGTGAAACAGTATTATTATTTACTGGACATTGACGTTTCGAACAAAATTTATTGTTCATAACCATATCATTTGTAATCACACGACTTCGAAACTTGAGTTTTATAGTTTTCTTTGTTCTCTCCTATTTGTCGTCGTTAAGGTAGTAGAATTTTCTAGATGTCCGGCTCAACAGTTGTTGAATCCTTCCTATTACACGTATTTGCAGTTGATTCGATAAACAAAGCTTCTGTTATCAATCTCTCCCTATACCCTGTGACATTAGATTTTAAAACTGTCATCCTATCCCATCCTATTGTATGGTTGTGTGTAACTGCGTGTAGTGATATCTACGGCTGAACTATTCTCTAGATTTCTTATCTTATTAGGGTCAATTAATCTAGATTTTGCTGACTGCCCCTGTTCTACAAGTTTGACCTATGTATTTGACCTGACAATCATTGCAGGGTATTAAATTGGTTGATCCACATAAGATAAGAAATCTAGAGAACAGTTCAGCTATAGCACTACATGCACTTACACACAACCATACAATAGGATGGGATAGGATGACAGTTTTAAAATCTAATGTAACAGCTGGGTGGAGGGAGAGATTGATAACAGAAGCTTTGTTTATCAAATCAACTGCAAACACGTGTAATAAGGAATAATTCAACACCTTTCCACCCAGATATCTGGAAAATTCTACTAGCCTAACGACGACAAAATAGGAGAGAACAAAGAAAACTATAAAACTCAAGTTTCGAAGTCGTGTGATTACAAATGATATGGTTATGAACAATAAATTTTGTTCGAAACGTCAATGTCCAGTAAATAATAATACTGTTTCACTGTGTGATACATCCAATAAACAAACTAATATGGAATTACTTACTACCACAGTGCCCAAGTTTTACACATATATTAAGATCAAACAAAATGTAAGTTAAAATTTTTAAAAACCAAAAGTACACTAGAAATAATTAGCCTATAATATCATCTGCTAATTTTAGATTTGAAAACTGATAAATAAAAAAAATCACTTTCACAATTTCGATGTAGATTTCAAACGGTTTCAGCTACTAGGATTTCGGACTACTAGTTTCTTAGCTATCAAGAATGGCATTCACAAGATTATAAGAACAAATACACACACTATTAAATTAGTAATCTACATTGAGACATAAAAAACAACAAAGAATTCAGAGATGAAAATTCTCTTTTCGACGATTACACTTTCATAGCTCTACAATAGACAATAACAATTACGTTTCCTCTGTGTGTGTGTGTGTGTGTGTTAAAGTTTGATAGTGAGTGGAAATACTAAGGTGCTATAATTATAATAATAATGGTGTATAGGATTATGAATCACAATTGATTAGATAATATGAATGAATAACTAAATAAATAATGGTCAACCTAAAGCTCAGCAGACATGTGTTTGTGTGAAATATATGATCGGAAAATAAAGTATGAAAATGTGAATGTAATATAATGGAAACGTTATTATTATTATTGTTCCCTTGGGTTCCTAGTGGAACATAGGGCTTCATCTGCACGTCTCCACTTGCTTCTGTCTTCTGCTGTACTTTTCACATACATCCATGTTATTCCATACTGTTTCAACTCCTCTTCACACGATCTCCTCCATGTCACCCTTGAACGTCCCACTCGCCGCTTCCCTTTCGGGTTCAACTCGAGCACTGGCCTGCCGCGCAATGTCACACGGAAACATAGGATGAGTGAAATGCTGTCAGAATAGTAGACTACATAAAATGTTAGAATATGATAACACAAAGTGAAATAAAATAAAACAAAAAATGGAACATAGAATAAAGAAGTATAACAAAGATTTTATGTGAATTACATAGTCAAATCAAGACCATGGGGTAACGACAGAGATCGTACAAGATTGCTTTTATACACAAAGTTCTGGCTTTATGTTATGTACTGCCAAAGGTTTTGTTATACAAAGCAAATGCACTCGTGTACCTTTGGGAAAACTTTCTCAAACTTTGTAGACTGTATTAAACTATGTGTTAGATGCTGCATGGTCAGGACCTAAAATACGTTGCAACATAGATGAATTATTGCCTCTACGTTCTCCTTTGCTCAGCCATACTGGGTGGGTGGGTGCTCTCGAACACGATGGTGGGATATGTTTGTTGACGAACGTTCTATGTACCTAGCTCTGCAAAAGCATGTGAACATATAAATACACATAGAATTAGACAATCGAGGTAACATTTCCTTGACATTAAGGTGAACCAGTTGACGGCTAGAGTAGGTTATTCGTAAAGTGACAGTAAATGTAATTTATATATATATATATAATAATTTGCTTTATTCCAGAAACAGTACTAGTGTGAAATTTTCAGCACATATCTACAATATTTGCATCTAATTTTATCAAACATTTAAAAGGAGTATTTCAAAAAATAAATACAAAGACAACAACAACAAAAAAGAACAAACACAAAAATAATATTAAAAGAATATGCGAAAAAAAAATGCCAAGAATTAGAAAGGAAAACAAACAACATAAAATAATATCTCAGTATTGGGTAGTGGAAGCTATGATATTATTATGCATGGTGACAGGAAAGCTGTAGTCATACAAGAAGTTATGAAATGATACTTAAGAATGTTTATCGCCAAGAAGATCAGTTAATTTGGTTGAAACAACACTAAACAATCATAAAATAACATTTCACGGTTTGTTATTTACCAGGTCTAATGCAGTGTTTTGTAGTGGTAGTGTGAGTAGTCCTGCATGATACAAAATTTTAAGATGGTGATAATGGCTTTCACGACCAACATTGTCAGTTAATATTGCCGAACAAAAAAAGCAACAACAGCCACAAAAACTAATAATTACATGATGGTTAATGACAGGACAATTTTGTAATGCTCATAGTGCTAATAGAGTCGAAACCAGTAGATACACAAAAGAAGGAATAGAGTAAAGTACAAAAAAGGAAGCCAATGTTAATAATTTAGGTAGCTAAGTATGTTTAAGAAGGAGTTCATTATAGAATACAAAATAAGAGAGAAATAAAAGAGCCTAAAATTATGTTGTTAACAACAAAGCAAGTCATAGGTTTTGCGCTTAACATTGTCTCTGTCGCTTAGAACACGGGCCAAATATGGAATAGTTGAGTTCCTGTACTTGGTTGTACGAGCATAGATTATTTTATACTGATTTCTGGTTCTACTTGATAAGATACAAGGCGAGAGTTGGGAATAGAGGTGGTGTTGGGGGTCGGAGAGTATGGTTTTAGACCATTTTTCGCATGTATTCAGATGCCTATCAACTAATGTAGTGACGAGCTGACTGAGTTTTACACCACTAGTCCTACTAACTACCTTCAACATCCTTCTAAGGATGGTATGGTCCTTTTTCAGTAGACCAGGAAAGACTAACGGGGAGCAGTGAAGTAGACTAGGTAAGATACAAGAGTTGACATATATATACGATTGTACAGCTGTGAAAATGAAATCGTCAAAACGAGAATTTTCTTTACTGAAATACACACTACTCAGTCGCCTCCAGTTGAAGCCTTGTACATACTACATTCTCATTAATCTATGCTGGAAACCTTGGCAATGGCTTTCTTCACTTAAATCAGTGTTGAAGCAAGCTGATTTGGATTACGTTTTTATTGATTATTGGAAGTCGTCTCAGAAATGCAGTGATTATCTTTTGTCATGGTATAAACTCATTGACCTAAACTTTTATAAATAAATTACTTTCTGTTATATTGACTTATATTATAAATTTACATACAAATAACAGGAATGAATCAGTGGAAATTCAGAACAGCACAATGAATGATTTGAAAGAAAACGCTTTAAATGAAATGAATGAAAAACCATCAGAATCTGAAACAGTAAACAATGTGCCTATAGAATCAAAAATTAATGAACCATCATTATACCTAAATGGTTATCATTTAGACTGGCAAACAAATACATCAAATCAATCACGAACCGGCGTAGACATTCACTTGACCTTTGTAGTAAGCGGTTATCTCTTTCTTTTTCTTTTAAATTTCAACAAACAGTTTTGCATTTTCTTATTATTTACAATTATTGTTATTGTTTCCTTTAATTCCTAGAGGAACATAGGACTTCAGCCGTGCGTCCGCATTGCGTTCAGTTCTCTGCTACAGTCTTCACCTGGCTCCAGGTCTGCCCACATGCTTTCATCTCCTCTTCACATGACCTCCTCCAAGTCACCCCACCTTCGCACTGACGACCAACTCGCCGCTTCCCTTTCGGGTTCCACTCGAGCGATAGCTTGTCTAGTGATGTCACTTGTTGGTTCTCTCAGAGTATGACCAATCCATCTCCATTTCTTCCTGCTCATTTTTTTCACAATCGGTTCCTGCTGGGTTGGTTCGGTTATTGCCAGAGATCCCTGTGTCTGATCTTTTCTGGCCAGCTGGCCATCTGATCTTGAGTAGTATTGAGCGAAGGCAGTTGTTGATGAAGGTCTGTAGTCTGTTTGAGATGCTCTTCATGACGCGCTGGCCAAGTCTCTTATCTGCATAGTAAGCAGCACTGACTTCACATTGGAGTTGAAAATCCGGATGTTATTTTTGATGCTGAGTGGTGTTGACAATAGTGAATAATATCTCTTGCGCTAAATAACTTGTGGTCAACTGAAATTTGCATCAGAAGGAATTCACGGTAATTTCAGCGTCAAAGCTAGAGACAGTGGTCTGATACACTTCTAAACCTCATCATGGTTTATTAGCTGGTAGCACGCCTAGGAATGAGAATGGGGACAGGTTGGATGTGAAGTTAGCAACACCAGTCAGTATAAATCAACACCACTGCTGTTGAAGCCCTATGTTCCATTCGAAATGAATGAAGAAAAATAGATTCAGAAAGTGTGAGGCAACTGAACGTTGATAGAAATGCAACCGATATCATAGATTACTCTAATTTATCCCTTTAAACTTTTCAGATAATTAAGAAGATTGGTTTGGCGGTTGGGGAGGGGGGCAGTTTAAGTAGTTTTAAAGTTCAGGAAATACACTTCAATTGCTTGATTCTGAATAGTTGGATTCACAGATTTTTGGCTACTTTTCAGCTGGATTTCGTTAAGGAGTTGATACTAATACATTTTATCTTTCATAACTCAAGAATCTGACAATATTACTTTATGATAATCAATTCTTCTAACATTTGATATTTGAAAATACAGTGAATAAAACATCATAACTGGCTTGGTTGACTATAATTTGCTAATCAATTGTTGTTTTACTGAAATTTCCTTCGGTCCTAATTTTAATGAAAACGAGAATAACAAGTCACAAGGACTAACTTAACTCAGTGGTTAAATTTTAGGATAGCGTAATGTGTATTTTTATCAAGCTGTTTTTCACTGCATAGCCACAGTTTCATGATAAACGGCTTCAGTGTTCCAGCTACTTCTCTACAAACTTCGTAGACCATCAATTTGAGTATGTCCAAGTAGCTACTTTTTTTGCTCGAACGTTCAGTCACACTACTCAACCTATATTTAGCCTGCATAAAGTTAGGTAAACAGTAATAAGACAATTCCATCTGGTTTATACAACGTTTTCCACAATTGAAGTGTGTTATTAATTCAGCACATCAGCAAATTTACATATCTGTTGACAGTAAATTAGATCCAAAATCGTTATCGGATAAGGTAGTATTGTTCTTCTGTGTAGTCCATTTTAGGCTAAATGAAATAATATTTCAGTTCAGTCCTCATCTTCCAATACAATATTTACTTTGGAAAAAAAGGAGAAAACGTCAGAGATTAAGACATCAAATAGAGTTTTTTTTATTATAGCTTGATTCCACACCGTATTTTTGGTACAAGTATGGAATTTTCAGTATTTGATATCGGTAGCCCAAATTTTGCAGTCTGACCACTGGTATCAGGTGTGCACCGGCGGGGGTTTTAACCCCGAACCATGTGCATGGTTGGCGAGTGTCCTAACTGCTGTTTATATAAATGTGCATATTGTTGAGAACACTATAAAAATATCAAAATAATCTTATAGTCAAGATGTGTTGGATTTTTAAGCCACATTAAGAGAAGTTTTTCTACTTTAACTGTAATTTAGCTATCATCTTCAAGGAGTGAAATATTAGTGTAGTCAAATAAATTATAAATGGAAAATTCGATAGTATTTAGAGAATGTTTGCATGAAGAGTATAAATTATGACGAAAAATAATAATATTAATTGTGATAATAAACGAAGAAAGAAAAAAAACTAAGAGGGTTAAGGAGAAGAAACACTCTTGGTGAGAAGAAGAATCATCAATCCAAGTTTGGCCACAGTAGGAACAGCGTCTGGACGTGTTCTCTTTGGATACAAAGTTCCGGTTTAGTCGACCTAATTGCAACAGCTTCAGTTATGTGTAGCATACGTAAGCGAACTGTACGTGATAACGACTTCGGAATTCGGTATATAACCCTGAAAGCTGTATTGACATCGACGCGATGTCCAGTATCGACAAAGTGTGGTAGGATCGAGCTTTTTATGCACTTATTCCCCCACCCCTCCAATGTGAAGTCAGTGCTACTATACGGATCAGAGACTTGGCGCGTCATAAAGAGCATCTCAAAAAAGCTACAGACCTTCATTAACAGTTGTTTTCGCTCAATACTGAAGATCAAATGGCCATAAAAGATCAGACACAGAGATCTCTGGGAGCGAACTGACCCACCAGGAACCGGTTGTGAAACAAACAGGCAGGAAGAAATGGAGATGGATTGGCTGGTCATACTCTGAGGAATCAATCCATCAAGTGACATCACTAGACAAGCCATTACTCGAGTGGAACCCGAACGGGAAGCGGCGAGTTGGTCGTCAGTGCGAGGGTGGGTGACTTGGAGGAGGTCATGTGAAGAGGAGATGAAAACGTGTGGGCAGACTTGGAGCCAGGTGAAGACTGTAGCAGAGAACCGAACGCAATGGAGACGCGTGGCTGAAGTCCTATGTTCCTCTAGGAATTAAAGGATACAATAATAATAAATAACAGGAACAGTTTAAATGGTATATGCATGAAGAAGAGCTAAAGTTAGATAAGACATCTTTGAGTTGCTGGGTGAACATTGGATGACAACTGAAGGATAGACACAGACGTGCAGAGTAGAAATTTTTCTTTATCGCCCTGCCTAAACGTTGCGATAGAATCTCCGCAGGAGTATCTCCCCCGTATTGGAGACGTAAAAACAGAGGCTTTTTCTCCACCGTTGCCAGTTCATGTTTACGACTATTGTAACCTATGTTGGCTCTAATGAACTTCTCTGGATATCCGTTCTCGCTTAGAATATCTCGGATGACCTGGAGTTCTTTCTCTACGCAGTCTTCGGAACAAATACACCTCGCTCGAAATGCTAAGCATCTGATCAGATTACGCTTGTATTTCAGCAGTACAAAGCTAAGGTAGTGTGTATACTGAGCTTTGGTCTCTAGCTTTCTAAATATGGTTCTTTTGACGGAACCATCCTCTCTTCTCGTTAGCAGGACGTCGAGGAAGTGCAAAGAGTCATAGGTGAAATGAACCGCTGGATGAGCATATATGCCTCATATAGACCTCCACCTGTTTCATTTCACACATCCGTTATTTCATTATGAACCTCTCATTGCAGTCTTACTATCTCCTGTTTAATACATGCCACTTTGTACTAGCCACTCACCTGACACCTTTTATAACCTTGAACTGACTTGTCAATTTTCCTACCCCACACTCTACAAATCTATTATGACTAATCACCACCATTGTCTCCCATTCCAAAATATTTTGTAATCGACTTCAGCCCAGCATATCTGTCACACAAATACGACTATTTATTTTGACGCTCCATAACTAATCTGTTATTTCTACGTTAAAAAGTGTATCCGCCGTATAACTGGCCATTATTGTAACGACAACAAATATTATATTTTATAATTGTAAGAACGTGAAGAGAAATTATTGAAAAGAATATTCTTCGTTCAGATTGACTTTTAATTCATGATATGGGAATATTTCACACAGTTAAATAAATTATAATTATATTTCAGTAGTTTACACACAATGATAAGTATCTTGTTTTTGGTAATATTTCAAGCAAAGTTACTGGCCTAAAAGACAGGACCCAATTATCCGTAGAAGAGATAGTAAAAAGGGCTGAATTCTGTCTAACAACAACATATTTTACATTTGAAAGAAGAATATATCAACAAAATCAAGGAGTAGCTATGGGATCACCCACCTCACCAATAATAGCTGATATATTCATAGATTTTTAGGAAGAAAATGCACTTAATCCATTCAGGTCATCAATGTAATGTTGTTGGAGATATGTAGACGACACTATATAGAAAAACTACACATTCTGAAAGGCTCCTCGATTATCACTCAGCTCATCCACTGACAGTAAAACGAAGATTAATACAAGGTCTTGCAGACAGAATACGTAGACTTACAACAACAACAAATGACCAAAGAAAAGAGATAAGTCCCTTATTCAAAATGTTACTCGACAACAACTGCCCAAAAGAATTTATCACAGATAATATAAGGAAGCGAAAAAGGAAGATTAAATCAGAGAATGACAAGAAGGAGAATGGTAAAAACACGATCACAATACCATAGAAAATGATACATCAGAGGCATTTCGAAGAAGCCTCAGAAATATTGGAATTAACACCACATTTAAACCAACAAATCTAATTGAAAATAAGATAAATCAACTGAAAGATCCAATAAAAATGATAAATAAAAACAATGTGATTCAAATGAACTGTCGTCAAGATTTGACAGAATAGTTCTAAAATATTTTGGTGCCTAGTGAGAAGTAGACATTTGTAAAAAATTATATTTTTAAAATCTCAGCGAGATTGAAATTAGTAATTCCAACGTTTCGTTCGGGGAAATTATACTTGTTGAATGACTCATGATTGGAAAAATCTTTTAAAAACAAGAAATGTTCCTTTTATGTATAAACCTCTGTTATGTTAATTTCGATTAATTTCCCTGAAGAAGTTCGGACCAGATTGCCGGACGAAACGTTGGAATTACTCATTTCAATCTCGCTGAGATTTTACAAATATAATTTTTTTTACAAAAACAATGTGATTTACGAAATATCTTATGCCGAGTGTCTGACTAAATATGTGGATCAAACGCCCTGATCACTAAAAATAAGAGTGAATGAACATCAACGCTAAACTAAAAGTCATCCCAAAGGAACACAAGCTAACAATAAATCAGAAAAAAATTTGTCTACAGCTGCACCTACATCATGGGACAAAAAACATAATATTGACTGTGGTTTGTATTCTGGGCAGAGAGACTAATAGAAGAATCTATATTCATTAAGGTCACCTCTGATACATTTAACAAGGGTGACTCAGCACTACTGTCAACAACCTGAATTATAATTCTGGATACACAAAAGTGAATGGACAAAAAATAATAAATGATCTATACTTAAGAGTACAAATCATAAATGTGTGAATTAAAAAAAAAACTGCAACAGTTGATGTGTTATCACGGTGTTTATCACTTATCATTGTGTGTAAACTATTGAAATATAATTATAATTTAATCGATATAATCCACAATGATCATTATTATTATTGTATCCTTTAATTCCTAGAGGAACATAGGGCTTCAGCCATAAGTCTCCATTGTTTTCGATTCTCTGCTAGAGTCTTCACCTGGCTGGCTCCAAGTCTGCCCACACACCTTCATCTCCTCTTCACATGACCTCCTCCAAGTCACCCTTGCACTGACGACCAACTCGTCGCTTCCCTTTCGCGTTCCACTCGAGCAATGGCTTGTCTAGTGATGTCACTTGATGGTTTCCTCAGAGTATGGCCAGCCAGCCAATCCATCTCCATTTATTCCTGCCTATTTGTTTCACAATCGGTTCCTGCTGAGTTGGTTCGCTCATTGCCAGAGATCTCTATTGCTGATCTTTTCTGGCCGGCCATCTGATCTTGAGTATTGAGCGAAGACAACTGTTAATGAAGGTCTGTAGTTTCTTTGAGGTGCTCTTTATGACGCGCTGGTCAAGTCTCTGATCCGTATGTTAAGTAGCACTGACTGACTTCACATTGGAGTTTTCAACTCAAATGCTCAAACTTATTACTAGTGTAGTCTCTAGTCTTAATCGAGACGAAAATTGGAATCGATCACAATCCCATAAACCAGCATATCGCTTAAATGACACCTCTTTCTGTAACTTATCCGTCAATTTTAAATACTCGTAGCAATTATAGACTTGGCAAATCTCATGTCCACACAGACATTCTGGGATGTGTCACCTGATTTTGAAACCATAAACTCCGCCGTCGAGTTCATAACGGACTGTGAAATTATATTAATACTTAACTATCACAAGGAAAAGGTATAGTAGACTTGTATTCATAAAGCCATCTACAAGGCAAAAAGTGATTTACCGAAATCACTACGTACCCGACTCATCTGTATTGCTGAAACCATCTTTGGCGATCGAAACAGAAAAGCCAGATCTCTGTGTACAGAAAAAGTTCTTTCAACCCCTCCAACTTTCATGATCTTAATCCCTCTATACTAAAGTATGGTAATCCCTAATTATATTTTGGCTCTACCAATTTTTCATGTTTTCATTTTGTCTATTCAATTTGTATGCTGTTCCTTTATTACGTCAATTCTAACTATCATTTTTCTCACTTTGAACTGTCCCAGGTATTATTTCACTTGTTCCACTTGTCATTCTAAATCAATTCTCTTTTGCAACGTTAAATTTTATGTTATCAAATTTCACACAATATTACGTAACGTTTTTATTTTATTCGATTTGCCTACTAATCCTGTAATTCCACACCCCTCCCAAGCTCTATACATTGTTACGAATTATTTCATATATGACATTAATTGTTTTGCTACTTGACATTTAACTATGATTATAATCACAAATATTTTAATTGCATTTCACATTACTACTATTATTATTTTATGCATTCACACCTTTGATTCAATTCCCTCATCACATGTAATATAAATATACGATTGTACAGCTTGATAATAAATTCGCTGAATAGAGTCTCTTCGTTGAATCATTTGATTTGAATGTGTGAGTGAAAAATCAACAAGGATTTCTCAATGTCTAACAAGCTTCATATGGAAATTATTATATGCATTCTCATATATATTTTAAAAGTTCTAGTTTAATTTGCTCAGTGTTCCTGATACACGAGTTAAAAGTTACTAGCTTGATGCAGTGAAGAAGATGTATCTGATTGGCTAAAACACTCGACTTCCACCCACCCAATAGGTCCTAGGCTCCAATCCCTATCCACCTACATCAAAATACGGCATTATCAGTATGAGAGTTATCACGCCTATGAGTGTGGCCCTTATCCTGGCATACAAAGATCTATACAGGGTGATTGATATCATCCAGATGGCATGTTGCTACTTATCATTGTTGTTACAAACTAATGAATAGCAGTGAAATAAGAATATAGAATTATAGAATGCTGTTGATGAGGTATTATGTAAATAAGTTTGGGTTCCATCTCTCTTTAAATTATATGGACTGATATCAGCTAGAGAAGCACTGAAAATCAAGAAGAACTGGATAGTTGTTTCCCCCCCCCCACCCAGTTTGATATTCTTCAGCGGTAGGCAGCCATGACCTCACCAAGAATCGAATCCAAAAGCCTCAGATTACGAGTTGAGCTTGTTGATCAATCCAATAGTCCATCAGTGCTAACTTCTACCAATCCAAAAACTGCCCAGTACTCCTTGGTTTCCAACGGTAACTGTAACTGATATCAATCCTTCACCTAATTTGAAATTTGCGAAATTTAAAATCAAGAATCCTATATTACTCTTAATTTTAGAATGAAAATTCAATTTTGCAAACAGATTACATCGAATTATTTAACAATGGAAATGTTGTTATCACATATGAATGGACCGTAAGTTCCTGAGTTTATTATTTAAAGTTAATGTTTTGTTTTTCTCTTTCATAAGAATGATGAATATGTGTTTGTACTTTTTTTTATTCCTTCACGTTCCCAGTGGAACATAGGGCTTCAAGCTACAGGCTTGAAGTTTCTGTAGCAGTGTTTATTTTACCAGGATGGGGCTGCTAGCTTCATGCCCAACCTTTCCTCCTAACCAGCTTTATTACCGGTTTAGCGGGGTAAAGGAGTGCGTCGGCCCGGGGTCGAACCCCGGACCATGTGCATGGTCGACGAGCGTCCTAACCGCTGTGCCACCAACGCATGAATACGTGTCATTTACGGTTATACATAGTTGTTAGAAATTTGCAAACTACCGAGAAAACGAAACTGAAATACCATAATGAAAATTGAAAATATGGATAATTTTTTCCGTTACATCTTGTTTGACTCAATCTTTAAAGATAATATATGATTCATCTCACTTATAGTAGAAAGAAGGCAGTCATTTATTTGTCAACGGCAAAAAAATAGAACTCAACATGTATTAAATGTGGAAATATAAATTTGCCTTAGGTATGAAACCAGAATGAACCAGTCCAACATAGAACTGGCGTTGGAACAAAAACCAAGTTTTCAAGTGTAGTTGAAAATTGACCTGATGCTCACTAGCGATTGGTCCTATTCAGGTGGGGAGTTACTTCGGGTTCTAGTGAGAAGCTATGACCAGTAGGGTGCAGCAGGTTGAAGGCGAAGCAGTAACTCACCGAAGAAGACATTGCAAAGTGGTCATGCTATGTCATGAATTCGCAGAAGATAGAATTCATGGGTTGGCCATCGGATCCGGTTGAGTACCAGTGGCTGCTGAATGGTCTACGAGCTAGCTAGCCTTGTAACCAGAAGGTCCTGGGTTCTAACCCTGTTGGCGGACACGTACTGATGAAGAGTCCCAAACCAGGACGAAACAGCCTTCCAGTTCTCTAGTCTATGTCAGCTCGTGGTGAAATCCTCCAATAAGAAAAACTAAGTTGTTCAGGATTACAAAACAAACATTACAGTGTGGATTTCATCAAGAGCTGTGAGAAGTTAGATAATCATTGCAAATCATGGGGCACTGAACTTTCTTCATTCTAATTCTCACTCTAGTGGTTCTCACTTATAACTCTTTTCCAACCCAATCCTATGTCAGTTAACACTGTTTGTCAATTAAGGTGTTGGCTTGGTATGTACAACGTTTGGGCTAGCCATTTCAGTCAATGTAGCTTCTTCAAAACCTGACTTTCCCTCTTTACCCAACACTCTACGCCTAATCTCAATATTAATCACTGTGGCAGCAGTTAAGAAGGGTAGAGTGTATTACTGACGAAATTTATAACTACCAATATGGATGCAGACTGATATGAGGCGGCCAAAACTGAAATCAATACGTTAAATCAATGGCTGCTTAGTTAGAGGTATTGATTCCTCAAATTCGGAATCTAGTTTACAATGTGAACATGAAATAACCTCATTGAACAACTCTACGTCTCAATGTTTAACCTTAGGCGAATCACTAACCATCCAGAACACAATTTATCGTCCGCTGACCTAGCCGGATTTTTATATGGCTAAAAATGTATAAATATGATGTATTTTTCTCTGATAAATGTCCGTTAGCAGTTTGTTAAGAAGTTTACGTTAAAGATGTCGTCTATGAAGACAATAAAAGATTTTCACTTAGACGGTCTAACTCAGAAAATATACCTACACCAATAGGTATCATTTTGCTTATTTGTTATGACTTATCCATTCCTGATTGTCAGTTTATTCGGGTCGAATAAATCCGTCTCTTTCAGCACACAAACTCAATGAAATGGCGCCCCAGTTTTATTCTGAATTTCTTTTCTACTGCTTTTAACTGTACAACTTTCTGTGTGTTGATGAATTTGACAGTGGAGGTATTTATATCATGAGAGTGCTTAGAAAGACAGACATTTTGTAGCGCTTACTGTGTCACAAACTCAAGTATATTGGATTCAATCTAAACTCTAGTCAAGGATATAGCTACCGCTGGACACACACAATAAAATTATTTACTAACTTGTTATTCAAATGACAATTCAATGAAGACCGTTTACATTAACTGAAGGAAGTCAGATGGCTAAGATATTTGAAAGGCACAGGCATTTTACTCACCAGATATCAATAGATTTCAGCTCTAAACTTGATGTTTTGAATTTATCACGTAGACTTTGAGGTAGATCACAGTAATGACTTCCACACAAACTTATGTGTATATATATTTCTTTTTTTTGTATTTTTTTATTTCAGCGTGTTCGTCAGCAAAGTCACTTTTATTTAGATAATAAAGGATATAAAGCGTTCTATTTCGATCCTAAACCGGGTAAGTTTCAGTCAGCTAAATGCCTTAAATGCAACTGTTAACAAGTGGACGTCTCAGCATACAGTTATAGTTGATAAAATAACTTCAGTGCTATTGGTGGCGAAGTTAAAGCATCATAGCCAAAGCCAAGGTCTTTCAAGATTTGACCTTCAAGAACCAATCAGATACAGAGAATGCTATGAAAAGTCACTGCAAATAAAATCATGCCTGTCTTTCTTGACGTGGAGAAGCGGATACAGTATTCCACTTATTCTATAGGTACATTTTCTGTAAATCTATATTGTTAGGTAGGGTTGTTGCATCTGAATTCTGATTGGTCGTTCAAGGTCACTGACAGTTTAACTTTGCCCTGTTATTTTTTGATTTCAATCTTAATATGTCAAACTTGTATTTTTTAATTTCTTTACGATCTTAGTGAAACATAGAGTCTCAAGCTAGAGTCTTGAAGTTTTGGTAGCAGTGGTGTTTGTTTTTATGGGATGGAGTTGCTAGCCTCATGCCCACCCTTCCCTGTAATTACTGGCTTTTATTTAAATTTATTAGATAGCTGACAAAGTGAGACTTTATAGATCGCCAAGTGATACTTTGAGCACAATTCACTGTTCATAATGATATCAAATGACTTTCGTATGTGATACTGTTTTCTTTAGTCCTTCTGTCTATTCTGAGGGGGGATGGGGGTCCTCTTTATGACAATTTTGCATATGGCATTCAGAAGTATGAACAATATGAAATTATATGATTTCTTAGTTTCTCCGCAAATTCACTGCAATGAGCATAGTTTACAATGAAAGGTGCTTCACCATATTGGATAAAGTGATATATCACTAACCAATCGCTTTAGTCAGTCCAGTACCGCAAAGCAGATATCATGTCAAATCCATGATTTTCTGTGTATACAGTTTCTGATTAACGTGAATAGGTCAATAAACTAGTAGACAGAGGGTAGTCAGATTGTCAGAATATAATGAGGGTGATTAAACCCACCCGCGAAGATAAGTAATTAAGAAAAAGTTCAAATGAACTGTCATGATTTGACAGAATAGTTCTAAAATATTTTGGCGCCTAGTGAGAAGTTGACATTTGTAAAAAAATTATATTTGTAAAATCTCAGCGATATTGAAATGAGTAATTCCAACGTTTCGTTCGGCAATCTGGTCTGAACTTCTTCAGGGAAGTTAATCGAAATTAACATAACAGAGGTTTATATATAAAAGGGACATTTCTTGTTTTTAAATACTTTGTCCGATCATGATTCATAAACACAAGTATCAACAAGTATAATAAACAAAATTGTATGAGCTGTGATCAAAATTTGACCTCGGACTTACAAATATTGGTCTACCTTTGTTAAACACTTTGAACAGAGTGTGCATGCGTGTGTGGGTAAACAGTTGTAAAACATTTCTTAACGTCTCCATAAGAGGATATAGACAGTCAGGAATTTTGACCAAGTATTATTAATTATTGATACATATCCGTTTTTATTCATTAATCAGGATTTCCTATGCATCAGCTAACATCACACCATCATGTCTGTTCAAACTGCTAGTATCTAGAATTTTATGATAAGACGTATTTTCAAAATTATGGTGTTTAGGATTAGAGTTTAGTTTAAGCACCCTGTCGAACTTATTGCATTGTCTTCTTTCTGAATATTGAGCTGCTTTATTCGACCTACTGGAATTGTCAGGTGACTCGACAGCTACGGATTTAGGATATGCAAGGTTCGGCAGTTGCACTGCATGCAGTAACACACAACTATACAATAGGGTGGGACAGAGTCAAAATTCTAAGAAGTAATATAGGTAGATGGAGATAGAGAGAGGTTGATTACTGAATCTTTGGCCATCGAGTCCACACCCAAAACGTGCAATAAGAATGACTGATCACTCATACCGGAAATATGGAAAATACTACTACCAATCAAGTCAAGCGATGAAAAATAATGGAATTATATAAACGAAGTTAGAAAGTTGTGTGAGTAGTGCTTTGATATGATTATGAGTGGCAATAGATTGTGCTCGAAACATGGTCATCAGTAAATATTACTGTATAACAACACTGTGGGACTTTATCAAAATAAACTGTACCCTTAAGTTAAATAAATTGTTACCTTTTATTCATAACTTTTGAGGCAAAATTGTCTATGAGTTCAGAAGGGAGAAATACAGTATTGTCGGTGCGTTTGTTAGGTAACGAGAGTACTTAGATCCTCAATTTCTTAGTCTTATCCACTTATATTGACAGTTTAATAAGGGATACCTTTCGCTTTTACAATAATAATTTTGTAGACAGATGCTTTTCCTTTACAGTTGCTCGCAAGGAAATTTCTGAAATATCCAAAGCCGAAATAACTACGTGAATGAACTGCAATACTAATGCAGATTCTATGTGACTATTAAGAAACCATTGTAACAAATGAGAACAAGGCAATATGACAAAAACACTGTCAGTCTCAATCTACCAACCTTATCATTCCTCTGAGAAGTTGAAGTATTCACGAAACTTAATTTCTCATTTCATTTAAACCCAATTTTATGGGAATATTCAGATAAATATAGTTAAATAAAGTAGTGAAGTTACTGACTATCACATGGATGTCTTGAATTCGCAAATGAACCTGCTTAATTGTACGTCCTATATAACTTCATCCGTAGGAACATTTTTAAACGTTCTATGCATGAGGATGAGCTAAGATTAGGCAAATTATCTTAGAAACTTATAATGAATGCTTGAAGACTACTGGAAAAATACTGATTTCCTTAGTCGAATATCTTCCTTAAAGCTCGGGTAAGATGTTGAGATAGAATCGCTCTTGAAATATAAAAGAAAAACACTGAAGGCATTTTCTCTACTCTCATCAGTTCTTGCTTACGACCTGTGTATTGTAGGGGTCATGTTACCTCACTGAAAAATAGTGGTGAGACATATTGATTTGTTTTATTCTCCAGGTAAAGTACAACCGGGTGAAATTATTCACCTACCAATTACACTTAAATCACCTCATGAAGGAATTCATAAAGAGATTTGGCGTTTTGATACAACACCAGTTCTTTGTGGAACACATCCAATTCGTGTACACTTTCATGCTATATCTGTATGGCCAGAATATCATCAATTCTGTTACATTCTTGCAAAAGATATATTCATTCAAGTAAGCAGTCTAATTTCATTTATTCATTTATGTACTCATCAAGTTTTCTGGTAAACATAAAACAGTTTAATTTGTTGGTCACAGGGTTTCATCACGAGCTGACATAGGCTAGAGAACCATTGGAAAACATGCACGGAGTACTGCACAGCTGTTTCGCCAGCCTAGTTTGGGACTCTTCAGCAGTACGTGTCCACCACTAGGGTTAGAACCCAGGACCTTCTGGTTACAAGGCTAGTGAGCTCGTAGACCATTCAGCAGCCACTGGTAGCTGACCAGATCCAATGATGAGCCAGTGAATTCCATCTTCTGCCTATTCACGACATAACGCGACCACTTTGCAATGTCTTCTTCGATGAGTTACTGCCTCACCTTCACCTGGTCACGGCTTCTCACTAGAACTCCAAGTACTCCCTGCCTGAATAGGACCAGTCGCTAGTAAGCATAAGACTTATTATCAAGTATTGCTTTTGTAGAGATTTTGTTTTGATTGGTTGGAGAATTTCACCATGAGCTGACATCAGTTAGAGTACCACTGAGAAACCTTTGAGTACCGGACAGCTGTTTCGTCCTAGTTTGGCACTCTTCACAGTAAGCACCCAGAAATGGAATTTCAGGTACTTAGATATTATAAAGCCATTTAGAACACTAGATAAGCCCTCAAGTGGAACCCGAAAGGGAAGCGGCGAGTTGGCCGTCAGTGCAAGGTTGACTTGGAGGCCGTCATGTGAAGAGGAGATGAAAGCGTGTGGGCAAACTTGGAGCCAGGTGAAGACTCTAGCAGAGAACCGAACGCAATGGAGACGCATGGCTGAAGCCCTATGTTCCTCTAGGAATTAAAGGAAACGATAATAATAATAAATTTAGAACAATTGTGGCGTGTTTTTAAAATCAGAACAAGATTTTTTTAAATGAATGTTTCGCCTTCAAAGCCATAGCTCTTCGGAAAAATATATGGGCCATTCTGCTGAAATAGGTGTAGGTTTCACAGCGAAACGTTCAGAAAAATTTTGTTTTCAATTGTAAACACGCAGGAATTATTTTAAATAATTTCATAATCAATCATTCAATCTGACTTGGTGCTCCAACTATTTCAGACAATTCTGAATATTTATAGTTAGGAATTATAGTCACAGACTTTTATCAACACCTGCCTTCGCTGGCTCCATGCGGAAGATCGGATGGCCATAACGAATTAGCAACATGAGACTCAGTTTTGGAACAAGCCCACCAAGAGCTGGTTGCTCGATATATATGCAGTAGAAAGTGGAGATGTATCTGTCGAACGATATAGTGCTCAGTGCAGGCCATTTCTCGAGTGGAATCGAAATGGGAAGTGAGGAGTCAGTCACCACTGTGAGTATGACATGAAAGAGATCACATGAGGAAGAAATGAGAGATTATGGGCAATCTTGGACGCAGATGAAGAGGAAGGCAGAGAATAGAACAAAGCTGAGATATGTTGTTGAAGCCGTATGTTCTACTGGGAACCCAAGGGAATAATAATAGTATTGTGGTGAGAGCTGTCTACTAGCCAAATTGCTAGACAGTAATTTACGTCAATGTTCACGTTCTCAAGATTTGTCGTGAGAAAATATGCACAAAGACTGATTCAAAACCGACCACAGCAGACTTTTCTTAGGCGGATACAGTTAACATATAGATGATCTGACATTCAAGAAACAGTCACAAAGAGATGAAAGATTAACTTTACGTGAGAAACAACCAATCGGAAGACTGTGTTTGTTTGCTTAACTAAACTATAATAATGTACATGAAAATATATAAATATGCTTTGATTTCCTTAATAATTTATAGTAATAACTGTAACACATAACCTCAATGAAATGCACCTGAACTGATAAGCAACACTCTGGACATCATTTTCATAACCAAACTCGTAGAAGTCTAACGACAGAGGACAAGGGCCAGGCAACAGATCGTTTATTGAGAAAATCAAGACATATTTATATATTTTTATGTACATTATTATTCGTTATTTTAGCAGAGAAACAGCGTCTTCTGATTGGTTCTACTTGTTGAAGGTTATTTTGTACTGCTTGTGACCGTTGCCTACAAAGTTATGTGTATATCTGCGAATCGTATTTGCACACGCTAAGTCTCCCGTGATTGGTTGTTGAGTTCCTTAAGGTTAAGCTTTGTTCTTGTTTTTCTCGTGACGCCGATTCGGGACGTAAACATTGACGTCAATTGTTGTCTACCAATTTCGGCTAGCAGACAACTGTCACCACAGAATTATATGAATAGTACAGATCATAGAGCCTTTATAATTCATATTACCATAGTATTCAAGAAGTCTGTTATAGATGAAATACGCATACATATTCGACACAGTCTTCATCAGAAGGTAGTTAATGTCTGTTTCAGCCTACTTTAAAATCCTTCAGCAGAGCACACTCACAACCTTGCAGGACTATCGGGAGGAAAAAAACTTCAAGTTTCATGTTGTTTTTGTAGTTCCCTTGGGTTCCTAGTGCAACATAGGGCTTCAACTGTACGTCTCAACTTGCTTCTGTCTTCTGCTGTACTTTTCACCTGTATCCATGTTAGTCCATACTGTTTCAGCTCCTCTTCACACAATCTCCTCCATGTCACCCTTGCACAGACGTTCCACTCGAGCAATGGCCTGACGCGCGATGTCACCCAGTGGCCTCCTCAGCGAGTGTCCAATTCATCTCCACTTTCTCCTGCATATTTGTTGGGCGATTGGCTCTTGTTTTGTTTGTTCCCATAGTTTCTTGTTGGTGATTCTTTCCGGCCATCTAATCTTCAGTATAGAACGAAGACAGTTGATGATAAAGGTCTGCAACAGGCTGTTGGAAATATTCTTTGTGACACACTGGCCAAATTTCTGATCCATCCGTATAGAAGAACTGACTGACTTGACGTTTGTATTGAAAATCCGAATCACTTTGTTGTTGATGCAGGCTGAGTGACGAAGATTTCCAGATTGGTTTCAGGTTGATGAATGTATTTCTCGCCTTCCCGATTCTCGCTGGATTTGACATCCTCGTCCGTTCCACCTGCCTGTAGTTGAGACAATGCTCCCTAGATAAGTGAAACAAGTAACCTCTTTCAAATCCCTCCCGTTGATGGTGATTGGCGGTGGATATTGCTGTTGTTGTTGTTGGTGGTTGGTTGGTTATTTTCACAACCTCCGTCTTGTCTATGTTCACCTGGAGTCCTGTCTTTGCTGCTTCTCCGACCAGTTTGTCAGTTTTCGCTTGCAAGTCTTCAATTTTGTGTGACATCAAACATAAATCATCCACGCGCGAAATCCAGGTCTTCTAGATTCTTCACGTCGGTCCAGGATATCCCTGTCTTCTCGTTTCCCGCTGTCTGACGCGTGATCCAGTCCACCACAATTAGGAATATCATTGGTGATAATAAGCACCCTTGTCTGACTCCTGTGTTTACTCGAAACGCCTCGTTGAGTTTTCCGTTGTGGATGACTTGACATGTTTCGTTGTCGTACAGCTGTTGAATAGGCTTGATGAATGTTTGGGGTACGCCGTAGTATTCGAGTAGTTTGTCAAGTTTCATGACAAACACATTATTGACTTAATCATTCGACTGTTTTTAAATAGTTCACATTTTAGATAAACTTATAACTTCAGGTTTAACTCAACCACAATACACAGTTTTATTGATGCTGGACTGTTAAATGTTGTGTCAGATAACATAGACGCTAGTTGCTTTCCCCCTGCCATACAATATCAGTATACATAAAACTGAGTGGTTCTCCAAAAACAGTGGCACAAATTAAGCATACACGCAGCTGTGCATGTTATCTATTATAAATTTATTCAGACGTTGAACTGCTGCTCTCTACTTTCAATCACCTAGAACAAAAAATATATTCTGATATTATCTCTTCTTTTCAAGAAGTTTCATATGAACAGCTGGAATTTTGAATAAATATTTTTATATATATTATTTTGTCCAACCCGAAAATTGTGGGAAATATGAAGAGGCTTTCGACGATAGGTAACTTTGTTCAATTCCCCCTCCCCCCTCCCCATGAAGTATAGTAACGTGATAAGTAACAATTAGACTAGTAAGGTAAGTTAGCCAAATCCTCATCCACTGAGATGACTGTGATATCTCTCATGCACAACGAATCATTACTTTCCTTATTGCACAATATAAGCTTAGGAAAGAGCTAGATGTGGTCATACTAAAACTTCGACTATCGCTGTGTTCTATACACGGTATAAGCAAAGCTATTTGAAATGTATTCATAGATTTTCTTTAAAACCAAGAATGACTTTGTTTAGTGAAAATGGATTTTGGTTTTTTTATGAACAGTTAGCAATCAGATATCAAATCATGGGTTTTTTTGATGACCGCTGATATGAGCATTATACAGGGAAATGGGCTCATCGAATTGTTCGGCATCAATGATTTCACAGCCTTATAAGCATAGCAAAAAAATAATTTACAATGGCTTTTAACTAATTATGAAATTCCGACCAGGTTTTTCAATCTCTGCTTGTGTAAAGTAAAAATTTTAAAAAAAGTTGAAATAAGGCACTTCTATGCACGTTTCTATATTTGTCTGTCTTTCTAAGTTTCTGTGGCCCAAATAAAAGCCATAATTGTACTGATTAACTGTTCAGTTATGCTAAAACTGTTGGGAAATGGAGCCTGGAATATTAACGATAAAATGTAATATCAACAACTGCGCCCGGGACTCTTCAAGGATTGTGCTAAGCGTGGGGCGAGGGGATTGCTCAAAAGTATCCGTGTCCTACTACTTGCCGCATTTCTATTCTACTTTTTCATTCCTATTTCATACTTTACATGTTTCTTACGGTTTTCTTCATTTCTCTTGTCCGCAACTTCATATCTCACTCACGCTACTTTATAAATTCTTGTCAGTATCTCATACCGCGGCTCATCTCATGCCGTTGTGCGTCGGTGGCATAGTTCTTAGGACTTTCGCCGACCATGCGCATGGTCCGGGATTCAATCCCCGGCCGACGAACTCCTTTACCTCGCTAAGCCAGAAATAATGCTGGTGGAGAGGAAAGGTTGGGCATGAGGCTAGCAACCCCATCCTGTAAAATAAGCACTGCTACAGAAACTTTAGGCCACTAGCTTGAAGCCCTGTGTTCCACTGGGAACGTGAAGGAAATAAAAAAAATATCATACCGCAATACTGGTTGTGCATTAAACTAGAACTTTTTTTGATGAATAACTTTGAAAGTAACCAGTGATTTATTTTATTTTTCTAAGTTAGAGAATGAAGCTAACTATCGAATGGTATATCGAATGTTGGAAAATATAATCATGAATATTCAACCTGAAGAACGTCCTCCCAGTCCTGTTTATCCTCCAGAGACAGCAGAAGAAGTCTTTGCTTTGTCTAATTCATCTGTAAGTTTTGATGTGTTAATGATTCAAGAATAGTATTGTAACAACAGAAGACAACGGCAACAGATCGTTTATTAAGGAAAATCAACACATATTTATAGATTTTAATGTACATTATTGTAGATTATTGTCTGTAGAAAATGCAGTCTTTTGATTGGTTGTTTCTCACAGAAAGTTAACCTTGCATCTCTTTGTGGCTGTGTCAGATCATCCATATGCTAACTGTATCCGCCTACGCAAAGCCTTTGTTCTCATTTTCTCACCACCAATATTGGGGACATAAACATTGACGTCAATTACTGTCTACCAACTTTGGCTAGCAGCTAGCTCTCACCACAGTATCTGATCAATTGCTGAATTTCTTAAACGGTTTAGTCAAACCTACAGGCCACTTCACGACTGTTAGTTTTCACTTCTTCTCTTTTGATTCTACATCCCCATTTTTTTAAATTCCTTCACGTTCCCAGTGGGACACAGGGCTTCAAGCTAGAAGTTTGAAATCTCTGTAACAGTGTTTATTTTTTTTACAGAATGGGGTCGCTAGCCTCATGCCCAACCTTTCCTCTTTACTAGCTTTTTATTTCTGGCTTAGCGAGGTATAGGAGTGAATCTGTGGCAAGGAATCGAACCCCGAACCATGTGCATGGTCGGCGAGCGTCCTAACCACTATGCCACCGATGCACCGACGCCCCATAAGATGAACAAATCTGCTTAAATATTACCGTCTGTGGTACTCTAAAAAAAGTGGATGTGACCGTCAGTACACTTCTATAAAACAACTCAGTTTTAATAAATTTTGAAACTGTATTCAATGATATTGTTGTTATTTTTGCGAAAGGGTCATTCGGAGAATAGATACTATTTCAAAAAACAGTACACTACTTCACAAAAATACGGCTAATTACCAACAGTAAGATTTTGACAACTATCAAGAATCCTTAAGAGTGATTAGGTGGTGTGTCAAACAATAGTTTGATAAAAACTAAAGCAAAATTAGCGGCTCATTCAAAATAATCAATATAACTAAATGAATTAAGTATTAAGTCTATAAATGGTAGAGATTTTGTCCTAAAGGCCATCCATCTGTGGTGAGGGAAGAAACAAAGATTTCATATGTGACAAATAAAGTTATCAGAGCAATTCGAAGCTACCAGTTCCACAGAAGTAATTCTAAGAGATTTGGTAATAAATCCTGCGCAGAAGCTGAGATTTTTCTATTAAATGATATTACTTTATATATAGTATTACGGGTGAAGAAGCAATTCACAGCTGTCTGGGACTCTTCCTTACTGCTGTAAGGTGACTTTGAGAGCGTCAGTGATTTTCAGTGGTTCTGTGTTTGATATTGATTCGTACTAAGATCAGTTTTGAAACCAATCAACCCTCTTTCGAACAAACTTGACAATTCTTGTCTGACTGACCTAGTTCTTAACTAAATTGCTAGTATTATAAATGATAACGGAATCCTTCTAGAGGCAAGTTATTATGAATTTGCAACATTAATGTATGTGTAAAACTTGGGCGCTGTGGTAGTAAGTAATTCCATATTAGTTTGTTCATTAGATATATCACACAGTGAAACAGTATTATTATTTACTAGATTACATTCCGAACACAATTTATTGTTTATATTCATATCAATTATAATCACACGACTTCGAAACTTGAGTTTCATAGTTTTCTTTGTCTTCTCCTATTTGTCGTATGGGTAGTAGAATTTTCCAGATATCTGGGTGGACAGGTATTGAATTATTCTTTATTACACCTGTTTGAAGTTGATTTGATAAACAAAGCTCCTGTTATCAATCTCTCCCTCCACCAAGTTGTTACATTAGATTTTAAAACTGTCATCTTATCCCATCCCATTGCATGGTTGTGTGTAATTGCATGTAGTACTATATGCAGCCGAACTATTCTCTAGATTTCTTATCTTATTTGGATCAACTAATCTAGATTTTGCTAGGTTTTTATGTTCGACTAGTCTGACTGCACCTGTTCTACTAGTTTGACCTATGTATTTGATCTGACAATCAACTCAGGCGGGGTATTGAACTAAATTGTTTTGTTTTAAAGGCTCCACAAGATCCTTTAACCGACAAAGCTTGTTTCTAATTGAGTTTCAAGGTTTGAATGCCAGCCGCTTTTATTTTTGCCTTATTGAGAATTCTGCGTAAGGTTTCCGAGGTTCCTTATTTGTATGGATGATGATTTAGATTCCTTATTGTTGGTGATGTCTGAGCATGTTTGACATGCATGTATTCATTAACATTACTATTATTATTATTCAATAATAGAGCAAAAAAACTAAGTAGTACCAAAGAAAATCTAAGACAGGAAGTTAGGCATATAATAGAGGCTTTGAAACTTAATAATTACCCTGATAAATTAGTCAGAAAGTATGTAAGAAAATGTAAAAATAAAATAAATAATGATAGTAGTGATAGTGAAAGTAATAATAATAGTAATGACGACATGCATGTCAAACATGCTCAGACAACACCAACAATAAGGAATCTAAATCATCAGTAGTAATTCCATACAAGAAAGGAACCTCGGAAACCTTACGCAGAATTCTTAATAAGGCAGGAGTAAAAACGGCTGGCATTCAAATCACCCACAAACTCAATTAGAAACAGGCTTTGTCGGTTAAAGGATCTTGTGGAGCCTTTAAAACGAAACAATTTACTTTTTTCTGATACGTTGCCTAGGGATGGCGATGACGAGCCACAGGCAGAACAAAATATGGAATGTATACTCCACTGTCATTTAATACTTCGAGAATAATATATATTTATATATATACGTTTCTTTATAGTTGAAATAACTACTTCATAACATTATTTCGAATAAATATTGTATATGCTCTTCCTTAAAAGATCCAGTTGTTTGACCCCGTTTAAGTAGGTCAGCATGGAATTCTAGTTTCCCTAAGTGAAATTTCCATCCAAGATTCAAGAAAGACTAATAATATTGTTCATGTCTGATGTTCATCAACCACTGTTTGTTTGACAGTGTATGCAAACTTGAGAAAAAGTTATCAACGATTGACCTTTCCAAAAATTTGTTATAGAATCATGGAAATTTTACTTTTTAACTTATTGATATAGTGATTGATAATTCTTTTTTATATAAGTTCGCCCCTGATAAGCCTTCATGCTGCCTTTATATCTTCACAGCTAAATTATAAACACAATGTAATTCAAAAACTGAAACAATTATACACAGAACTTAAGGAAAGAGAATACAAAATCCTTGGAAACTCTAATGAAACGTCATCATCTAATACTGACAGCTGGAATTATTCCATTTCAGAATTAAGAAAAGTGAGTTTCAGTCCGGTAGAATTTGGAATCCTTCTTTAACCTGTTTGTGGAGTTTAATAGAACCTGGTTGTTCGAATGTTATTTTAATTATTAGTAACAGTAATAATAAAGTTTTATTTCAGACGTAATGTGAACACATAGTACAGACATTCTGGTGACTCTAAACTATAGTAGCCCAAACAGAAGCTACCCAGGGAACGGATAAATGACCTTGACAACGACAACTTTGACCAATCAGACGCCTCTATAGAAACATCGCATAATTTGAATAAAACGTTTATATAAAAGTAATGCAATGTTAAAAAATAATTACAAAGGATAACGTTCTTGTATTTGTTCCGAAAAAAACTCCCAATTTCTCATAGGAGTCTTCATAGTTATGTTAAACCAAGCCCTGTACATAAACTCATCGAGATAACTGTATATCATTGCATTTCTTGATCCATTCACAGATCTGATCCGTTTTTTGAGGTGACTCCAAAAATTTTCGATGGAATTAATGTGAGTTCCATCGAAAGGATTGATGAAATCATTTGTATGGTTGACGACGTGATGAATATAGCCTAGGTTTAATAGCTGACTATAAATAATCCATTCATCTGTATGAATAGTTGTCCCAGATATCACTAAGAGTTGGATAATCGGCAATAAGAAACTTGAATCTTATCGAACGAGAATCAAAAATATAGACAACTGTTTAACATTACTTGTTACAAGCCAAATCTGTGAATCCTTCCAAAAATTGTTTAATGAACGAGAATCTAATATCACTAAAAGAAGACAAATACAAAAATTCTTGAAACTCGAAGAAACAACCAAAGAAAACCTCAGCAAATGATATGAAGAATATTAGAGCCATACATAACATGTCAGAAAAGATACTAACCGAAAATGAAACCTCATCACCGCAGAAAGCTTTGAATCTCAATATTACTAGAAAGCCATTATCGGTCCAGGAAATAGCATCAATGATCGAACCTGCTTTACAACACTTCACCAATGAAGAATCACAATCTGTACGTCAAAAGATATCACACATATTAATGACACAAAGAAACATACCATCTAATCTCACCAAACAAGAATATGAAGCCTTAAGAAATTTGAAGAAAGACAAAAGCATTGTTATAACGAAAGCCGACAAGGAAAACGTCACTGTGATAATAAACAGAACGGATTATGAAAACAAGGCGATTGAACACCTATCTGAAAGACCATACTTACTCACTGAAGAGAAGAAGAAATCCGCCGAATTCAACAAAATGAAACTAAATACAAACAAACTCCTTCAAAAAATGAAACCCAAAATTAGAAATTCTCTCTGGTTTAAACTAAAACCAAAATCTTATGTACCTTCAAGATTCTACGGTCAACCAAAGATGCATAAACCCACAGTTCCATTAAGACCAGTAATAGATTTCACCAACTCACCGACATACAACCTATATAAATACTTACTGTCGGTTCTACAACCACTACAAAAGGAAACAAAATATTGTAAGAAATTCGTATGATATCAAATCCCAAATAGAACACCGAGAAATTGATAAAGAAGACATTGTGGTAAGCTATGATATTAACTCATTATATACTAGTATCCCTATTACCGAAAGTCTTGATATCATTTCCAGTCTACTAGAATCAGATACAACGCAAACACAAAAATGTCCACTGGATGCCAGTGAAATAATTAAGAGCTTGAAATTCTGTCTGGAAAGTTATTATTTTACATTTAAAATGAATTTATATAGACAGACAAATGGTGTTCCTATGGGTTCCCAAGTCTCCCCAATAGTCGCTGATATTTTCATGAATAGATTCAAGCATACTCACTCCTAAAATATGGTTGGGATACATTGATGATACTTTTATAGTAGATCTACACAGAAACTGAACAATCTATCTCCCAGAATCCAGTTTACTTCGGAAGCTGAATCAGACGTCGGTCAACTACCGTTTCTAGACTGCATAGTTAAGAGAAGGGAAAACGAACATTTTAGTATATCCATACTCATGAAGAAAACCCACTCCATTAAATATTTAGACTTCAAATCATCACACCCCATCAGCCCAAAGATTTCAGTTGTTTCAAGTGTTCTCAGGCGAGCACACTCTTTGATGTTAACGGATGATAAAGAAAAAGAAGAGGAAATATCAAACATTACTGAGACTCTCAAACAAAACAACTATCCAAGGAACTTCATCATTAAAATCAACACAGACATTTAGTATGGCCGAAAACGCATTGCGGAAACATGAACCTCGACAATCGTCATTCCATATAGAGCAGAGACGTCAGATGATATCAGAAAAGTACTCAATCAGCTCGACATTAGAGTTTTCTTCAAAACACCAGACACACTGTGAAACAACCTTGTCTATATTAAAGACCAAATCCCTAAAGATTCTCTGTCTAATTGTGTCTAGAAAATAAAATGTTTGGTGGGAGTGTGATGCGATATACATGGGACAAACCTCACCAGAGAGAAATCAAAATCAGAAGAAATGAACACCGTAGAGCATCTGTTCGACCACCGAGAAATCCAGTCGAACTAGAAAAACTTGAAAAATCATCAGCCATAGGTCTACACGCTACGCTATAGAATCAGGCCACAAAAATGGTTTTGAAAATATTGAAATAATCCAGAAAAACTTCAGAAATCACGAAGAACGTCTAACATCAGAAGAACTTCAAATGATCAAATGGAATCCAAATAGTCTGAATAGGAATGATGGACTAAAACAGAATCTGACCTGGTTACAACACCTCCCTCCCCATGAAGTGACAAAATCAACACGAGTGTGATATGCAAGTTCACTATGTAAACACACACTGCTTTTATAATTTTACACACTGATCAAATCCAACAATCTACACTTGGTTCTGTTATCTTTATCAGTTGACCAACTTGACCACGAAAAATGACCCCAGACTGACGAACGATGATCAAGTTGGTAAACTTTGTTTTGATATCATAACAGATGTACTATTATAGGTTTCCAGGCCGTAGGTGTTACGAACTTCCTGGAATAATTTGAGCGCCGAGTCAGATTGATTCATTATAAATTATTTAAATTAATCCCAGCGTGTTAAAAAAATGATAGCAAGATTTTTCTGAACGTTTCGCTGTGTAAGCCACAACTTCTTCAGCATTAAATAGCGAAACGTCAGTAGAAACAATATCGTTTTGTCTTTCATTCATTGGGAAATACCAAAACCTTTATTATAACGAATATCATATACCCAATGCCAAAATTTTTTCAAACTGTTAAAAGTGAACTTGGTTTGGACATATTTAATAAGACATTTGCACTGCGATTATGCATCGCTTCAATGTATCCTTTGTGGAGGGTGGTGTCATATTTCCCCAACACCCACTGCTGATTGACACTCAATCTACCTTGATTATATTTTCTTTTTATAAGCACTGTCTCATCCACATGAACAATGACCCCAACGCCGCCAAGTACTTGAGTTAGTCTGTTCATTTTTCATGATGTCATGTCTCTGTAGTACTGGTACCATTACACTGCAGACAATTCTGAACTTTCTGATTCATACGCTGTTGCTGTTACTGGTCTTTTAAGCACCCAGTTATGAAACATTAAAATTTTCAATAGAAGTAACTTAGACTTGGCGAAAAAAGTACCTACTGAATGTGTAAACTAAAAAAGAATGGCACACCTCGAACTGACTTTATGACTCAGCACTCATCGCACCTGTAAACAAATCCACCAATGCACCTAGTATATCTTTTTAAATACATGATACCTTCACATTCACACTTTTTCGACCTTCCTATCAATTTATTCTCCAAACAGTAATCAAAAACAAGATCTGGAGCGAATTCGCAACGCAAAAGGTGTACAGCATCTATAAGTATGCCTGTATAATACTGAGTCACCTGGTTAGTTGCTCAAGGTCATTTATCCGTTCGCTGGGTAGTTTCTGTTTGGGCTGCTATAGTTTAGAGTCACCCATTTGTCGTAGTGTTGTTGCATATGAAGAGAGGACCAATCATGTACATTTTATTTGATTTCTTTCAAGAATTTCCCAGCGTTTGGCTGTCAGCTAATTAAATATGCACGCGAGTTCATGTAGCGACTGTTTGATATAACTGCTTCATTAAAACAATAGGAAATGAATAGGAGCTTAAGCACTTCAATAGATAAAAATTCTGGTAACTCAGTGATTTATGCAGGTCATCGATATGGTATATTTGCATATCTGTGCTACAGTGCTAAAAGTACAGTCTTTCTACAAGTATCCTACACAGTTGATGATAATGCTAGTGGAATAAGGGATAGATTGAACGCTGAAATGGAAAAAAATATATCAGCTGTCATTTTATATATATATATATATATATATATATATATAGCATTCTATTTCATGTCGTTTAAAGTAAACCAAAATCACACGCTCAGTGATTAGTTAAAGGATATAAACTGTGTGTATATAGGTAGTAGTGTGACCAATTGAAAATATATCTTGGTTTCCATGTCTTGCCGTCTGCTGTCACAAAAGTACTTGATAAGCAGCTAGGATTCAGATGGTTTGAACTGATTCGATACTCTGAACTGAGCCACTTCAAGTACACCCTTGGTAATTAGTGGGCCCCAAGACTAGAGGAACAGTCATCTGGTGTTTAGATGAAATCGGTCTAAATATGGATCACTATTGTTTGACATGTGAGTGACTTCCAGATAGTCGTATGAATCATTCATCTACACCACCATGCATTCAGAAGACAATGTATGATCTGCTAAATACCATAAACGACAACCAATTAAAAGCTAGCTGCCTAGCAAGTACTAGTAATTGGTGTGAATGCCATCCAACTACTCAGCTCAATCAGTTAATAGTACATAGTATCATGCATCTGAGCTTGTTTTGTTGATTAGCATTTGTGGTATCAAATAGATTACAGATTATGATGTGAATAATTTTGTTTTTCGAAAATGAATCTATGGGGTAGAACTTTGTAATTTGTAAACTGCGAATGTGTATCACTGATAGCCCAAACTCGATTTCTTATTAAAGCTATTGAGCACCTTTTTTCAGTTTCTTTTCCTTCCTAAATAAATAATTACTAGAATACTTTTCCCACTGTGAGAATCAGAATGAATAACCTTCAGACTTTAGGCTGAGTTAAGTAACGCTATGATTTTATGTTGGCTAAATGCTAACATGACTGAAAATAATACTGTCTACCTCCTTGGGCTTTGTTATAATACGTAGCTGTATATATATATATATATATATATATATATATATATATATAATTAAACCAATGGTAGTGACTTGAATGTGCTAATAATAATAATAATAATAATAAATGCCTTGTTTATAGATGATTTACAAGTATCCGCCCGATATGAGTAAAATGAACGCCGCAGCCAAAAGAGAAGAAGAATTCACTAAGTTTTTCCAAACTGTTGACCAACTCGCGTTTCCAGTGAAAGTGAGCTTCATTAATCCATCTATGGAACGTTATAGAATTGGGTAAGTTGTTTTAAACGCTTGCCTGCTTGCTTGCGTGCTTAAGTATTTATCCTCAAATATTCTTTTGAATCGGAACCCAAGGACTTAAACGTAGTTGATGTTTAAATCAGTATTACATCAGATGAAGTTACAACCATCCCTAATGGTTGAAAGTTTAGTGAAAATTTTAAATTTAAATGAAACGTATCAAAGGATCATAACCTATAGAGTTGTTCTTCATTTTCTCTAACATGGTAATCTTTAAACTTGGTGCTTATGCTGTTATAACTTTTGGCCAGAGAAGTCACTTGCATATCTCATCCATTCGTATATGAAGTTAGATCCCTGTCAGCGGAAACCATGAGTAGAAAACTTATTAAATCAGATGAAACGGAAGTGTGAAGCCTTTTGTTGATTTTTTTTACAACTAATAGCCATCAGATAAAGTATATTGAGTGCAATGTGACTGAAGACTGACAAAATGTATAGCTGTGAACTTCTTATAATCAACTAGTGGACAGTTTTATGTCAGTGTTACACAGAGTGGATTTATCCAAAGGCGCTTAATATTTAAATTGGTTAGTGAAAACCAACTGGAAATCACGATGGTAATCTGAGTATCACTATATCTCTAAATATCCGACAACATGATATCAATCTCCGAGTTCCTAATACTTTACACTGTGTATTGCACTGAAATGTCACTTTCTTTACAGGTCAGTTGGTAAGCCTATTTTGAAGAAGCTGGAAGTATACGTTAGAACAATAAGCATTTACCCACAGAATTTCTGTGATAATTGCACTACTTGTTTCTATCTGACTTTCTTCTACAGGTATACATTCTTATCTCAAACACTTGTCAGTCTATTTGAATTATGTTCAAATCTACGCCAAACACATGGGCTTGCAGAACTTACTAGTGGTCCAGTAAAATGTAAGTTAAATTTCACTAAAATTTTCTTCCTAGACGTTACAGTATCAGTGGTATCTTTTTACTTGATGAGGCTGCTAAGCTCACTCGTAACCTTTCCTCTTTACTTGGTTCGCTACCGGCTAACCGACATATACGGGTACGTTGACAGGAAATAAAAACCGGGAGCATATGTGTGTTTCAAGCTAGTGGCTTGAAGTTTCTGTAGCAGTGTTTATTTTACAGGATGGGGTTGCTAGCCTCATGCTCAACCTTTCCTCTCTACCAGCTTTATTACTGGCTTAGCGAGGTGGAGGAGTGCGTCGGCCGGGGGTCGAACCCCGGACCATGTGCATGGTCGGCGAGCGTCCTAACCGCTATGCCACCTCGCCTAGATTACTAGGTCACTAGTATTCTAGCCGGTCCCAAGCCCAGATAAAAAGGGAGGTTTGGGACGTGGTGCTAGCAACTCCACCCCCAAAACTTAAACAAATTGCTACTAAAACTTCAACGCACAAATACATTAAAAATTCTAAAAATACAAACAATAACCTTATTTTTCGCTGGAATCGGGGAAGTGAAATGACGCAGGCTGGTGAAAGCCTTCGAGAAGCCAGTCAGCCGATGTGCCTTCTTTCGATGAAAGCAAAAATAAGGATGGGGACGTGGAATATTCGTACAATGTACGAAACTGGAAAGGCTGCTCAGGTAGCCGCAGAAATGAGGAGATATAAAATAGAAGTGTTGGGAATCTGCGAGAGCAGATGGAACGGATGCGGAAGATGCCAACTACCAACTGGAGAGACAATAATCTACTCCGGTCACCCAGAGGACGTTCACGAGCACACCGAGGGAGTAGCCATCATGATGTCACCAACAGCGGCTAAAGCTCTCATGCAGTGGAAACCAATCTCCTCCAGGATAATGACAGCCAGGTTCAACTCAAAAGGAAAAAAGGTTACAATCATTCAATGCTACGCGCCTACAAACGTCTCAGAAAAAGAGAAGAAGGAGGATTTCTACAGTCATTTACAAACAGTAATGGACAACGTCCCAAAGAGCGATATCAAAATCCTGATGGGTGACATGAATGCGAAACTGGGAGGAGACAATACAGGAAGAGAACTCACCATGGGTCGTGAGGCCCTCGGTGAAATGAACGAAAATGGCGAACTCTTCTCAGACTTCTGCGCCTTCAATGATTTGGTGATTGGTGGCAGTGTGTTCAAACACAGGGATATACACAAGGCAACATGGATTTCACCAGATGGACACACCGAAAACCAGATAGACTTCATTTCAATCTCAAGGAAGTGGAGACGGAGCCTGCTGGACACAAGATCGAGGAGAGGAGCAGATGTGGGTCCAGACTACTATCTAGTACAAGGGACTTTCAAGGTGAAGCTGAAAGCCTCAAGGATACCTGAAGAAAGGCCACAATGCAAGTTCAACACGCAAAAACTGAAGGACACAATCACACAGGACATTTTCACTACAACTGTCAGAGCAAAGCAAGAAACACTACGTGGCACCACCGAGGAATCATCCGTGGAAGACCATTGGAACTCTCTGAAGGTAATTTTCAACGAAACGTGTTCAACGGTTTTAGGAAGAAAGAAGAAACAAGACAAGGAATGGCTCTCGACGGACACTTGGAAGCTAATAGAGGAGAGGAGAATGGTGAAAGAGAAAATGATTCAATGCAAAGATGGATAAGAGAAAGAGACGCTGAGCTCAACTTACACAGCACTGGACAAAGAAGTGAAGAAGAGTGCCAGGAAAGACAAAAGACAATTCCATGACAACCTGGCTACTGAAGCTGAGAATGCAGCAGGCAAAAGGGACCTGAGGACACTATATCAGATAACCAAGTCTCTATCCGGGAAGAGATCAACACAAGTGAAACCTATAAAAGACAGCCAAGGGAACCCAATTACCAAAGAAGAAAGACAGATTAAACAATGGGCGGACCACTTCAAAGGACTCTTGAACCGACCACCACCTACAACCCGTCCAGAAATACCAACAACAGCACGTACACAACTGCAAGTTGACACCAATCCTCCAACGAAAACTGAAGTCATGAATGCAATCAAGCTTCTGAAAGCTGGAAAAGCAGCTGGACCAGATGGAATACCCCCTGAAGCACTGAAAGCGGACCCAGAAACGACAGCAGATATGCTGATTCCATTATTGCAAAAGATCTGGAAAGAGGGAAAGGTGCCTACTGACTGGAGGAAAGGTTACCTAGTGAAACTACCAAAGAAGGGTGACTTAGGACTCTGCAAGAACTGGCGAGGAATCATGCTCCTGTCGACGCCAAGTAAAATCCTGAGTCGCATCATCCTGGAGAGAATAAAGGACGCACTGGATACAGAACTCCGATCAGAACAAGCTGGATTCAAGAAAGGCAAATCATGTTCTGACCAAATTGCAACTCTACGCATTATCATCGAACGAAGCATGGAATGGCAATCAAATCTCTACCTCAACTTCATAGACTTTGAGAAGGCCTTCGACAGCGTTGACCGCGAAGTAATTTGGAAACTACTCGAGTACTACGGCGTACCCCAAATATTCATCAACCTTATTCAACAGCTGTAAGACAACGGCACATGTCAAGTGATCCACAACGGAAAACTCAGCGAAGCGTTTGGAGTAAACACAGGAGTCAGACAAGGGTGCTGATTATCACCAATGATATTCCTAATTGTGGTGGACTGGATTATGCGTCAGACAGTAGGAAACGAGGAGACAGGGATATCCTGGACCGACGTGAAGAACCTAGAAGACCTGAATTTCGCGCGTGGATGATCTATGTTTGATGTCACACAAAATCGAAGACTTACAAGCGAAAACCAACAAACTGGTCGAAGAAGCAGCCAGAGAAGACAGGACTGCAGGTGAACATAGACAAGACGGTGGTTATGAAAATAACCAATTAACAACAACAGCAGCAGCAGCAACATCCAGCGCCAATCACCATCAACGGGAGGGATTTGAAAGAGGTTACTTCATTCACTTATCTAGGGAGCATTGTCTCAACTACAGGCACATGGAACGGACGAGGATGTCAAATCGAGCGAGAATCGGGAAGGCGAGAAACACATTCATCAACCTGAAACCAATCTGGAAATCTTCGTCACTCACCATCAACAACAAAATTCGGATTTTCAATACAAACGTGAAGTCAATTTTGCTTTACGGATCAGAAACTTGGCAGGTAACCAAGAATATTTCCAACAGCCTGTTGCAGACCTTCATCAACAACTGTCTTCGTTCTATACTGAAGATTAGATGGCCGGAAAGAATCACAAACAAGAAGCTATGGGAACAAACAAAAGAGGAACCAATCGCCCAACAAATATGCAGGAGAAAGTGGAGATGGATTGGACACTCGCTGAGGAGGCCTTTGGGTGACATCGCGCGTCAGGCCAGTGCTCGAGTGGAACCCGAAAGGGAAGCGGCGATGGTGACATGGAGGAGATCGTGTGATGAGGAACTGAAACAGTATGGATTAACATGGACGCAGGTGAAAAGTACAGCACAAGATAGAAGCAAGTGGAGGAGTGCAGTTGAAGCCCTATGTTCCACTAGGAACCCAAGGGAACAATAATAATATGTGTGTTTGCGAGCATTTTTTCAGTGAACATCCAGCGCATAATTAATACAGAAAACATTTTAACAACTAAGTGTCATATATAACGAGCAGTTTATACGAGTTTGACCACGGATTGATATCAGTTAGACAAGCATTGAAAACCAGCCACAAACAGTACTGGATAGTTATTTCATCCTAGTTTGGGAATCATCGGAAGTACGCACTCGCCTCAGGGAGTTTGAACCCACAACCTTCCGGTTGCAAGGCAAACCAGTAGACCATTTAGTCACCGGGACCAGATTCAATGACTGGTCCATGAACTCTAACTTCTATCAATTCGTGATTGAGCGCGACCACCAACCAATGTCATTGGTGGGAACTCCATCCTTACACTTGACTAGAAGGCCATTGAGTCGGGTGAGTCCCAGTGGCTGAATGGTATACGAGCTTGCCTTGTGACCATAACGTCCTGGGTTCAAACCCTGGTGGTGTGTGCTTACTTCCGATGATTCCCAAACTAGTATGAAATAGCTACCCAGTACTCTTTGTGGCTGGATTTTAATGCTTCTCTAACCGATATCAATCCGTGGTCAAACTCTTATAAATAAATCTAATCTTTATAAATCAACTCTTGAAAATATAACGAACAGATTTACTACTTCAAAACTGTCTAGGCAATAGGTAGATTGTTGACCACTGATCTGACTATGGTTGGATAGATGAAAGCTACAATTCAGATAGAAGACAAACCGATTTGGCGGCTCGATGTTTCAAAGTTTTATTCTATTTAAATGTGGATTACTAAACATTTACGAACACATATATATTCCTTATTATAAACTTGAAAACAGAAAGAATAAACACTAATACTAAGTTTCTATAGTTTGGTTTGTAAGGATTAGTTATGTTTTACGAGTTGATCGCGGACTGATATCAGTTGGTAGAAGTTAGAATTCATGAGCCATTGAATCGGGTCCCAGTGGCTGAATGGTATACGAGCTTGCCTTGTAACCGGAAGGTCCCGGGTTCGAATCCCAGTGGGTGCGTACTGCCGATGATTCCCAAACTAGGATGAAACAGCAGCTGTCCAGTACTCCCTGGTTTTCAATGGTTCTCTAACTGATATCAGTCCGCGATCAACTCGTAAAACTAATACTAAGTGGCATGAATTTAGTTCGTGTCCGTATCCCAAAAACATTAATCAGCTGTGAAAAGGCCCCACATATACTCTCTCAAACTGATGCATATATATAATTCAGGACGCAAATTTGATTGGGATAATGTAGAAATCTTAAATAGAGGAAACAAAAAAGATTGCCAGAAAATTTCTAGATGCCTGGCACTCAAATGAATCAGCCATAGATTAACAAACATATTACTATAGACTGAATTTACTAACTAATAAAAAAAATAAATAGCATGACAAGAAAGTTTGAATTCGAAGTCGATAAAAATGATCAATAAAGACGTAAATTAACAACCAGTCACGACAATGGTTGCCAGGAGATACAATTAGATCATTCATACTAAGATCTGCTCTGAAGCGATGTTTTCTAGATGGTGAACAGCGGAAGCTTCGCAATTAAAACAACCGGCTCAGAGAACAAAACCAAATCAAAGTGAATTCGGTTTACTCAGTCCGTTTCCTCCATTTATGTACTACAACGAACACTCTCCACTAATCTAAATTATAAAGGTTTTCAAACATTTCGGTGTAGATTTCATCATGAATTAACATCAGTTAGAGATCATTAAAAACCGTGGAGTACTGGACAGCTGTCTTGTTCTTCTTTGAAGCTCTTCAGCAGTGTGCAACCACGACTCGACCAGAGGTCGAACCTGAGACATTCAAGTTACAAGACCAAACTGGTTGATTTCGTGAGTGATGATTGAAGGCGATGAAATGAAAATCTGCATCACCCCATGAATTGATCCACTGGCCTCCGAATTAGTAATTTAGTGATTTATCAAGTGAGCTCCTATGCCCAACATCTAGAAAAACCAGTATTTGACTGCAATCACCGAATGCAATGTCCATATGTTATGCAAGTCAATGATGGGTAACTGTTGTTTTATCGTCATACTAACTACCCATCTAGGTCTTCTTTTGTCAGTCCTAAAGATAATTAATTAGAAGGAGAGGAGCTTAGATTATTTGACTGGCCATATATGCCTAAAAATCATTCCGAGTTCTCCAGATTTGTTCACTTCTTCCAACTTTCTTTCCTTAAAACAACATATTATCTGTCTAAACTTACCCTGTTGCTTCTTTTATCACTATCTCTCTCATTAAATAGACATTTTTACCTTCATTGGTTTTCCCTTTTCATTTCTGGTAAATGTGGCGGTGTGTACCACCATACTGTTTAAAATACTTTATTTTGCGAGGAATTCACAAGCTTCAAGACATTTATGATCATTCTGATTCAATGTATATGCGTGTTTGTTTTTTCATTCTTAAATATTTTTTTAGCTCAAAGAGGACTCAGAAATGCAAACCAAACATATGAAAGGGCACCTGTGTCAGCAGTAACTCGAGTAAGAATTCATTTTATTATAAAAGTGATAAACATTCATCTTCAACCTTTTATAATTCGTTATTAAATAGTTATTCTCTGAGATTTAATTTTTCCAATGAACATTTTCCTGAATCACTAAGACATCAAGCGATAGAACTGTGCTCAAACTGTTGTATTTATTTCTCTACGCCAGATGTCACCAAATGCTATTCTGCCTAGCCCTAAATGATCTCATTTTTTAGTGACACAGTCAAAGAGGGATTGGCACTACTGAATTGAAAAGGCGCTTAACATTATCGTCAGAAGGTTACCATGTAGTCCAAATTTTACAGCCCACATCAGTTCTAGATCTGTCATCCTTGAATCGGTGAATCTCAGTCAAGTTGTCAGTAACGTTTATTTCTGGCATTACATAACTTCCTCAATTCTTAGCTTTGTAGCTTACGAAATCTTGGTTTCATGAACACATTCATTTTTTCTGTTTAGTGTATTTTTAAAACTAGAAATTAATTGGAGGATGGTTAATAGCAGTGGAATCTAGGACAACACGCATTTTGTCCTATGTGGGACTCGTCATCTGGACACACCTGCATTGCCCGGTGAGCGATGGTGTTCTCACCGAAACTCAAACCCAGTTTCCACAGTTTCAAGTGCCAAAGCGTTATCCACTAAACCACTTGGGCCACGAGAGCCATCTCTTGTGCAATCGGTCGTACTAATTAATAATATATATATATATATATATATAATGGTCAGAAATAGCTGTCGAAATAAAAAAGCGGATGGTTTTTGTCGTATATGATACCACTAGATAAGGTGAACGTGTGGCTCAAAGTAACTCCTACTTTGTCAGAAATAAAAGTGTACACACTGCCCGAGCTTTAATCAATAATTATTGTCGACAATTTACTGGTTATCTAACGACCAAATCATTTCCAAAGTTTATTCTGACAAATGTTAGTAACTGTTAGGAATATCCACTAAGTCAATGGATGTATTCTGTCTTTTAAAAAGGTGCAAGAACTTGGTGCGTTGCTCAAATTTTTTTTAAGTTTAATCCAATTTAAAACAGTTAGTCCCTTTTATAAATTTTGATAGCATTATTAGAAGACGGAGATTATCTGAAAAATGTGATGTATTAGCGCTATACATTTCGAACAATCTGATCACACATTTACTTGTCAAGTCAATATATGTGGAAAGGTTAAATTAAACAAGATGACAAAAAAAAGAATTAAGAATAATTAACACAAACGTTTGGTAATCCAATCAAATAAGGATTACCAAGGTAGGTTAAGAGTAATAACAAACTGTTTTTGAATACACAAGGGGGGCTTAAGTTTATGGATGGCTATAGCCTCAGCGTATTTCAGTAAACGTCCTTGACCGTTTTTATAGATGACCTTAAAGACTGAGTTAACATCAACCTTATGGATCATCTCGATTAAATGTTTAGCTATAGACGAAGTTGGTAGTCTGGCACCTGCATCTATGGGCTTGTCACTATTATGAAATCCCACATGACAATTCTAATGAGAAGTTATGTGGATTGATTGAACTCCTTTTATCGGCATGAAACATATTGTCTGATGTCTCCATTATTTGCCAAATCAAGTTCATTAATTTTTGTAGCTCTGCCGTTAATAAGACGAAAGAGAATACCAGATTGAAATTGCTTGGATCTTGTACCTCTGACTCTCAATTAAACCAATTCCCATTAAATCCTGATAAGTATGTGACAAATCTGTCATCGGTTGAACTTTTATTACATGAAAAGGAGGTGCTATCACTTGGTTTCAATTTTTCTATCCCATTAAACAATATTTCGGACTTAGCAATTGATTCTCAGTTTGAAAATTTGTATGATCAGTTGAGTTCCCTAACTCCTTCCTCGACAGATGACCAAAGTTGGTTGAAAGTTAAATTTGTAGACGTAGCACACCAATTCCGTAATTCAAGTCGGAAACAAAGAAGCATTTTAATATCAACTCATTTTAAAGCCCTAAAGGAATTACGTAACAGAACCGATTTAGTTATTTTGAAACCTGACAAAGGATCTGGTGTAGTTGTAATGGACAGATGCGATTACAAAACAAAAATGTTATCCATCCTTAGTGACAAAAGCAAATTCATAGCCGATGTTCCTTCGGATGATATCAGAAAATTAGAAGGAAAAGTAAATTCTCATTTAGTAAAACTTTGTGGCTTGGACGTTATCGATAAACAGGAGTTTAATTCCTTGAAACCCATGGGATCTGACTTTCCAAACCTCTATGGATTACCCAAAATTCATAAGGTTGATAATCCATTACGGCCAATTCTTTCAATGTGTAACTCTCCTACACATAAATTAGCAAAATGGCTAGCTGATATTTTAAGTCCAGTGCGCAATGAATTATGTAAGTTTACTTTAAAAGATACATTTGAACTTGTTGACTATCTTGTAGATATGAACATAAAAGATAGGAAAATGTATTCATTTGATGTTAATTCTTTGTTTACTAATGTACCATTGGTTAAGACTGTTGATATTCTTTGTGACTATATATCTTCTAGTTGTTTTTCACTTCCTTTTCCTTTAACTTATTTGAAAGATTTATTACTATTGTGTACTGATAACGTCCATTTCACGTTTGAAGGTGAACATTTTAGACAAGTGGATGGTGTTGCTATGGGGATGTTTTTATGTCTTATGTTGAAAACTTATCTTCTGATTTAATTTCTAAATTGCCTTTCTATAAGAGATATGTAGACGATATCATTTTGATTTGCGATGATCATGAAGATGCGAGTCGTCTATTGGACAGACTCAACTCTGTACAGAATCATATTAGTCTTACATGCGAGGAAGAAAGTCGCAACCAGCTCGCATTTTTAGACATACTTCTGAGTCGAAGAGACGATGGCTCAATAAGACGTTCTATCTACAGAAAGCCCACTTGGACAGGGCAATACCTTAATTTTCACAGCTTCTGTCCATTACAATATAAGAGAGGCTTGGTGAAGTGTCTATTTAAGAGGATTCAGCGTATTTGCACGGCTGATGTTATAGACAAGGAAAACGAAATATTGATGGATACTCTTGTTGAAAACGGATATCCTTTGAAGTTTTTAAACAGGTGTAGAAGTCAACTAGCCTCTAAACCTACAATCCATACCGTCCCTAAGAAAAAGGTTTTCATCAAATTACCATATAATGGGGAAATAAATAGTAGGATTTTGAGACAAAGGTTGAATTTCATCATCCGTAGAACCTACTATGCAGCCAAGCTTGTAATTGTCGAAAAGGCTAAAAATATGCTTCACTGGAAACCTCAAAAGTGCACAAATGATTATATCACATCCCATACAATTTACCAATTTTCGTGTGTGTGTGGACATACATACATAGGGAGGAGTAATCGCGCGTTGCACGTGAGGGTGGGAGAGCATATCCCAAAGTGGTTAGGAAAACAGATGAATTGTGACAAGCCCATAGATGCAGGTGCCAGACTACCAACTTCGTCTATAGCTAAACATTTAATCGAGATGATCCATAAGGTTGATGTTAACTCAGTCTTTAAGGTCATCTATAAAAACGGTCAAGGACGTTTACTGAAATACGCTGAGGCTATAGCCATCCATAAACTTAAGCCCCCCTTGTGTATTCAAAAACAGTTTGTTATTACTCTTAACCTACCTTGGTAATCCTTATTTGATTGGATTACCAAACGTTTGTGTTAATTATTTTTAATTTTTTTTTTTGTCATCTTGTTTAATTTAACCTTTCCACATATATTGACTTGACAAGTAAATGTGTGATCAGATTGTTCGAAATGTATAGCGCTAACACATCACATTTTTCAGATAATCTCCGTCTTCTTATAAGTTTAATCCATACATTTACTCCAGTAGACACCCACAACTCCATCTAAAACTGACTACAGAATACTAGATCTCGTGGCCAGCTGTTTATCACTCAACCACTGCACCTAGTTGATGACTTCATAGGAAAGAAAAGTTTTCTTCGCTGCAATCATTCTTCTAATTTTTCCTATGATCTAATATGTTCATCCCGCAATTTAATATTCATTACTTTCCATCTTCTGCCAATTGATCATGTATATCTCTCAGCACCCGAGGTCAGTTCTAAATGACTACTCAGAAAATCGATTTTATTGAGTATATAGATCACTGAACTATAAAGAACATCTTCGCTTCATGATATGGTACCTGTGGCTGAAATGACACCCCAGTTGTCATTTTCGTTTACAATACTTGTTTAACTATCATTCTAGTTACCATTTTCAGTGTAATTTGAACACTGGGAAAGTTGATAATCTTCTCATTAGTATTCATGCGAATATGTTATACACTGTTGACTGTAAGTCCACTCTTAGCCTTATTAAGGTTATCTGAATTTACTTGGTTGAAATTGGGACCTATTAATGGAGGAAATAGAGTGGAAAACACTGTTAAATATTACTAAAAAAACAGCACAAATATGCAGCATGTTCATCGTGTTGAACGTAACTCAAGAAACCCAATAGAAGCAAACAAATACATTTCATATGATAATAGTAATAATAATCACTTTATTCCACAACAATAACAATTTACAGCATGGAATTTTCAGCGTTTTAGATCAACCTGTGGTGGCGTGATGCAGACAATGTGTTCCAACGGAATAATATTCTCACATATTCCCAAAGTTCAATACTGCATTAACAACAGAATACTATGTATATTTGAACATAGTATTTCATGTCGTTTAATGTAAACCGAAATCACACGCTCAGTGATTGGTTAAAGAATATAAACTGAAGATATATATGTAAATAGCAGTATGATTAATGAAAAATATTCCTTGGCTTCCGTGTCTCGCCTTCTGCTGTTGCAAACCTACACTTGTATAAGGCATTTAGAAGACAAATTTCGCGAGATGATATCATTTTGTAGTTTCTTCACAACCGCTTTACAACTAAGACGGTTCACAATAATAAAATAAAGTTCATGACAATTACTCAGGTATATAAAAAACAAAAGTACATACTAATGACCAATCATATTTAAATAGGTCAAGTAGTCCATGGTAGGCGAAGGTTGAAGTCTATTGTTCTTTGTACATACAGTTTAGGATGTGCGTGATTAATCCAAAGTGCTTCCATCACCTTCAGTGACCAACCTTGAATTAGAGTTATGTGAAATAATTGTGAAACAGTCATCAGTATTGATTGGTTTCGTGACCTGACATTAATAAGTGTTTTGCAATGGATGATGCTGGATTTCTATTCAGATTAATTGCATTCGGATTTTCTATGTTTTAATAACTATTATGGGACATGTTCTCTTCGACGACATTGGAACATTCTATTGGTTCTACCTATATAGATGTCACCAAATTTGTCTTCCGAATGCTTTATTCAAATTGATCAAAGGGACTAATTGCTCTAATTTTCACAAACCTACATGTTGAAAACATAGAAACTAAACCATCTGAAAAGGGAATTCTGTGATAAACGCCCATGGAACAGTAAGGGAATGTAACACAAAGCCCGGATGGTAGCAAAAGTGATCAATCGTCAGGCGAAGTGTTACTCAACTGATCCTAGTATACAAATCAATTATTAAGAGTACAGTTACTCATATGTTCGTAATTTAATCCGATGAAATAGATTTACATAAATATTATAGAATAGAGATAATAATCTTTGCAAATATTCAAACCATTCTGAAAATAATGACTAGATTTGGTAGCGAAACATCTGCGCCAAAACAATAACAGCTACGAGAACATTCCACCTGAATTTAATATGTATTTAAAGTAATCAAAGCAACTTTTGTTAGTGATTCATTAGCTAACCATGTGCCATTTTCTTTTATTCATCAGAATCCTACTCAAATGAAACCATACGATGAGTTATCAATGGAGACAGGAGATAAATCCTTACAACCTGATCAATTATTGCTGCCAGAAGATAGTCAAGAATCAAATGAATTCATGGAGTTCATTAAGACTATTCCACCTAATTCGAAATTATGGAAAGCGAAAGCTACTTCAATAGTGTACGTTACACTGTCTGAAATGTTAGATGATTTATTCGCCTGTTGGAATGAAACTTAAGAATTCAACATTGATTTGAATTACTCCCACTACTACTACTTACTTATAAGTAATATTTCAATTATTTACAAAATTCTTCTAACTTTTTAATATAAGTTTATAACACATAGAATATTGGAAGGTTTTATCATATGGAATATTTCTTTCATACAAATTATTGTTATAAATAAATTTCCACTTGAAGTATTTTTGAAGTTTTTAATTGTTTTGTCTGCTAAATACCAAAGTTAAACTTAAGACTGTTTATTTACACTTGTGATTTCCCCAACATATTTCTGGGTCTAATTTGTCGTCAGCTTTATTTATTTAGGCAATATTAGCTCCTTGAACTCAAGCGTTAGTGTTACCGTGATTTCAAAGTTAAAGATACCTGGGACTGGCCGATTCGATTAAGAAATATAAGCGAGAAATTACAGTTATATATATATATATATATTATTCCTTTACGTTCCCAGTGAAACATGGGGCTTCAAGCTACAGGCTTGAAGTTTCAGTAGTGGTCGCGTTTATTTTACGGGATGGGGTTGCTAGCATCATGCCCAACCTTCCCTCTTAACCAGTACTATTACTGGCTTAGTGAGGTAAAGGGGTGCGTAGATCGGGGGTCAGAACCCGAACCACCTGCCTGTTTGGGGAGCATTCTATCGCTGTGCCACTGATGCCCAGTTGTATATAGATAGTGTCAAATTGTATCCGTTGCACGAAAGGTAATTGTTTTAGCTCAGCACTATTATTATTTGTATTATTATTAGTAATAGTATTAGTATTTAATACTTGCGTTTTGAATGAGATGTAGCTCCTCAGAGGTATATATCCACTGAAATGGATCCTGTGTCATCACTTTCAGCTGGCTCCACGACTTCACATTTTCTTTCATTCACTCCTCATATGATCCAGTCCATGCCATCCTTAGAGGCTCAACGCCTTAGCGTTTGAAATGATTGACATTGGTAATGTCGAGTCTCAGTAGAGATGCAGCTTGTCTTCACACCCGACCTGCTGCACCCTACTGGTCATGTCAGCCCATGATGAAATCCTTTGACTGATCAGTCAAATTCCTATAAACCAATACTTGTAAATCCAGTTTGTTTGTTTTTAGCTGTTGATTATTTATGCATGTTTCATATCAGTAAGTGAGCTTATGGTTGTGCTTAACATCGTTCTTAAAATACCACACTTTACTTTAGGTTGTATCATTTAACCAACACGTATTATCAGTCGGTCGATAAAGTGTAAGTAGTCAGGGTGTATGAATGATATGAGTAGTCGGAAAACTACTTGTAATAATATCGGTTGGTCGGTCGGTCGGTTTTCGACATAGAACTTTGCACATATGTGCGTCAGTTCAAACTGCAAAATTCGAAACATTATTTTAAATAACTGCGTTTTAAGTATCATTTCACCATTGTAGAAGGTTTGGAAGGAAGGGAAGATACTTACCGATTGGAAGAAGGGTAACTATGCTGAAATCCCAAAAAAGGCGTCTTAAGCATTTACAAAACTGGTGCGGAATTAGGTTCCTGTCCATGTCAAGCAAAAGTATTAAACTACTCTATCATAGAGAGATTAAAAGATGCTCTGGATGCAAAACTCTACCTGAAACAAGCTGATTAAGGAAAAATAAATTGTGTACGGACCAAATTGTGTTGCTACTCATCATCCCTGAACACAGTATAGAAGACAGCGGTCAACTCTTTACCTAATTATCATCGAATTTGAACATCTCAAAGATGACTGACAAAATTTTGACCACAACTGGATGTGGACAACCTAACTTGGGACTGTTCCAAGTTACAGAAAATGCATTTCAGTTTGACTAATCCATTACATTGAATATATAAGTGTGAATCCTACCAAAGAAAAGATAAAGTTGCATATATTCCTGCCAGTACCTTATGACCATAAAATATAATTCAAGTATTGGTTTGTAATGATTTGATTGATTAGTTACAGAATTTCATTCTGAGCTGACATCAGTTAGAGAACCATTGGGAAACCTGCAAGGAGTACTGGACAGCTGTTTCGTTAGCCTAGTTTGGAACTCCTCATCGGGGTTTTAATCCAGAACCTTCTGGTTTCAAGACGAGCTCGTAAACTATTCAGCGACTGGGACCCGATCCAAAGGCCATCCCATGAATTCCAGCTTCTGCCAATTCCCGACATAGCACGGTCATTAGCCAGTGTCTTCGGCGAGTATTTGTTCTCATGCCCAACCCACTGATTAGTGAAATCAAGTGGATTCTAGAAGATAGTTTACATATCTCCACATGATTCACGCTAAGCTATAATAACCATAAACGAGTATTACTATTGTTTCCTTTAGTTCCTAGAGGAACATAAGGCTTATGCCGCACGTCTCCACTGTGTTCGGTTCTCTGCAAACGCTTTCACCTGGCTCCACGTCTGCCCACATGCTTTCATCTCTTCTTCACATGACTTCCTCTTCCATGTCACCTCAACCTCGCATTGAATACTAACTAACTCGCCACTTCCCATTCGGGTTCCACTCGAGAGAGAGACAGCCTAGCGTGTGATTTCACTTCATGGTGGTTTGTTTCCTCAGAGTATGACCAGCCAATACACCTCCATTTCTTCCTGAATATTTCTTGCACGATCAGTTCCTGCTGAGTTGGTTCGCTCACTGCCAGAGATCCCTCAATATTCCTGATCCTTTCCGGTTGGTCATCTGATCTTGAGTAGAATTGAGCGAAGACAGCTGTTAACGAAGGTCTGTAGTTTGTCTGATGTGCTCTTTATCACGCGCAAAGTCTCTGATCCGAAGAGTAAGCAGCACTGATTTCACATTGGAATTGAGAATCCGGATCTTATTTTTCATGCTGTTCATCTCCACACAGACTTGAGAGTAATGAAAGCTTGCCTTGCTTTCCCGATGTTCCTCTCTTAGATATCCTCTTCAGTTCCGTCCGTCTGTAGTTGAAACGATGCTTCCCAGGTAGGTAGGTAAAAGAGGTTGTTTCTTTCAGATTTCTCCCACCTGCGCTGATCGTTGTTGTCGGTTGTTGTTGTTGTTGCTGCTTCTTCTGTCTTCTCTATGTTCCCCTGAAAAACTTTAAGTAATTTCCTAGTTAATTTTAACTTTAAATCATTTGATATCTACGATTTGCTGTGAAACAATAAAGAAGAATGAATCTATAACTGATGCATTCTTCACCTCCCGACCGAAAGCTGCTACCTTGACGTGGTGGTCGGGCTTGAACACCGCAATGACCCAACAAGCTATACTGGCTGGAACTTATGTTCCTGCAGGTCCTACCATGCCAGGAAGGTTGTTCGGATAGCGGTTAGACTAAAAGCAGTTAACCCAACCCAATCCAATGACTTCATACAAATCACAAAATATCATGCCGGATCGGTCGGGGCCCGGATTAACAACGACCGCGCTTTCTGCTGCCGTGTCACAGGGCAGAAGTGATAAATACGCTACTGAGACACACCAAATAAAAAACAACAAACAAAAACAGGCCGTGTGTGACCGGCCTCAAGCAGTTGTCTCCTGGGCTCTGCGGTCACGCAACCAACTTCCACGGTGTGGGCAGCCGGGAAGCAACAAACGCCCTCACAACCCGGAGACAGACAGACCATTGCTTTATCTAAAGAACTAACTATTTCATTTGAAAGTAATATTCTATAATAATATTCAGGAATAATAATTCACCATCTATACGTTGGTGGCACAGTGGTTAGGACTCTCGCCGACCATGGACATGGTTTGGAGTTCGATCCCCTGCTGACGCACACCCGATATCTATGGTCGGCCTGCAAAATTTGGGCTACCGATATCCATGCTGAAAATTCCATACTTGTACTGAAAATATGGTGTGGCATCAAGCTGTAATCAAAAGTAAAAAAATAAAATTAAAATATATAAAAATAATCTTAAATGATCTACTCAAGTGAACTTGACAATAAAGTATTCTCATTACACCAGAAGATTGATTGAATAAGCAAAATGTAGAATAGTCAAAGTTGGAAAGTTAACAAATCAGCACTCAAAAAACTATGATATGATGCCTATGTTTACTTTACTTTTCAATCATTATAGTCTATGCTCACTTGTAGAAAAATGTTTTTTACAATTCAATCGTTTAATTAAACTGTTTAACGAAATTTGAGATGATTCTGACAGTTTGTTTAATTCAGTTTTCATTAAGATTGACAAAATATTACGCAGTCTTAAATTAGCACATATAATTTTATCATTAGACAGCAGTTCTAATATCTCTACAGCTCTGGAGCGTAATTCTAAACTCCCTTTTCTTAAACACTCAATAATTACTGAAAGATTCTCTTCATCTCTGAATAATTCTAACGTTTTAGCTTGTGCATAAAAGTGTCTAATTAACTGTATTAAACTGCATTTTAATTTCTCACAATTAACAATTTGTAATAATTTAATATTTAATAACATGAATCCATAATCTTCTAGAATATTACGCCCAATTGTAGTAAAACAAATTTCATTGATCACTGAACAATGAGCATAGACTAATTCTTCAATATCTTTTGAATTTGTTAGAGTAGTATCAATCAATTTTTGAGACAGTCTCAATAAGGATTTAACTAAATAACCAAGTGAACTCCTTATAGGTTGAATAAGTTCATAACGATTTTCCACTCTATTTAAACAATAATATGTAGTCCATAAAGCAATTTTTTGTACATAAGGATTCTTATGAAAGCAGTGTGAATAGATATAACGAAAACCAGAATTTTGTGTACAAAGTTTTAATAAATATGTATTTTGAGACATAGATTTAACAGCATTCAGAGTAGATATTACAATCTCTATGGAGGGATGTTTCAGTAATTGAATAATTTCTCCAACAACATTTGATTTTAATTTTAAACATTGAGAAATATCTTCCGGTTGGATGAGTGCACTTAAACATTGAAGTGCTGATGACATGATTTTCTCTAATAATACAAATTTATGTAAATGTAAAGAGAGTGGAGATTTTGGGAGTTTGTAGATTAACATATATGGTAATATCAGGTTGACAATGCTAATTATTAAGTCTAAAAAACTCTGATGTTTGACAGAATTTAAGTCCCTATCGAGATATCTACTGATAACGACTAAAATAGCATGAAGGCTGTACAGTATAATCATCTGCTTTGTACTGGACTTAGTGAACAAATTACTCTTGTAAATGAATGAATTATGCAGTGTTGTCATTTCTCCTCTCCTCTTTAGATATTCATCACTTTCTGAACTATTTTCATTCTCTGAGACAAGTATTTCTTCATCATCATCAAGTTCATTATCTGCACTATTTAAATATCCTGATTGAATTAACTGAACAAGATTTTCAAATTGAACATTGAGTTTTGAATATAAAGTATGCTGAAAATTTGAAGAGTTTAAATGTGTAGCAGTCACTTTATGATTCTTCATCAAGTGATACAGACATTGTAAACTTTGAATCTCCACGTAAATACTTCTAGACTGTAAACAGTTAATAGCATACTTCACCAGAATGCCATCTTCTTCTTCAACAATTAATTTACAAAACTTTAAATCCATTGAACAATTTTCTAATAATTTTAAAATAGGTACAGTTAACTCTTCACCGTCCAATTTTATTAACATTGTTAAACAGTGTAAGATATTCGAATTAGAAATTAATTCTCTATTCCTTTTATCTTCGCTTAATTTTGATAAAATAAATACTAATAACTCTGTAAGTTGATAATGCACATTATAAAAACCGCCGGTAAAATGACCTTCAGATTTTTTAAACTTTGATTCATTCAAACATCTACTTTTGATGTTTTGACAAATATTGTGATTTTTCATTAAGTGATATTGAGTTTTATTTAATAAATTAGTTAAACATTTTATAGTTTTTATGTTAGAAAATAAATGATATGATTCTTTAAGTATACATAAGCTGGCAAGTAATTCAGCAGTCTTGTATACAATTTCATCATTATTAGTATATGTGATCAGTACAATTAAAATGTCTACTATCCCATAGTGAAGAGATAAACGTCGAAAGTAAAGTGTTTCAAATAAATGCCTAAATATCTTTAATGTTGCTAATTGTATTGTAATTTTGTTATATTCAAGAAAATTTAATAGAATTATCATTGCATTCGATTTTTCTAAAGCTTGAATTGATTCACTGCTTAATTTCCTTATGATATTATTGACTGTTAACAGGCAGATTAGTGTGGCTTGTTCATTCGCTACAGTGATATAAGTGAATAACATTTTCAAATCATAATTACTACCCTTCTTACATCTTGTACTTGGCATAGATTTGATAAGAAAGCCTTCTTCGTATTCTTTTCTTTGTAATTCTATATCATACTCACTGATAAATGGAGACAGTTGACTTTCTTGACATGAATTATCCTCTTTTTCTGTTGAAGAAGAATATCTCTCCGGAATAAACATTTCCTCTGCATGATCTGCTTCTTCCGAAGTGTTGAAGCCAGATTGAACTTCCTGACTACGAGCTACTGTTATGGCATCTGAATATCTTCCATTCTTAATACTCCTTTTAACATTCTCTTTTAGGATGTTATATGTGATTGTCTTACGTTTAGGTGGCAGGGTGATTTTTTGTTTATTAAGTTGTGTATACAAGAGGGTATAATTTGCTTTACATATGCATGGATTATTTGTATTTCTTTGTTTGTTTTGTTCAGATTTATCTTTTGTTAGAATTGGTGGCAGTTTCATTGAACTGATCATATTTTACGTTGAAAATGTTATGATACTTATTAGATACTTATTAGTGTGTATAATACATGAGATAATAATGATAATGTTTAAATATTAGGGCAGATCGATTGGAATACTAACGGTCTTCATTATGTCACATGTTTATATGTTAAGGCAAGATAAAGTGTGAAGAATACTAGAAAACTCGGTTAACACTCTGTTATTTTCTGTATACAAGTTGCAGTATTTAGTTGAATAAAAGAATCTTTCGAGGGCAGATTTCATTTTAAAAAAGCTCTGGAAACCAGGGAGTACTGAGCAGTAGTCTTGTCGAAACGGATATTGTTTCATGATAGGAATTGACTAGAAATTAACTGAACTCTAAAATTCAACACTTAAAAAGTCATCCACTAGTGACTGAATTAGAGATGATCCGCCTAGTGTTCTTTCTGTTGAGAAATTGTGACCGATGGGTTCCATATGGTGATGGGGATGTACATTATGAATCGGCAGAATTTGAACTTTGTACACCAGTTGATTCCACTTTGAAACTAACCAAATCCCTAAAAACCAACGCTTGATACTGTTTGTTTACTAACCGTAATTTGGACAACTGAAGAATGAACAATAACTTCCAAACTAAATGTTCCTAAATACATCCACAAAAAAATACAATTGTTAGTTGAGGATTTTAGCCGAGTCTTGACTTCTGAGCTAGATTAACACGGTGTCATACCTGGATTCTCGTTGTATTCTCTTTAAAAAACGTCTAGAATTATCAGTCGTTAATAAGACATTTTTGTGAGTCAATAGTATAGTGGTTAGGACGCTCGCCCACCATGCACATGGTCCGGGGTTCGATTCCCGGCCGACGCGCTCCTTTACCTCGCTAAGCCAGAAATAATGCTGGTGAAGAGGAAAATTTGGGCATGAGTAGGCTAGTAACCCCATCCTGTAAAATAAACACTGCTACAGGAACTTTAAGCCACTAGCTTGAAGCCCTATGTTCCACTGGGGGACGTGAAGGAAAGAAAGAAAATGAGACATTTTATGTGGATAAATTCTACTGCTTGCAAGTTGTATCAACCTTAGTGAACTGATTGTTCACATTCCGTCAGCTCGGATAAAAAAGGTATGTGCAGCATTTTCCAGCTTACAACGACTCTGGAGTGATATCTGGCTATCATTCAAAATAAGTGTGTACTGTACCATCTTTATGGGTATTAGTGAGGTTGAGAATAGAGTGTTACGTAAGGAGCGAAATTCATTCGATAAGTTTTTGAAGCTGCATCAACTGAAATGGTCAGAACAGTATGTTGTGTGTATGTCAGGCCACCACCTTCTTTGTCTAGCAGTGTTATCCAAGGTAGGATTTGGTTAAAAAAAGTTAGGGATGATCAAATGAAAACCTGCCATCAGTTTAAGAACTCCTTGCTTGTTAGTTTGAGTCAAGCGAGGAGGTGTAAGCTGTTTTGTCTGAGGTCCTCGAGATTCTAAGAACCAACGGTCTGAGACTGTCAGTGATATGCCTCAAAATTGTTCTCAGTGGTACAGGTGAATTCACTCTAAGTGATCTTCAAGGTCTACTAAATTCTCATCATTCACCATTTGATTATTTTTTCTTCTTTACATTTCCGTTTATTACAGTTTTTATTCTATGTGGTTTGTGGAATGTGGTACTAAGGTACTAGGCAGCGTCTGGGAATCAGAGGAAGTCCCATCGGGTCGGTGTAAGTCATTGATTATCACACGAAGGGAGACAAGTCTTCTTGTGACAATCGCAGGGAGATTAGCTTGACTAATATGGTATCTAAAGTTCTAGGCTCAATAATCATGAGGAGGCTAAGCGGTCCACGGGAGGAACAAACACGAGAAAACCAGGCAGGCCTTAGGTCAGGGAGAGGGTGTACTGATTACATCTTCACCCTACGACAGATTATGGAACATAGGCATGTTTACTGGAGTCCAACAATCATCATAATTCATGACCTGAAATCGGTATTCGATTCCGTTGACGGATTAGTACTATGGTGATGTTTGGCTGTGAAGGGAATGCCGAGAAAATACATTGGACTGACGAAGGCACTTACTCTACTCGAACTCATGCAGCGAGCCAACCAAGAGCCTACAGAGGGAGAGTTGTCATGTGAAGTAGTGAAAACTAGTGGTATCCTTCAGGGATGCCCACTATCCCCATTTCTATTCAACTTCATCATAGATGTACTAATGGAATTAACCCTAAGTGACTTCAGTGACTCAAGGATTGACTTTTTACCAGGGGATAATCTCGTCGACTTAGAATATGCAGATGATATAGTCCATCCCCTAGGTGAAGACGCTGAAGAAATGCACAGTCTTCTGAAAACCTTGAGGGGCAGCAATCTTCGTATGTTTGGCATGCAACTCGCTCCCACCAAATGTAAGATGATGTTACAGGACTGGACTACACAGACTCCTAGCTCAGAAATAGGGAGTAAAGTGGTAGAGTACGTTGACCGCTTCACTTATTTGGGAAGTACCATCAGCCCCAATGGGATGATTGCTGACTAAATCTCAGTACGGATACAGAAGGCTAGTTTCGCATGTGCCATTTTACACCGTCGCTGGCGTAGAAGTGACATCCAGATATCGATCAAAGGGCGTGTGTACCGCTCAGCAGTCTGCTCCGTCCTCCTTTGTGGCTGTGAGACCTGGCCATTGAAAGCGGAGAACATGGAAAGGCTAGTTATCTTTGATCATGGGTGTCTGCGATCTATCTCCCTTGTGAAGTGGTATAATAGGGTGAGCAATATTTAGTTCAGGCTTCGAGTGCTAGGTAAGGAGGGAGGGGAAATCAATAGACGAGGCTGTGAAGCTACATCGACTGAGATGGTTAGGACATGTGTTACACATCCATGTCTAGCCATCGCCTCCCTCGACGGGTAACGTTAGCTGACATAGGGTCAGGCTGGAAAAGAGCTAGTTAGTGATGGTCAAACCAAAACATGGCACCAGTCAATGAAATTTACAACAGTCAGTCTAAGCCACGTAGGAAGGTGTAGACCTCCTGACTGGTTGGGGTCCTCTGGACGGTAAACACCAACGAAATCAGGAGACGGGCAATTGGTGATATGGCTCAAAATCATCGTTGTCAGTGCCTAGCGCAGATGCATCTACTCCTTGTAACTTATGATTTCCAATGAAACTATATTGTTCTTCTATATTACCATTCTTTTTGCCTCATATCTCTGTTTACTGTCTCTATTTTGTGTTTCTTTTTACTGTCTGCTTCTCTGGCTTTGTATGCTAAGTGAAGAGTGGTGACTCGAAATGCTGCACATCGGTGCAAAGTTCTATTGCCAAAAACAGAAAGTCAGATAGACAGAAATGTAGTAACTGCTGTAGCTGGCACAAAGTTCTACACCGAAAATTCAATTCAGTGCCTTACATTTTCTTTCTGTGTATATGACTGCCACTGATAAACGAAAATTTATTCCATCCTTACTTAATTATTATCACTCCCTTGGGTTTCAATAGCACATCTCCATTCCATCCTGTTCTCATTTGTCCTCTTCATCTGTTCCTACGATTGCTCATAAGTTCTCATATCCTCCTCGCATGATCTCCTCCATGTCACTCTTCGATGCCCAACTCGTCGTTGCCAACAGGGGTTCCACTCAAGCGATGTCGTTTAATGGTCTCCTCAGTGTGTATCCAATCTATCTCCATTTTCTTCTACATATTTGTCGTACAATAGGTTCTTGGTTGATTTGTTCCCAGACTTTTTTATCACCATTTCTTTTTGGCTGTCTGATCTTCACTATGCAGCTAGGGAAATCAGCTGTTGATGAAGGTGTGAAGCCAGTTAAAAATGCTCTTTGTGACGCGCTAGCCAAGTTTCTGACCCATATAGAAGAACTGACGGATTTAACATTTGGGGTTGAAAATCCGAATTTTGTTCTTTGTGCTGAGCGCAGAAGATTTCCAAGCTGATTTCAGATTGATGAATGTCTGTCTGATTTTCACATTCTCATCTGTGCCGTCTGCCTGTAACTGAAACGATGGAGCTTAGATACGTGAAGGAAGTAACCTCTTTCAATTTTATCCCGTTCTTATTGACTGGAGCTTGTTGTTGTCGGTTAGTAATCCTCATCATCTACGTCATCTTTACGTTCACCTGGAGTCCTGTCTTCACTTCTTCTCCTGTCGACATTTTGATTTTTGCTTGTAAGTCTTCGTATTTGCGTGACATTAAACGTAAATTATCCGCAAAATCTCGATCTTCTAGAGTCTTCCTATCGGCCCAGAGTATTTCTCCCTTCTCAATTCCTACAGTATTCCGCATAATCCAGCCGACTACAATCAGGAATTCCATTGTGGGTGACATTAGACTGCCTCGTCTTACTCCTTTCTTCACTTCAAACGGCTCGTTGAGTTTCCCATTGTGGATCACCTGATACGTTCAGTTGTGATATGGCTACTGAATAAGGTTGATAAAGATTCAAGGCACTAAATAGTGTTGTTGAAGTAGTTTGCAAATTACTTCGCTGTCAACGCTGTCTATCAAAAGCCTTTTCAAAGCCAATGGAGTTGAGATAGAGATTTGATTGCAATTTTAATGCTCTGTCCGATGATCCATCCATAAGGATGCATAGTAGATAAATCATTTAAATTCATGCTTAAATCATGTTCACATCCAAGGCACATTTAGTGCAGCCTGAAAATTAGTATCCCTCACTATAGTTTAATAATAAAGAGAGACAATGAGCCAATTACGAGCACTATATGTCTAATAAAATTGATCTTTCGACACTTCTCCTCAATACAATGAATCATTTATTTATTATGATTTATTATTGTTTCCTTTAATTCCTAGAGGAGCATAGAGCGTCAGCCATGCGTCTCCATTGCATTCGGTTCTCTGCTAGAGTTTTCACCATGCTCCAAGTCTGCCCACATGCTTTCATCTCCTCTTCACTTCACCCACCCTTGCACTGACGACCAACTCGCCGCTTCTCTTTCAAGTTCCACTCGAGCAATGGCTTGTCTAGTGATGTCACTTGATGGTTTCCTCAGAGTATGGCCAGCCAATCCATCTCCACTTCTTCCTGCTCATTTGTTGCACAATCGGTTCCTGTTTGGTTCACTCCAAGAGATCTCTGTTGCTGATCTTTTCTGACCGGCCATCTGATCTTGAGTATTGAGCGAAGATAACTGTTGATGAAGGTCTGTAGTTTGTTTGAGATTCTCTTTATGACGCGCAGTGCAAGTCTCTGATGCGTATAGTGAGTAGCACTGACTGACTTCATATTGGAGTTGAAAATCCGGATCTTATTTTCATTTTGATGCTGAGTCCTGCTGACCTCCACACAGATTTGAGAGTATTGAAAGCTTGTCTTACTTTTCCGATTCTTGCTTTGATATCCTCGTCAGTTCCCCTTGTGGTTGAAACGATGCTTCCCAAATATGTAGGTAAAGGAGGTTGCTTCCTTTAGATTCCTCCCATTTATGCTGGCTGATTGTTGTCTGTTGTTGTTGCTGCTGGTGGTGGCGGTGTTGCCCGGGAATCTTCATCACCTCTGTTTTCTCTATGTTCACCTGAAGTCCTATCTCCTCTGGATGCTTCTTCTGCCAACTTGTTGCTTTTCGCTTACATATCTTCCAGTTTGTGGGAAATCAGACATATATCATCAGCGAAGTCCAGGTCCTCCAAGTATTTTGTGTGAGTCCATTTTATGCCTGTTTCCTCATTGCCCGACCGGCTGTTTGTCGCATTATCCAGTCTACTGCAATCAGGAAAATCATTGGCGATAGTAGGCAGCCAGCTTGTATTACTCCTGTCCTCACTTCGAATGATTCCGTAATGAATCATTTGTTAAATTCGTATACACAATTCCATTATGAACCTTAAATCTGAATTCACAGTTAAGTAATGTTTTATAAATTACATGAAATACTACTTAATAAGCATACTATAAAACTGTATTTCAAAGGAGTATCGAATGAAAATTGTAATGGTGCACTTGAAGGTCATGTGCGATGTTGGTTCAGTGTCAGGATGACAGGATACAATTCCCAGCCGATGCATTCCTAAATCTCTCCTAGCCAGTAGTGGTAGTAAGCCTGATAAAGACAGTAGGTTGGGCTTGGGACTAGTGACTTTATCCTACTACCAATGAAACTTCGAAGTCCAAGCCTGAAGCCTCGGATTTCCAACTAGGAAAGTAAGAGGAGAAGAAATATATTCGAAGATCATTTCAAAGGATTACTTAGTAAACTAAAACCTATAATTGGTTATGCCATATATTTTATTGTTCCTACACAATGAAAGAAAGACTCAGAAACCACTAGTTCCCTTTATGAATTTAGACAAAGCAATAAGAAGACGTAATTTGTCTGATTTCGAACAATCTGATTACACAGGAACTTATCATAGGAATATGTATCATTTAACTCTGAACAAACAAATTAATCCTCATTTAATGACCATACTTTAGTTTAACCTGCCTTCGTTCATTGCGTTCCCAATTGGAACATATAGCCTCAAGCTCTGAAGTCCCAGTAGTGGTGAGGTCGCTAGCCCCATAACTAACCCTTCCTCTTTTTTAGGCTTACTACAGGATAGTGAACTAGAAGACGTTTAGGAGTGCGTTGACTGGGAACCAGACACGGAACACCTGTTTTACTGACGAACAAATGAATAATTACCATTTAATAACTTTATTCTTATCCAGTACTTCGGTGGCACAGCGGTTAGGACGCTCGCCAACCACGCATATGGTTCGGGGTTGGATCCCCGGCCGACGCACACCTGATATTAATGGTTGGCCTGCTATATTTTGACTACCGATATCACAAGCGGAAAATTCCATACTTGTATCAAAAATACTGTTTGGGGTCAAGCTATAACAAAAAATTTTTAAATAAAAAGAAATTCGGCAAATACCTCAGCTACAGGGCCAGAGGATGTAATCGAAGATGAACCTAAAGCTGCGTATGAAACGTTAACTGAAAATAGCTACCCTGGAAAATTCATCACAAAACGCATGGCCAAGATAGTAAGAAAGAATTCTCCGGTATCTGCTAATAAGAAACCTCTGTGTACACGAATGAAATTCAGGGGCTATGTGACAAGCGAAATAGTAAGCAACAAGTTTAGAAGATCAATTCGAAGGCCGTTTAACGCCAGTAAGCTGGGATTCACATTTTCCACAGGACCGGTTGAAATTCCAAAACTGAAATATGAAGTGCCTAGGCTAGCCACTGTTAATTTTATCTATCAATTCAATTGCTCCTGTGGTCCCACTTATATTGGTCGTTGCTCTAGGAACTTAATTTTCTCTGCTTGCAAACCTCGACCAGTGTAACCAAAGTAAGAAGTAATTAAAACCATCAGCAGTTCAAGATTAGATCACTTTGTCCAAACAGGTCACGAAGCTATCACTGAACAGTCCAATCCTATTATCTATCGGATACCAAATAAGTTGCCAAAGACCCCTAAACACCGAAGACTTCAAATATCAGAGGCCAATATAATTCACTTAAAACAGCCTGAATTCTGTGTACAAAAGAAATAGGTCCAACCTCCATTTCTACCCTATCCTAATGTGGCAACTATGAATTCAATAATTCTGTATTACTTTTACTAGTTTGTCTGATATTCAGTTAAACGTAACATTTCTATGCATATTGTCACTCACAGGTGCCCTCGAGCTGTAATCTACCCATATCATTGATTTAATGTTATTTAAAACTCAAATTTTCTTTTCTCTTCAAAATGTCTGAATGAATATTTTCGCTATATTGAATTCTTTAATTATTATGATCATATAACTGTAGAACCTGATGATGAATAATTTATCGAACTGAGTATTCTTTATTCACTAATCAGTCTTTTAGAATCTTTAATAAAAATATTTAATATACGATATCCCTTAACCGATTCTGACGTGCAAAAAGATCGTATAACGTGAGTATAGGTGCGAAAGATTAATCGAACAATCTAATAGCTGGTTCCCTCCAAAGTTTCCATCAGGATAGCTAACATTCTGAGATATAAACAATTTTATCCAGTAAAGCGAATGATTAGAGGCATTGGGGAGAAAAAACATCATCAACCCTATTCTCAAACTTTAAAATTTAAAAGAAATCACTTTTTTATATTTAATATATGTATAAGGTGTTTAATTCATATTAGTTGTTTTATTAAAATGAAACCAGACAAGTTAAAGTGAAAGGGAAAAAAATCCTGAACAACAACAACAACCACACAACAGAAATGAAATATGTATAGAAAAGTAGAACCAATCCCCATAGTGCATCAGTGTGTCAGTGAACGATGTATCATATTAAGCGTTTTGCTTTGTAATGATAACACTTTGATAATTCATTTTATTTTTAAGCGGAAACAACCCTTGACCATAATAAATAAAAGCTACTATGAGAATTATTGTAAATAAATGGTTTGTAAAATTAGGAATAACACTGAATGAATTTACAAAAAAAAAGAATACAAATAAAAGAGAAGAGAAACTGTTCAATTATTGAAACAATGAAGGATTATGTAAAAAACAATTGGCGCTTTATAAAGAAATCCTTATGACGACTAGTCAAAAAAACAGAAAAGACAAGCGTTTAATTCTTGTATTCTTCTGTGAGTATTTGTGTATTTAAGATGGTGTTTCATTTATTGTATTTATTTTAATAGTTTGTTTCATATGAACTCTAGCATGTCTATGCATACTATGCTTTAGTGAAAATTCTTTACCACAATATGGACAAATAAATGGTCTTTCACCAGTATGCGATCTCATGTGTCTTTGTAAATCTTGTTGACTACCGAAACGATGAAGACAAACACAACAGGATACATAACGTGAATCATTATTGTGGTTGTGGTTGTTGTTGTTGTTGGTGGTGGTGGTGGTGCTTAATTTAGCCGAATAATTAATTGGTTCTTTTAATTCTGATAGGTTGATAGTCTTACTAATTGTTTCTTTTAAATCACATTTACTACTATTATAATTATTAGTAGTAATAGTAGTATTAACATTATTTTTCAGACTTAATTGAATTTGTGTAAGAATATCAGTTGATGTATCATTTGTATTTAACTTTTTAACAAATTTAGACCATTCATTTGAATGTTCCATAGCCCAATGAGTTAATGTTGTTATTTGATCTTGAAAAGTTAGTTGACATAAATGACAACGAAAAACTGGATTATCTACTTGATGAAGTGTTAAATGACGACGAAAACATCGACTACCAATGGATAGTGAACATATTGGACAAGTGAGTGTTGCAGGGGTATTTTTCATTGTTGAATGTAATGATAAATCTATTGGTGGATCTTCATAGGTTGATTTATTCTCACTAGTTGATTCAGTTATCATATCAATCAACGGGATCTGTGGGGTACTTTTCATGCTTAATAAATTACTACGTCTAGGTCGTCGTCGTCCACCTCCTCCACCTCGACTTGATTGTCTTTGTCGAATAGAAATATTTGGTAAAATATTCTGTGGTGTATTATTATTATTACTTATAATACTGGGGGAAGAGACATGATTTAAAAAGTTAGTGAATCCACCTCTTGTAGAATTTGCTACTGCTAATAATGCTGCATTATACAATCTTTCTGGATTTGGTTCTACTACTGGATCACCGGCTCGTATTAATAAACTATTACTAATATCTTCAGCTTGTTTTTCATTTGAATTCATTGACAGTATTTCATCTTCTCTCAACTCTTCAATACCATCAATTTCTTGATCATTATTATCGCCTAGTGTTGCTGTTGTTGTGGTGGTGGTGGTGGTGGCTGTTGTTGTTCGACCAACAGAATTCATATTCGAATGATGACCACTCAACTCGGAACGATTATCTCCACTTGATGGACTTTGAATACTCATACTTGTTCGATTGAAACGTTGACGTTGACGTTTCAAGCTAACACGATGTACACGTTCCATATGACGTTCACGATTGGATTTAGTTGAAAAGGATTTTGTACATCTTGTACATGCAAATGGTTTATGAGCTAAAATATAAAGTTAAAGTAAAAATTTTAAAAAATTTTGAATTTTGATAGTATTATCAATAGTGATAATTTTAAAAAAAAATATCATATGCAACCAAAAAACAATCATCCAGTTTTGTTGTTTGACTACGGACTGATATCATTTAAGGAACCATTGAAAACCACCAAGGAGTACTGGACAGCTGTTTCATCCCACTAGTTTGGCAATTATCGGAAGTACGCACCCATCACCAGGGTTATAACCCACGACCTTCTGGTTACAAGGCAACCTCGTATCCCATTCAGATACTGGGACCCACCCGATCGCATGGCCAGCCCATGAATTCCAACTTTTACCAATTCGTGACTTCAGCGTGACCACCAACCAATGTCATCGGTGGGAAATCCATCCCCAATCCTGACTGGATGGCTCCACTGGTCGCGACTTCTGGCTAGAACGCACTGCAGACAACTTCTTCTTGAAGCGAGTCACTAGAAAGCATTAGATTAATTTTCAAGAATTAGTTTGTATGGATTCTATTTGTTTCAGGTTAGAGCACGGATTGATATCAGTACACATAACGTACTACCGACGAGTCCCAAACTGGGATGAAACAGCTGTCCATTACTCCCTGTAGCTGGTTTTCAACGGTTCTCTAACTGATATCAATCCATGGCCACACCTGAAACAAATAGAATCTCTACAAACTATTTCTTGAAAATTAATCTGATGCTCGCTAGTGACTCGCTTCAAGAAGAAGTTGTCTAGGAGTTATTTTCTGTCCCAGTCATACATGAAAGTTTTTATTTTTTAGGAGAATGTTCTCTAACTGATATCAATCCTGGTTGGTTCGCTCATTGCCAGACATCTCTGTTACTGATCTTTTCTGGCCGGCCATCTGATCTTGAGTGGTATTGAGCGACGACAACTGTTAATGAAGGTCCGTAGTTTGTTTGATGTGCTCTTTATGACACGCCAAGTCTCTGATCCTTATAGTAGGCAGCACTGACTTCACATTGGAGTTGAAAATCCGGATTTCATTTTTGATGGGGAGTGTTGTTGACCTCCACACAGACTTGAGAGTAGTGAAAGCTTGTCTTGCTTTCCCGATCCTTGCTTTGACATCCTCGTCAGTTCCGTATTCCTGAGACGATGCTTCCCATGTAGGTAGGTAAAAGAGTTTGTTTCTTTCAGGTTCCTCCCATTTATGCTGATTGTTGTCAGTTGTTGTTGTTGCTGTTGGTGGTGTTGGCCAGGAATCTTCATCACCTCTGTTTTCTCTATGTTCACCTGAAGTCCTATCTTCTCTGGATGCTTCTTCTACCAACTTGTTGCTTTTCGCTTGCATATCTTCCAGTTTGTGGGAAATCAGACATATATCATCAGCGAAGTCTAGGTCCTCCAAGTTTTTTGTGTGAGTCCATTTTATGCCTGTTTCCTCATTGCCCGACCGGCTGTTTGTCGCATTATTCAGTCTACTACAATCAGGAAAATCATTGGCGATAGTAGGCAGCCTTGTCTTACTCCTGTCCTTACTTCGAAGGATTCCGTAAGTTTCCCTTTGTGGACTACTTGGTATGCAGCATTGTCGTACAGCTGTTGGATGAGACGTATAATTGTCTTGTTCAAATATAATAGAAGAAATATGTCGAAATTCTAGATCCCTCATAATACTATTTGTTCAATGACCCAGCAATGTGTCTTATATTTACCCTTAGACATATTTAACTACACAACTCATGTAGTAATTTTCAAAAACCTGTGAAAGCTATTTAAAAAGTTATCCATGTATACAGAGTAGTTCTCAAGCAAAAGGAATTGATTAAAATACATTAAAGCATGCAAACCGTTAAAAAAAAATCATTAATTTTAACGGAATAACCAATCGACTCGATAACACAATCATGTCCTTGACTCTGGTTGTATCATCTTTCCTTTGAGGCAGATTAACATCGACTGCCAACATTTTTCTGAGATCTTCATGAAGTCTATGTATTACTATCAACTCAGTCTCAATCCTCATCATTCAGGAGAGAAGTCGAAAAAAAATTAGTTAGTAATTTGTCATGTACGCAGTTAGAGGGGTGAAATTTTTCTCACAGTTTCCTTTGGAAATCACACTGTTCAGATCACAGTCTGTGATCTCCTTGATACTATAAATGGCAATCGAAAAAAGTAAGCACAAATGCATAAAAATGAGTATGCATACTCATTGAATGAGATGTATAGTTGAGTACTACTCAAATCAACCTGGTAGTATTTCCCAGCCATATTGAGTGCTATTCAACTACTCATCTCGATCAATCAATCAGTCGATCAATCAATCAGTTAGTAATATGCAGTTTTATGCAGGATGTTTTATCATTATTGCTGGCCTTATAACCTGAAGGTTCTGGTTTCCAGTCCTTACGGTATGTTTCTAAGTCACCAATCATGAGAAAACCGCTGTCCATTGCTTTCTAGTTTTCACTGACTGTCTAGATGAAGTTAGATCCTTGTTTTTAAATCTTCTCACATCCACTTAGTTGTATTTCAGAGTTACGCGAAATCTTGCAACTTGTCCCTTAATCCCTCCATGTCGTGGCGACGTTTGGCCACAAGTATACCTAAAATATTCTATCCCCTCATTTGCATAGAGATGAGTGGTTATAAAAATCAACTCAGTGAAAAGTCGTGTGTTTTAGTTGTGTCTAGTTTAATAGTTTTGACGAGTACCTTGACCTCTGAAGATGGCTGGGAATACAATTGCAATACAATATGAATCTATATGTTATCAAAAACTATGCCACCATATTTTTTTCCTTCACGTTCCCCAGTGGAACATAGGGCTTCAAGCTAGTGGCTTGAAGTTTCTTTAGCAGTGTTTATTTTACGGGATGGGGTTGCTAGCCTCATGCCCAACCTTCCCTCTTCACCAGCATTATTTCTGGCTTAGCAAGGTAAAGGAGTGCGCCGGCCGGGGATCGAACTTCTAACCATGTGAATGATCGGCGAGCTTCCTTACCGCTGTGCCACCGACGCACTACTAGAAGTGGAATCCAGGATACCCACCATATAGTATCTTTATATTCATGAAGCAATACAAATAAAACTTTTATGATTATTCAACTGGTATCTTTAAAAGTGCTTAACTCAGTGTATACATTACGGTATGGAAAGCTGAATATTTTGAAAGCTTCAGTCATTACTATAAACCATCCGAAAACATTAGGCAGTGTTGAAATAATCTAACCATCTTTAATTTTGATTGGTCCAACTGAAAATAACATGGTTCACAAAATATTACTGGAAACCTGTCATCAGGTTATATCTCCGACCATCATTATTAAGATTAATTTTCAGGTATTGATTTACAGGGATCTGATCAACTTCAGGTTTGATCACAAAACGGCTTCATTTAAAGGACTGTTAAAAACCAAAGAGGAGTACTGAGAACGTCCGTTTCGTCCTTGTTTGCAACTCTTAATTAGTATGTGCCGATGATTCCATCAGGACTAGACGAGTCTTGAACAAGGACGAACACAGATGTCCAGTACTACTTAGATTTTAATGATCCTCTGAATGGAAGTCAGTTCGTGATCCAATTTTGATATTAAAAAATTAAAAAATATATAATGAATAGTTAGTATTATTACTACTTACGAGTATGTGTAAGAATGTGTCGTTTTAAAGAACTATTCCATGGGAATTTTTGATTGCAACCAGATATAGGACAAGTGATCAGTTTCGGTGCATCTTTATACGAGTTCTTTTTTGGTTGTATAAGCACTGGTGGAATATTTGAACGAAGAGAAAGTATTTTATTTGCATTTGGCATATTATTTTGCAAATTCATTGACAGTCTACTTAATTGATTGTTAGTAGTACCAGTAGTATTTGTTAAATTATCAGTATAAGCTGAAGTTTTATTATTACGTTGTATAACAGATAGGCTACAAATATCATGAAGAATATTATTTAAATCTATCTCATGACCAAATGACTTTGTATCAACTGTTGGCTGGCTAGGCATAGCAGTATTAGTAGTAGTAGTAACAGCATATGAAGGATAGAGAGCAGTAGATGCATTCATTGGAGTGAAAGTTCTGGGTTTTGAATTCATATCAGAATAGTTTCCTGGATTTGCATACAGCCTGTTAAATTGTTGAATGTCATTTGTATTCTTCTGGCTTTCTTCATATGTTTGTAGATTTTTATTACGTAATGAAAGATCAAGTATTTCTGGATAGGACTCCATTGGTTGAAGATAATTTTGTTCTGTAGTATTCAACATGGTATTGTCATTATTATTATTTTCATTATCGTTAATCATCTTATCATTATACGTATATAGAATTGCCGATGGCGATGGTCTATCCGAGATGCTAAAGAAATTACTTAGTGAACATGTATAATCATCAGCTGACAGGTAGTTTGAATTATTTCTCGTTGAATTACAATGATCTGGACTGCATGAACTGTGTGATCTAAAAAGGAATGATAAAGTAAAAAGAGGTGAAGTGAATTGACTGTACTCAGAACGGGCTAACTAATGCATTTATTAATTCTGGATGCAGTGTTAGTCTGACAGAAATCAGAAGTGAGAAACAAGACGGAGTTTTTTTCAGCGAAAACTCATAGATCAGCTTGATTATAAAGGTGGAAACATTTCAACGATGATCAACAGAAGGCTGAGCACATGACTAGTCATAGCCTATCCTGCAGCTAAGCTCGTTCCCGTCTTTCGAAAAACTTGCTCTTTGATGCAATCAAAAATCGATAGATATCCTTCTCATGTTAACTCCAACTGTATATACAAATTTACATGTATCTGCGGGAGCAGTTACATTGGAAGAACAGAAAGAAGAGCATATCTACGATTTTCTGAACATGTACCAAAAAGCTTACGTCTAAAGGGAACGAATGCTTTAAACAGTGCCATCGCCAGGCATCTCCTCGACACGGGTCATGAGGTGGACGTCGAAAAGTCGTTCAAAATTATCATTAAGCAAAAGAGTTCAATTCTCCTTAAGTTTGTTGAAGCCTTTTCCATCAAGTGCCTAAAACCTGATTTGTGCATTCAGAAAGAAGCAGTTATCAGTCTTTCTTTGCAATGGTAACTGGATATTTTTCATCTGAATGCGAGAGGCTGAAAAGTTTTCATTGTGTATGATTATTATTGTTCGGAATTGTGTTTGATATTGCATATATATATATATATATGTATATATTATTAGTGTATGCGTATATTGATCGATTACATTTCGTTTAAAATGAACTCTGTGCAAGTATGTTAAAATTGTTTTTGTAGATACCTTTAATAATGTCTTTGCCCTGTAAGCAGCTGACGAGAAGGCAACGAAATAAAAGATGGTACCATTTTATTCTGCTAAAACTGTAGTTCTTGCTTTGTTCAAAACTCATAGAGTCGTATACGTCATTTATAAATTACACAATTCAAGGTGAGAATAAGCCAAAGTTTCCTTTGGAGACAGAAATATTCGTGATCTACTGGATAGTATAACTTACAGTCAAGAGAACAAGCAAAATGTTATGACTGCTGCAAGAATTTGAACTAATTCAGCTTTCTGGGCAGAGTATAACCCTCATGGGCATCCCTCCCCACCCATCCGGTGTTCAAGTCACCTTGATTTGCCTAGAAAGCAAACTACTTGTAGTAATCAATAGTATATACTCTCATGTTAATAACTCCTAAAATTTAGAATTTAAAGTCAGATAAATGAGAGCTATCCTTTAAAAATGTCAACCCTGGTTTGCTTCTAACCCAAACTTATACTTGTACTTGAATCTTAAACTAGAGAAATTGTTTTTTTTGGAAAATCTCTGAAGAAAGTCGACCACACAGCTATTTTACATTTATGAGAAGTTGCTAAAGCTCACTGCACAGCTCTGCACAGTAAACGCTGAAGATGTTGTCTAGAATTACGATAAAAGTAACAGAATTAAATAATTTATCTCAGATAACATAAGAAAAGCAGGAATAGTGTTGTTATTCAGACCGTGACCGAATAAATAATACTGTGGATTACATCCACAATATACAAACTATCACTCTAAATATCTTTAGAAAAATTCAGGGGATTTCTTAAAGTATTATTATTATTATTGTTTCCTTTAATTCCTAGAGGAACATAGGGCTTCAGCAGTGCGTCTCCATTGTGTTCGGTTCTCTGCTACAGTCTTCACCTGGCTCCAAGTCTGCCCACACGCTTTCATCTCCTCTTCACATGACCTCCTCCAAGTCACACCACCTTCGCACTGACGACCAACTCGCCGCTTCCCTTTCGGGTTCCACTCGAGCAATGGCTTGTCTAGTGATGTCACTTGATGATTTCCTCAGAGTATGGCCAGCCAATCCATCTCCATTTCTTCCTGCCTATTTGTTTCACAATCGGTTCCTGCTGTGTTGGTTTGCTCATTGCCAGAGATCCCTGTTGCTGATCTTTTCTGGCCGGCCATCTGAACTTGAGCGATGTATTGAGCGAAGACAACTGTTAATGAAGATCTGTAGTTTGTTTGAGATGCTCTTCATGATGCGCTGGCCAAGTCTCTCATCCGTATGGTGAGTAGCGCTGACCTCACGTTGGAGTTGAGAATCCGGATCTTATTTTTGATGCTGAGTGCTGTTGACCTCCACACAGACTTGAGAGTAGTGAAAGCTTGTCTTGCTTTTCCGATTCTTGCTTTGATATCCTCTTCAGTTCCATCCGCCTGTAGTTGAAACGATGCTTCCCATGTCGTTAGATAAAAGAGGTTGTTTCTTTCAGGTTCCTCCCATTTATGCTGGCTGATTGTTGTCTATTGTTGTTGTTGCTGTTGGCGGTGTTGGCCAGGAATCTTCATCACCTCTGTTTTCTCTATGTTTACCTGAAGTCCTATCTTTGGTGCTTTTTCTGTCAACTTGTTGCTTTTCGCTTGCATAAAAGAATGAAATAAAAGTAATATAAAATGTGAGCTTACCTGTTTGAAGAGTACTCTGCATCTACTGACTGGAATTGTTGCATATCACATTCTCTCCTTTGTTTAGAGCTGGAACTTAATGAACCTGTGAAGAGGAGGAGAAGAAGAAGAAGATAAAGACAAGGGAAATTATTATACATCGAAGCATTTTTATCCACTAGAAACAGTTTCCCTTAGTTTGTTTACGAAGTAAAACTTAGATGAAATATACATTTGAAAATTCCAAAACTGTTCATTGAATTGACATAAATAAATCTTAGATAGGTTAGACGATTTCATCATGAACTGACATTGATTAGAGAACCATTGGAAAACCTGCAAGGAGTACTGGACAGCTGTTTCGTCAACCCAGTTTTGGACTCTTCATCAGTATACACCGACCACTAGGGTTCGAACACAGAGGACCTTCTGGTGACAAGGCGAGCTCGCAGACCCAGTTGGTAAGTACTGATAAAGAGTCCCAAACTAAGCTGACGAAACGGCTGTCCAGTACTAATTGCTGGCTTTCCATTAGTTCTCTCACTGATGTTAGCTGATGATGAAATCCTCCAACCAATCAGACGAAATCCCTACAAAACCAATACCTGAGAATCCTAGATACTTAAAAATTATAACAAACTTACTTATAAGCAGTTAGAATTAGATATTTTGATTCAGACTTTTAAAATGTAGTGAACTACACCAAGTGATGACTTGATTCAATGTTTAGTTAAAAATTTCGTCTCAGTGTTGAATAGTCCTATGCTATAATAGAGGATATTTCAAAGACTGAAAGATTCGAATGATAATCAAGATGAAAACGCCTACCATCTGGATACTGGCTCCTTATAACAACCTAATTCAACAGCTGTACGACAACAGCACATGTCAAGTGTTCCACAACGGAAAACCCAGCGAGGCGTTTGGAGTAAACACAGGAGTCAGACAAGGGTGCTTATTATCACCAATGATATTCCTAATTGTGGTGGGCTGGATTATGCGTCAGACAGTGGGAAACGAGAAGACAGGGATATCCTGGACCGAAGTGAAGAACCTAGAAGACCTGGATTTCGGACGTGGATGATTTATGTTTGCTGTCACACAAAATCGAATACTTACAAGCGAAAACTGGCAAACTGGTCGAAGAAGCAGCAAAGACAGCACTCCAGGTGAACATAGACAAGACGGAGGTCATGAAAATAACCAACCAACCAACCAACCAACAACAACAACAACAACAGCATCCAGCGCCAATCACCATCAACGGGAGGGATTTGAAAGAGGTTACTTCATTCACTTATCTAGGGAGCATTGTCTCAACTACACGAGGAACGGACGAGGATGTCAAATCGAGAATCGGGAAGGCGAGAAACACATTCATCAACCTGAAACCAATCTGGAAATCTTCCTCACTCAACTCAGCATCAACAACAAAATTCGGATTTTCAATACAAACGTCAAGTCAGTTCTTCTATACGGATCAGAAACTTGGCGGCGGGTCACAAAGAATATTCCCAACAGCCTGTTGCAGACCTTTATCAACAACTGTCTTCGTTCTATACTCAAGATCAGATGGCCGGAAAGAATCACCAACAAGAAACTATGGGAACAAACAGAACAAGAACCAATTACTCAACAAACATGCAGGAGAAGGTGGAGATGGACTGGGGACTCGCTGAGGAGGCCGCTGGGTGATATTGCACGTCAGGCCATAGCTCGAGTGGAACCCGAAAGGGAAGCGGCGAGTAGGATGTCCAAGGGTGACATGGAAGAGATCGTGTGAAGAGGAATTGAAACAGTATGGATTAACATGGATGCAGGTGCAAAGTACAACAGAAGACGGAAACAGGTGGAGACGTGTATTTGAAGCCCTATGTTCCACTAGGAACCCAAGGGAACAATAATAATATAACAAGTCAAATGACAATCAGTTAATATCGGATTTAAGTTTATTAGTTTAGCCTTTTTTAAATTTTTGTTTAACCCTGTTTCTAACTCTAACCCTGAATTTCACAATATTCTTCAGCAGAACCTAATTAGGGAATTTTGGGAAATTTGAAAGTAACATGGGGATTACGATAAAATTCTTTGAGCATTTGGAATAATTTTGAGTGTTTTGTCGTAAATTTTGAGTATTCAGGGTAATTTAGGGGTTTTAGGGCATTTATGATTACAATTCCCTTAAGTTCCAGGTTGGAACACACATATGGCCTCAGTAATACATCTCTGTTGCATTCTGTTCTCTTCAGTCGTCCTTAGCTAGAGCTTTCATCTCCTCTTCACACACGACCTCCTCCATGTCACCGGCGAATCATCAACTCATTGTTCCCCATTCGAGTTTCACTCGAGAGCATGGCAAGTGATGTTTTAATTAACGATCACTTCAGGGTGTGTCTACTCCATCTGCATTTTCTTCCATTTCCTTAAAAATTTTCCTCGCAAATTTTGTATATGGGCTAGAATAGCAGACAGTGAAACCAGTTACTTTCTCGCATACTTTATTAAATCCAATTGAACCCATATTTAAATGGCTCCTATTCTAATACTTTCTGCCTTAATCAATTTTCAATTAAATGATCTTTTTCTTCAAAATCAAAACAATGAACAAGTTGTTTGAGTAGTCTAATTTATAAAATCGTAGCCACTAAGAACATTTTTAAAAAGAAACACAATACTTATGACTACTCTCCAAACATATTGGCAGTAATTTCAGATAGACTGTTGTTCACTTCAATTTACCACAAACAATGTTGGTGTTGTCGTTTTTTTCTGCATGTCTTTTTGTTCAAATCAAATTTGACATTTTTCTTTTTTGACTATTGATACTTTGAATAATTCCACTTTAGGTAGAGAACAGCAAACAACCACCTAGAGTACTACTACTACTGCAAATACCTTAAACTCAAGTCAAAAACAAACAATCAAAACAAATTTGTATAATATGGGAGAAAGAGAAATTGTCTACTGTTGTGTGTTTTTTTCTTTTCCAATGAAATTGACAGTTATACTGACCTGTGTTTTTTGTTTCCACACTCAAAACTAAGCATTCAACAACAACAACAAACTAAATACCCCATCTTATATTATTAACAATTGATCATGAGTGTAAAGGAGAGAATTTCTAGGCCGTAAATTTTATTTCTTTGGATTTGTACAACACATTAGATCTGTTCAATTTTTTAACTGTGTTTTGTTTTGAAAATTAAAGTTTTCGGAGTTCAGTTGATAGAGAAGAAATACACGACTCTGAATTCCTTGAGTTCACATGTTCTACTGAAACCCGGTCGCTCCCCAACCCCACCCTACCCTACCCCGGCCTCCTTAAACAAACTTTTATTCCAACTAAAAGGAAACATAACGTCCACTTTTTGTTTGAGTTTAAAAAAATCAATCCTTGGTAAACATGTTTTGCTATTTTTCTTGTTTTGTATTTTGTGGGAATAGGTATTTGCATGCTTTTTTTCACAAAAAAAAAAATAGTAATTGAGGAGATCTCAAATGATCCTTGATCTAATGAAGACATTCAAAACATGTCTCCATTCATGCACATTGTTTTTGTAACGGATCTAGCTGACCACGAGTAAAAATCAAAGTGTATTTTTGTTCAAGGATTCAGTTGATTTGTAAAAATTTCTTTTTGTAATGTATTGAATTGACTGTTTTAAGGACTCATGTCTGGCGACAACAAGTCTGTACTGAGCAATATTAAAGGTAGACAGTTAGTTAGTTGACTAATGTCCAATAAATCATTCTTATATGTCATATAGTCATATAAAGAAATAGGCATAGTATTCATGAGTAGTACACTAGACCAATGACAAAATCATGCAGACAAATGCCTTAATATCAAATGAAGTTTTATTGACTTTCAAAATGTTCCTGTTGATTGGAGATAGTAGGCAGTGAAGTTATAATCATGACTCCTAATTCTTTGTTGGAGATCCTTAGTGGGACCGTGGGGTGTGCACTGGTGATGGGTCCAGAACAAGAACGAAACAGCTGCTCAGTACTACTCTATGGTGGTTCTTTAACTGAAGTCGTTTCGTGACCAGTCTTCAAATTAACACTTGAAAACGAATCTAGTGCTTACCAGGGACTCACTAACTGACTATAGAATGAAGTTGTCTGACGTCTTAGTAGGATGTCATGACCAGCGAAGTTCACTGAGTTGGGCATGAGGATAAGTACCCACCGATGGTATTAGCTGGAGGTCGCGGTATATAGCACGAAATGAGAGAAGTTAGAATTGATAAGCCACTGGATTCCATCCAAATCGGTGGCTGAACAGTCAATGAGGTCTTCGTGTAACCTAAAGGTCTTGGGTCCGACCCCGTGTGAATTTTTCGGATTCGTACTGATGCAAAGTCACAAATAAGCACAAAACAGCTGTCTGGTACTTCTTTCTGGTTTTCGATGGTTCTCTAACTAAAGTCATTTCACTACCAACCTTGAAATCAGTCGAATCTCTATAAGCCAATACTTGACAATATTTAATGGGTTTTAAACAAATGGAGCAAACTAATGATTGATTTTCAAGTATTGATTTGTAGGGATTTGGTTGATTGGTTACAGGATTTCATCATGAGCTGATATTGGTTAGAGAACCATCGGGAAACCTGCAAGCAGTACTGGACGGCTATTTCGCCTTGGTTTGGTACTCTTCATCAGTACGCACCCACCGGGGTTCGAACCCAGGACCTTCTGGTTACAAGGCGAGCTCGTATACCATTAAGCCACTGGGACCCGATCCAATGGCCCATGAGTTCTAGCTTCTGCCAATTCACGATATGGCGTAACCGCTAGCCAATGTCTTTGGCAAGTATTTGTCCTCACGCCCGACCTGCTGCATCCTACTGGTCACGACTTCCCACTGGAACCCCAGGTAACTACCTACCTGAATAGGGCAAGTCGCTAGTGAGCATCTCATTGATATTCAAGTATTGGTTTGTAGGGATTTGGTTGATTGGTTACAACATTGACTGATTACTCAGTGAAACGACATAAGGAAATAAAAAAGGAGGACAGTGTTTTTTCTCTGTGTTGAAGTTGCCTGTCACAAAATTCAGTTAGCTATTGCATAAGCAGGTAAATTGCTTATCATCACATAACATGATTGTGTCCTGGATGGAAAAACACAAATCACTGAATATAATTCGTCATTGGGTGGAAAAAAGTTTTAAAATAGTCTTAAAATCAAAAGAAAACATCTATTCAGTCAATCCATCGTCATCCTTAACTTTCAAACTCTTAACCACGTTGTGTTGAAAACAATAATTTATGCATAACTTTCAACAACTTCAACACACTAAACGTTACACAATAAGAATATGGTAACTTACTTAACGATCTGAATTTAATATCGGCTACTTTTCTAGACAGTTTCTTCTTTCCAATCATCGTCAGACTTTTTCTTCTTTTAGCCAAGATATAGCGTACTGAAAAGGTTTTCTGTATAAAATTCAGCAAAGAAGAAATAATCCAGGTTAAATAAAAGTGTAGAATGATCTTCATTAGAATTGAAGACATATTTCATGCGTATATTGAAAACTGAACACTAATGAACTAGTGCTACTCTATTCTAGAAGTTTGTTAATCATATCACTCTCCATGATCAGGCCTGAGGGTCTCTGAAGATAATGAAATGAATAGTGTTGGCTTTTCTCTATTAAATGAAATGTTAACGGATGAAAATTTCTTCAGTCTAATTGATAACTGGAGATGAAGTGAAAATCGACTTCATGAAAGAATTCAACCCAGAGGCCTGCGGCACTGTACCGCCAAGTGAGCTAAAAGAACGAAATGTTAACCAGGCCACCATTTTGTTACACTCATACAATCAGCTATCATTTGAATGAATAGTGTCTTACAGTCTGTTTGTTATCACAGTAGCTGTCAGACTAAGTTCTCTGTTGTCAGTCTTAGGACAGAAGTAGATTGTTAATTTGATAGTGAGGTTTTCTGTGTCTTGGTAGTCTCGGTTATCTCAGATAGTTCGTATCACTTGTAGATTACCATACAGAAAGAGGTTTAACCAACATCAGGTTGGAGAGCATTAAAATTGATTGAAATATTTCCAATTTATACTATGATTAATTTTTAATAAAACGCATCTGTTGACTGTATTACTACTATATATTCCTATGCGTTCCCAGCGGAACATCGGGCTTTAAGCATCAGCTACGAAGTTCCAATACGGGTTAGACTGTCAGCTTTACGCCCATCCCTGCGTCTTCACTGGGCTTACAACCGGCTTAGCGAGGTTTATAGGTGTGGCGGCTGGGAATCGAACTTCAGACCATGTGAGTGGTTGGCGAGTATTCTACCATTGCACCATTATAATTAATCTGTACTATTTGGTTTTACATTAATTTGCATTTCCTGTTGATTGATTATATTTGAGCAAAATGCTCAGTCTCTGCGAACATATCGGCTTCTATTACGAACACTTCAACGATGTCTAGGGATTAACTAGGAATAGAATCTAGGATTCCAGGACTCATCATTGCGTGCACCTGCATTCCCAGAGAGTGGTGGTCAGTGAGTCGTAGTGTGATCACCACTCGCTTGGAATGTACATTCATCCAGATGATAAGTCTCATATAGGACGAAATGCACATCCTGAATATCACTGCTAATCAACGTCAACCAAAATATGTTAATCTGCAGTTGATACATAGTAGTTGTATTATTTTTACTATTCCTTTCGGGTTCTGAGTAGAACATAGGGGGCTTCAACAGCACGTCTTTATTTTGTCTTGTTTTCTGAGGTCGCCTTAAGCCGGCCCCACGATTACCCGTAGTCTCTTATCGCCTCCTTATACGATCTTCACCATGTCACCCTAGGGTGACCCACTGGTCGTTTTCCACTGGTATTCCACTCGAGCAATGGCCTGAATTCAGCATGATGTTAACCGACGGTCTCTTCAGCGAATGCCCAATCCATCTCCATTTTCTTCTGCATAATTGTTGAGTGATCGTCTCTTGGTTGGTTTGTTCCCAGCCAGAGTTTCTTGTTGATAATTCTGATCTTCAATATGCAGCCAGAGAAGGCAGTTTTTGCTAAAAGTATGCTGTAGCCTGTTAGAAATGCTTTCCGTGACACTCTGGCCAAGTTTCTGACCCATATATACTTGACATTTGTGTTGAAAATCCGAATTTTGTTCTTTATACTTATGCAGAGCGCAGAAGATTTTCAAACTGATTTGAATTTGATGAAGGCGTATCTTGCCTTTCCGATTCTAGCTGGCTTTGACATCCTCATTCGTGCCATCACCTGTAGTTGAGACGATGCTTGCTAGATAAGCGAAGAAAGCAACATCTTTCAAATTTTTGTTTTCCTCTGATCGTGATTGGTGCTGGATGTTCTTTTCGCGTGCCTGGGTATCTTCATCACCTCCATCTTCTCTATGCTCACTTGAAGTCCTGTCTATGATACATAGAAGTATAAACTGTATTTTAAAAATAGACATTAGCGACTCTCAGAATGAAGAAAATGTAAAGGCATAAATTCTGACTTAGATATGTAAAAATAATTTCATAAGTGTACCTTTTAAGAATAGTTTAAACTAGGCTATAAGTTTGTGTTTTCCACAAAGAAGCAGTATTCTTTCGCGTTTATAAAATATGATTGTATGTAAACACCAATGTTGCGAAATTTCCTGTCATATGAGAGGACGCTAATATATATTAGAAACAAAACTCTTTCTGAAATCGTTTAGCTTTGATAATTCTCATGTTACCGAACATAATTAGACCTTGTTTCCTAACTAATCTCACTTATATAATAGTCTTGATTACAAATTCTTTAATTCCTAAGTATCACAGAACAGCAGAATCACATTTAAGTATTGGTTTTGTAGGGATTTGATTTGATTGGTTGCAGGATTTCATCATGAGATGACATCGATTGGAGAACCATTGGAAAACCTACAAGGAGTGTTGGGCAGCTGTTTCCTCCCAATTTGGGACTCTTCAACAGTACGCACACACCAGTATCAGCTAACGATGAAATCCCGTAACCACTCATATCAAATCCCTGCTAACCAACACTTGAATGTCAATCTGATGCTCACTAGCGACTGGGCGTTAGCTGGTAGTGACTGACCCTGGGTTCTAGTGAGAAGTCGTGACCGGCAGGTCGGGTGTGAGGACAAACACTCTCCGGAGATGACATTAGCTAGCGCCAGTTGCGCTATACCGTGAATTAGCAGAAGTAAGAATTCATGGGCTGGCTACTGAGTTGGGTCCCAGTGGCTTGCTTTGTAACCGGAAGGTCCTGGGTTCGAACCCTGACGGTGGAAGCGTCCTTCTGAAGCTTCCCAAACTCGGAAGAAACAATTGTCTAGTCTAGTACTCCATGCAGGTTTTCCACTGGTTCTCTAACCGATGTCAGCTTATGATGAAATCCTGAAAAATAAACACATTTGTCATCTTACAAAAGTCTATAGACCTAGAAGATATTCAATTGCCTATTCATTAGATTACTTATTATTCGTCACCATTATGCCTAGAAATAATCTAAATGTCACTTCCTATTATTCTTGTTAATAAACATTAGAAACTTTGCATAGTTTAGAAGTATAGAAACATACCAAAGATCTCACTTTCTTTATGCGTGATTTTTGTCGTTCATGTTTATTTGTCCCAGTGAAAAATTTAGGTCGTATAACTTGTAAGTTGCTATTGTTGCTATTATTACTATTACCATTATTATTATTCTGTACATTTGGATTAGGTGATGAAGAAACAACAACATATTCTCCAGAACTGGCAGTATAAAGACTTCCATCAAATCTTCTGTCCACTTGATTGTCCATCTCATGTGATGGGATTTCACAAATAGTAATTCTAGGTGATTCTGAAGTATACTTTGAAAAGTTTCCAATCGTATCAACTGGATCATTCGCTCCTCCTCCTCCTGCTGCTGCTGCTGACGATGATGATGTTGATGTTGAAAGTGATGACATCATCGTGACTGAAGTGAAATCGTTATTCATTGTATTATTTACAGGTAAAAATGAAGGCAGTAGACTAGCAATAATTGTTCGTGGATCTACACTACTTGTATAAGCTGAATTGTTTAATGCACCATTTTTACTTAAGCTCAACCAATAATTTGAAAAGAATTGAAGAAATTCAGATGTAGAGCTGCCTTTATTATTATATGTTGACCAACTAGAAGATTCTAATGTTTTATTACTAACATTATCATCAATATGATGTTGTTCTTGGTGTTTTGTAAAACAGGTTGACCAGTCGGTGAAATTCTTATTTTCTGTATACAAAGAAGTTGATGATCCCATCTCCATCTCCTCAGAGTGGTTGTCTCTTTTCTGTTCATGTAAATCATATGCTGATAAAGTTGATTTTGTTTGTTCTAATTTAATCGGTTCATTTATTATAAAAGTTGGTATAATATGAGATAGATTATTCATACATGATTTTATATCAATGACATCAATGTGTTTATCATTTGGATAAACAGCTGAAGTAGATAAATTCATCAAAGGTGTATAATCATGCCGTATTTTTAGCATTTCATTATGACTTGATTGAGTTGTAGTCAACTTTTGTGATGTATTGATTCTAGAAGTGTTAAAATCTAATTGTTGTTTTATTGATGAAGAGGAGGAGGAGTTTTGATGACAGCATGCATCGTTAACTCCACTCTGATATACTGAAGTGAGTTTAGGATAAATATTTGTTGAAGATGATGAAGTCGACTGTAGACTAGTAGAAGATTGAAACCAATTAGGTAACAGTATTGGCTGTTGTTGTTGTTGTTGTTGGTAGTGGTGGTGGTGTTGTTGATGTGATGTGTGATGTGATACTAATTGTGGAGCTGCTGATGATGACGGTGATGAGGATGATGTTGATATTGATGGAGCAGCAGTACTTATAGGTGTAAAAGAGTTTGTGGCTGTTGTTTTCACTTGATGAGATGTACGTATATGTCGACTTAAATTACCATTAGTTGTAAAGGCTTTATCACACAGATTGCAGTTAAATGGACGATGGTCTAAATTAGAAAAATTTTTAAAAAAAAACACCATGAGATAGTGAATCTTAGTGTTAATCGTCATGTAAATAATCCGTAATATTTTATCTTTATATGTGCGTCGGTGGCATAGTGGTTAGGACGCTCGCCGACCATGCACATGGTCCGGAGTTCAATCCCTGGCCGACGCACTCCTCTACCTCGCTAAGCCAGTAATAATGCTGGTGAAGAGGAAAGGTTTGGCATGAGGCTAGCAACCCCATCCTGTAAAATAAACACTGCTACAGAAACTTCAAGCCACTAGCTTGAAGCCCTATGTTCCACTGGGGAACGTGAAGGGAAAAAAATATGTAAAATGTTTAACTGTATTTTATAAAATGAGAGTCTATAGGTTACAGTGTATTCCGACTATATTTTACCATATTTGTGGTGGCCGGAAAATATCAAATTATTTATACGTTCACCGTAAAATAGTAAAAATAATGAATTCACAGAAAATCATGGTTGTTACGTGAGATTGAACAAGGACACTACCTAGTTCCACGCACAATATGGACGATACTTCTTCTTCTCTCTCCAGCTCCTCCATTTCCTCATCTGCCAACCAACTCTGCCTCATATCTGATCAGTACATCCACATTAGGATCCTTCACTCCAATCTACTTTTCTCTCCGCAAGTGTCCTCCGGCGGTTGGCATCTCTTACGTGTAGTGAGCATCCGTTATACCCAAGAAGGGAACTATTTCATCCCTACCATTCTGTAGTACGTCTATATGTGAGTATTTTGGGATAATTATAACTTTTCAAATAACTGCATTTTATGTGTATGATTAATTTATGTGAACTGAATATCCATTTCTAGCTTTCTGTTGTCTCAGTTAGAGATTCTACAGTCAGAATATTTGTAGCCAAGGTCTCACAACATAAAAAAGTGGATGAATCACTCATATGGTATGCACATATATATTGTTGATCCCCTCAAACGCGTAAAGGATCATAAATGTGAACTGAAACTTGGATATATATTTATTCTTACATATTTGATCAACTTCGTGTTGTATATATATGTATACCACTAGTCAATATCCCGTTAACATTCTCACGTGATTATGACTTCTTATATGCTTCAGTTTCAAATATAACCACCACCTTACGTTTAATTCAAGTGAAGGTAAACGTTAAAGTTGCTAGGCCATACACCAACAACAGTAGAATAAGTATGCTCATCAATCATACTAGTTTACTCACATAATCCAAAGTTATTTTGAATTAAACTTAGCAACATACAGTTTATACTGTCAGGACTTTGATTCTGGTATACCCTACATATGAGTCATCATTGTGTGATTAAAATAATAAGATGAGATGTATGTATTGAAGTGCAGCCTGATATTCTAATTCACTGTTTTCGTTTTGCTCTATTTCTACACTTAGTATACAGAGGTTGAGGTATCACTTTAGTTAGTATTAAATTCAATTCGCTTATTTTGATTTCTATTGGACTGATATGTTTAGTCTCTGTTGTCATGTCAGCTCTAAGTACAAATAATAGTTTGAAGATATCTGAAGGCTTTTTTTTTATTCCTTCACGTTCCCAATGGAACATAGGGCTTCAAGCTACAGGCTTGAAGTCTCTGTAGCAGTGTTTATTTTTACAGGATGGGGTTGCTAGCCTCATGCCTAACCTTCCCTCTCTACCAGCTTTTTATTACTGGCTTAGCGAGGTTTGGTAGTGCGTCAGCCGGGGACCGAACCCCGGACCATGTACATGGTCGGTGAGTATCCTAGCCGCTGTACCACCGACGCACTATCTGAAGGCTGACTTGATGTTATTTCGCTTTGATGACCAAGTGGTCCAGACGATGACGCTTTGGTATTTGAAACGATAGTTCCTACATTTGAGTCTCAGCGGGAACACCATAGTAGTACTTCTAGGCTGACGAGTCCCGAATAGCATTGAAACATGAGTCCTAGAGACTCCACTACTAATTACTTACTACCAACTAAAACACGCACTTATATATTTAGTCTAACTAGAATATAGTTAACAAAACTGATAAAATATATTCACATAAAATATATATACTACTGATTGACTGAGATGAGTAGTTACATACTACGACCCACATCAACCAGTAGTACTCGCTGGCTAGATCGAGGTGATCCAGGTGAACGGAGAGACGTTTCTGTCCTTTGAGGCCAAACTCATCAATTCAGACAGCCGAATCAGTTCAAATCACCCGATTTTCGACTAGCTACCTGAGATATCACGTAACACCATAAATTAAATTCACAATATATATATATATATATATATATATATATATATATATTTACGAGTTTGACCACGGATCGATATCAGTTAGAAAAACCATTTGAAAACCACCAGGGAGTACTGGACAGCTATTTCATCCTGATGCTCGCTAATAACTTGTTACAGGACGGAGTTTTCTGGAGTTCTAGTCAGAAGTCGTGACCAGAGAGGTCTAACCAGTCAAGTGTGAGGATGGATTTCCCACCGTTCACATTGGTTGGTGCCAGTCGCGCTAAAATCACGAATTGGTAGAAGTTAGAATTCATGGACTGGCCATTGAATCGGGTGGATCCCAGTGTCTGAATGGTATACGAGCTTGCCTTGTAACCGGAAGATCATGGGTTCTAACCTTGGTGATGATTGCGTACTTCCAATGATTCCCAAACTAGTGGGATGAAACAGCTGTCCAGTACTCCCTGTGGTTGGTTTTCAATGGTTCTCTAACTGATATCAATCCGTGGTGAAACTCGTATAAACAAATTTAATCATTACAAACCAACTATAGAATATATATATATGCATTTTTAACCTACTTGTATGAGTTAATAAATGACGTTCAAGTGAACTATTTGAACTTAATTCACTGAAACAAAAACAGCAAACATGCTTATAATCGTCACGTTTAAAATTGCTTTGATGATCTTGTAAATGATTTGTTAAATGTCCACGACTAAATATTTCATCTTGTGAACATAATGGACAACGAAATACTTCAACATTACCACGAAGAGCATAAGGTTGTATCTAAAATTTTAAAAAATTTGAGGGAGAAAAATAAAACAACAATATAATACTAATAATATGTATAAATGTGGTATATGTCTTTCAGTTACCTAGTCAGCGTCATTTCAACCTACACGCAGGACAGATGAGGATGGGACAGTCAACCGGGATTGGAAAAGTAAGACAAACCTTTAATTACTCTGAAAGCAATGTCGGATTTTCAACACTAACGTCAAGTTAGCCAGGGCTTCTATGGGGTTTAGAGACTTCGTCCAAGCATCACAAAAAGCGTTTCCAGACTTTGATTTAACAGCTCGCTTCGCTTCATTGCTGTAGATCAGACTATCGGTCATAAGGGATTAGCAACAACGAACTCCGGTGACGAAACCAGCCAAGAATTTATCGCCCAACAAATATGCCGAAGGAAATGGATGGATTGGACATACACTGAGGAGACAATTGAGTGACAGAACTCACTTGCGGTTATTTCTCTCGATGGAGTATAGAATTAAAGTTGGTCTCTCACTATCTATTCATTATCCAATTCATATATATAGCGACAGAAGGCAAGGGCCAGGCAGTAGATAGTTTATTGAGAAAATTAAGAGATATTTGTAGATTTTTATGTACATTATTGTCAGCGAAGAAGCAATGTCTTCTAACTGGTTGTTTTCTTGCTGAAGGTTATTCTGTACTGCTTGTAACCGTTTCTCAGAAAGTTAAGCTATATATCTGCGAATCCTATTTGCACTATAATCTCCCGATGTATCGCATTCAAATGACAATAGGTTAGATCAAATGGTTGATATTGGATTCGAGGTAGTGTAGTGTTTTGTTTTGTTTTGTTTTCCAATTCGTATCGCGTCATTGCTAAACTTTCAAAATCTCTACTTAATGGAGATTGTCAAGGACGAATGAATGAATGAATGCACAAAGACAGTTTCAAGCAATCAGCATATATCCATAATACACTACACATAATCAACTCTAGGAAAGAAATTAAATTAATTAATTAATTAAAATTCCCAATCAACTTACTTTTACATCTGCTCTATTTCTTCGATTCATAGACTCTGAACTCAAGTTCAGCTCATTATCAGACGGTGATTCATCTAGATTTAATTCATCTTGTTGTTGATTATTCATAACACCGACTGAATTCATCACAGGAGTATTCCAGTTTCTTTTATGTTCTACAGTTTGTTTTATTACTGGAGTCTGATTTTCTTCAGAATAATAAATCAGCCCAACATTTTGTTGTTCATTTGACTGAGTACTGCTACTGTTATCATTATTATTATTTGTAGTAGTAGTAGTAATATTAATAACAGGATTAGCATTATTGATAGCAGTGGTAGTCGTAGTAGTAGTACTAATAGTATTAATGGATGTATAGTAATCATCAATCATAGGTTGTAAACTCTGGTCAGTTTTATTCGACATAACAGGTATAGCTTGAACTTCATTTGAACGATCTAAACTGTCTATATTGATTGGACTTATTGTATTTGTACTACTAGCATTTGTAGTTGGTGTACTATCACTATCCATTGTATGTACAGGTGTAGATGTTGAATGTTTTACACTAATCAAACTAGTTTCATCCGTTAAACTTATACAACCACTATCTCCAAACGGTAGAACTGTTGTTGGAAGGGATTGTTTACTACAGTTTAACAAAGACTGAGCAGTGTGATATTGATTGACAATATGTTGAGATATTGATTGATCATTTATTAGATTGCTGACAGTATTCTTTATGTCAATATTGGAAATATACTCTGTAGTATCTTCATAATTCCATTTAGTTACTGGTGGTAAACTTGGTAGATTCTGTAATTTTGTTAAGTGTTGAAGACGAAAAAAAAAGAGAAAGTTAAGTATGAATACTTAGTTAGTTAAGAAATTAATTATTTATGCTACTTATAATCAGATATAAGTAGTATATCAATAAACGAATTCAGAAAAGTAACAATATGTTTTGGGACACTGGAAAAAGCAATCGAAGAAGAGAAGAAACTGTGAGAAGAACGTTACAATGCTGTGCAGAATCTAACAATCTATCGAATGTGCTGACATTCGATCAATTTGCAAATGATGCGGAAATAAAGACTTAAAGATACCAAAGTATACTAAATTTATGTACCTATACTGCGTCTGTCCTAACATAAACATTGTCTTAGATTCTCAACGGTTCACTATTTGAATATTCCGTGTTAAAATATGCCGAAATAATTCAGATTTAACAGCGTACAAATATTTCTATAGACAAGAAATTTGGACAAAGTGTATGGTTCTTTGAGTATTTCCTAATAGGCATTGATAAATGAAAACTTTGGTGATATGTTCATTGGAAAAACATCTTGACTGCGGTTGTCTGTAAATACAAATGTCTTATTTCATTGGTAAACTCAATTTTTCTTTACGAGTTTGCCCATGGATTGTTATCAGTTAGAGAAGCATTTGAAAACCAGCCACAGGGAGTACTGGACAGCTGTTTCATCCCACTAGTTTGGGAATCATTGGAAGTACGCAGTCATCACCAAGGTTAGAACCCATGACCTTCTGGTTTCAAGGCAAGCTCGTATACCATTCAGACACTGGGATCCACCCGATTCAATGGCCAGTCCATGAATTCTAACTTCTACCAATTCGTGATTTAGCGCGACTGGCACCAACCAATGTGAACGGTGGGAAATCCATTCTCACACTCTCTCAAATTAAAAGTTATAGCACGTACTCATACGATCACTCCTGAGACTAGTAAATACATTTTGGCACAATTTTTATACGAACCTAACTAGTAAGTCAAAAGATTTAAATGATGAAATCAAACAAATAAAGGTAATATTAATAGTGATTAACTACCTACCAGGTTTCATTCAAAAATATATCAAGACTCATAAAGAAAATGAGAGTAGTAGTGGAAAATAGAGAAATAATATAAACAATAAGGAATCAAAAGTCTCGGTAATATTGCCATATAAAGAAGGAACATCAGAAGCCCTACCTAGGAATCTCAATAAGTCTGGAATTAGAGTGTCATTTAAATCAATAAATCCACTTAGGAACAAACTTTGTAAGTTTAAAGACTTAATAGATCTAATTACTTCCTACGATTTGATCACGGAATGATATCAGTTAGAGAACCATTGAAAACCACCAGGGAGAACTGGACATCTGTTTCATTCTAGTTTTGGAATCACTGGCAGTACGCAACCACTGGGGTTCGAATTGGCAGAAGTTAGAATTCATGGGACGGCCATCGAATCTGGTCCCAGTGGCTCATTGGTATACGAGCTTGCCTTGTAACCGGAAGGTCATCGGTTAGAACCCTGGTGGTGGGTGTGTACTCCAAATGATTCCCGAACTAGGATGTAACAGCTCTCCAATACTCTTTGCAGGTTGTCCAGTGATTCTCTAACTGATGCCAGCTCATGATGAAACCCTCCAACCTATCTCAGTAAACTTTAAAGAAATCGTACATCTTTATTGTTTAACTACTGGACAACTTTTGTAAATTAATACTGATTGTATCAAGACTTTACAAAAGCTGAATGTTTTGCCTTCATTTACCGTATTTATTGGTTGAAATGTAGTCAGCTTCAACTTCACTAATGAGTAAGTTCACTGCATCTGATGGTGTAGCTACTGTTTAGTTCTCAACGCCAAATGAATTCTATCACTCATATTTACAATGTTGTCAGCAAGACAGGTGATTCACCATTGTAATGAATTTTGAATTAATGTTAAGTGATTGGATGCTAATTCATTAAGAAGTCATACACTTAGATTTCTGTATGACATAATTAACAATCCCCAAGGGATTTTCAATACAAACGTCGTCAGTCAGTTCTTCTATACGGATCAGAAACTTGGCGGGTCACCAAGAATATTTCCAACAGGTGGCAGACATTTATCAACAACTAACTTTCTTCGCTCTATACTCAAGATCAGATGGCCGGAAAAAATCACCAACAAGAAACTATGGGAACAAACAAACAAAACAAGAACCAACCGCCCAACAAATATGCAGGCGAAAGTGGAGATGGATTGGACACTCGCTGAGGAGGCCGTTGGGTGACATCGCGCGTCAGGCCAGTGCTCGAGTGGAACCCTGGAGGGAAGCGGCGAGTGGTGGGACGTCGAAAGGTGACATGGAGGAGATTGTGTGAAGAGGAGTTGAAACAGTATGGACTAACATGGATGGAGGTGAAAAGTACAACAGAAGACAGAAACTAGTGGAGACGTGCAGTTGAAGCCCTATGTTCCACTAGGAACCCAAGGAAACAATAATAATAATAAGAGAAAATCAATTAATTTCTGTGAACCTGAAGATTTACTCGACTGACAAGTGTTAATACCGAAGCCCAGGACTTCAACCATTTACCATATTTTAAAATATAAATTAAATTTTTTTATTACAAGCGTTAAGTACTTACCGAATCTATGCTTAACGAATCTCGAAAATCGATACAATTTTCTGAACTTGTATGAAAATTAGCTGGTAGTACTAATGTTGACATAGAATTCTTGAACATGATATCGAAGTAACTTGACGGTGTTGATGATGTTATTGATGGATGTGATGCTGCTGATGACGATGATGATAAAGTTAAATTCGACTGGAAATGTAATCCCAACTCGAGAAAATCTTAATTTTTAAAAAAGAATGGAAGAATAATGATGCAAAATAAGTATTGTAATATGTTCGGTGATAACCAAGTTTGAAGACTTCAATTTTGTATACACTTTGTATTTATATATATAGATGTAGTATATTCCGTAGGAGAACAAATAAAAACTGAATAATTTGAGTTATACTCAACAATTTATATTTTAAACTGTTCTCTCCACCTCTTCCTCCTTTCCTTCTTCTATTTTCTTATGCAGAACGAATCAAAATGTGAAAAGATTTTGAGATGCGAACGTGTCGCCTACTTCTTGTGTTTAAGATGATAAACTATGTGTCTCGTGTGTGTGTTTGTGTGTGTGAGGAGAGTGAGAGAGTGAACACAAGTACTCCTTTAAGAAGAATAAGCTAACAAAACAAGTGGAAGAAGATGTGAAAAGACTGGGACATATTATGCTCCAATACAATTACTCTCTCCTCTCCTCTCCCCTCCTTCTGACTACTGCCTCCACCACCTTTCTCCATTTTGCTGTTCATTTTCTAAACGCAAAAATATTATAAGAGTAGTCTGTTACAACTAGACTCAATTGATAATAACCAATCAGGTGATGAAAAGACTACACAGTAGGGTCAGAGAATATCATATCCATCATTCCCATATGAACTTGAGGACAAAATGAAATAGAACAAAACTCCCTCCCCTTTTAAATTATTAGTAATCAACCCGTATTTAGTATATGATAATAATAATAATAATAGAATAAATACACTTAAAAGTGTATGCTCAAGTATCTTTTGATTACAAATATGATATCCATATTTAATTCAATTTTACAATTTTCCGTAGATTGATTCGACCAAAGTGCTCGGTCTCAGGTTGACATATCGGCTTCTGGAGCAGATGCTTCGACGATGTCTCGGCATGTAATTAGAAGTTAATTGGTGAGTAGTGACCAGCAGTGGAAACTAGGACAACAAGTATTTCGTCCTATTTGGGACTCGCCAGCTGGATGTATCTGCATTCCGCAGTGAGAGATGGTGTTCCCACCGAGGCTTGAACCCAATGCCCATAGTTTCAAACGCCAAAGCGTTATCCACTAGACCCCTTTGGACGAAATGCGCATCCTAGATTCCACTGCTAGTCACCATCCACCAATTAACTTCTAATTACTTGCCCAGACATCGTCGAAGCATCTGCACAAGAAGCCGACATGTCAACCTGAGACCGAGCACTTCGGTCCAATCAATCGACGGGAAAATCTAAGTAATTAATATAACTCGTTGCACAAGAGGTGGCTCTCGTAGCCCAACTGGTCTAGTGGATAATGCTTTGGCGTTTGAAACTACGGGGACTGGGTTCGAGCCTCGGTGGGAACACTATCACTCACTGACTAGGGAATGCAGGTACATCCAGGTGACGAGTCATTCCCAGATAGGACGAAATGCATGTTATCCTGGATTCCACTGTTAGTCACCATCCACTAATTAACTTCTAATTATATCCATAGTTAATAAACATTTATGATTACTTCCGTTAGGTATAATCATAATATAATGTAATCATTTTCTTATGGGAAAGACCATATTTTGTCACAAAGACCTGTCTGTTTATCAATTATCAATAACACGGAAAGGTACTGAATTTTTAATAAGGTGATCACGCAATATTCAACGGCTGATAATCGTGAAAGAATGTCAGTGCTAATTTTTGTCATTGTCAATCGGAAAAGATAAATTATAGGTGTTTATCACTAATACTTTTTTTTCTAAATTCGAACGAATTATTGGATCATGGGGTTTCGACTCAGTGTGAGATCTGTAGATTGAGTGTGTATCTCCAAAATTGGAATGTGCCAATCGCTTGAATAACGTAAACCAACTCAACACTGAAATTATAAATAGGATGTATAAAATACGTAAGATATATTTATGGTGTTGTGTTTCTTAAGCTGGATGGTTAAATTGCGAAGCTTTCATTGAAGAATTTCCCACTGTTCACTTCACACATTGAAGTTGGTGATAAAGACGCTTTTCAGTAGGATGATGAAAGATTCACGGTTAAATTATCCAGCTTAAAGAACACTCCAAGCATTCATTTGAGATAAAAAATCTTTTTCAACATTTCAAAAACTGTCATGAAAATATGCCTATAATGTGGTGGAATGTTATTCAACCGCATACGTGGTCCGTGTTCAACTCGTAGCTGAAGCAATCTTAAGTCTTGTCTGTAGTAAGCCCAATAAAGTGGAAAGATTTGACGTGAGTTTGGCTACCCAACCCTATAAAAGCAACAACAACAACATCAAGGATACTGAGACTTCAGTGTTCAAGTTTAAAGCCTTGTCTTCCATCCGGAACGCAAAGAACGGAGAAAAAATTTCAAAAACGTTATAATAATAATCTACTTTATTCCAAAAACAGTACTTATAATACAGAATGGAATCCTCAGCATTTGTCACAATATTGCATCTGATTTATTTAAAACATAAATTAAATTTAAAATTAAAACAAAATTAACCAGAGGAATTTGTCTACGTTTTCGATATAAAGTCAAAAATATTCGAAGTACGAATTGAGAATATTAAATATAATAATAATTTTTTTTCCTTCACGTTCCCCAGTGGAACATAGGGCTTCAAGCTAGTGGCTTGAAGTTTCTGTAGCAGTGTTTATTTTACAGGATGGGGTTGCTAGCCTCATGCCCAACCTTTCCTCTTCACCAGAATTATTTCTGGCTTAGCGAGGTGAAGGAGTGCGTCCTGTGGCCGGGGATCGAGCACCGGACCATGTGCATGGTGGGCAAGCGTCCTAACCGCTATGCCATCGACGCACCAAAAATAATAATAATAACAGTGATTTTGTTTCAAACAGTATTGTCGATTCAGTTTGGAAATTTTAACATGTTATAGATTATTGAATCTATGTTCTGTTAATATAGTATGGTGAGGGGAAATACAAAATTAACAGTTATAACACAGCCTAAACGATGTTCACACTTATGAAAAGATAAACAAATAAAAACAAAAATTTGAGAGGATTATAAATATGAGAAGTACAATAACAATAAAGCTTGATGTTATAAGGGTGGACGAAATGGTTTATTTAATAGTGCAAAGAAGGTCAGTTAGTTCATGCCTAACACTATTTTCATCACATAAAGTACGTGCCGAATATGGTATAGTGGAATTTTTATACTCAGACGTACGTGCATAAAGTCTTCTGGAAAGACTTCTTGTTTTACCTGAGGAGACACAAGGTTGGAGCTGCGGGTAGAGTGGGTGCTCACAGTCTGACATCAAGTGCCTATCAGTGACAATGTCAACGATATGGCTCAATGGTTTTCCACTCGTCCTACTGACAGTCTTCAGAGTTCTACGAAGTATAACATAGTCTTTTTTAAGCAATCCAGGAAAGAATAAGGGTGAACAGTAAAGAAAAATAGGTAAAATACATGAGTTAACAAACTGTTAGAGGAATGGTTTGGTTATGCCTGAGTGCCTTAACTTCTTAATGTAAAAAGTCAGACGAAATATTCTTTTAGAAATCGCTAAGATATCCTTATAAAATAAAATAAAGATTGGACTATTGATAAATAATTAATCTAAAAATCACTAGTTTACTGGAAGCTTTTTTGAATAAAATCAAAGTATAACAAAATATACAAATATCTATGAACTAATTCTTTGGAATTCGACTCACTAATACACATAACTGGCCAGTGTTGTTTAAATAGCCGTTTTTAACATTAGAGGAATTTGAAAAGTACAAAGAATACGGGGTACACTATTGCTGCCTGACTTTTAAAGGCTGGTCATCTTATATCCTATTCATAGTAAACAATAAAATTTCTGTGTATGCCAGTTATTGAAGACGAAGCTCATCTGAAGAACACCATGTAGTTGCGTAATACACATCGAACAATCTAATCATCACACATTTTATTGTTAAATCAATCATATAAATGAAAAATCAAAGGCTAATTAAAATAAACTATATGCGATAAGGGAATTAGTGGGTGGTGACTAGCATTTCGTCCTATTTGTGACTCGTCATCTGGACGTACCTGCAATCCTTAGTCAGTGAGTGATACTGTTCCTACCGAGGCTCTAACTCAGTACCCATAGTTTAAAATGTCATAGCATTATCCGCTAGACCATCACTCACTGAGAAATGCAGGTACGTCTAGCTGACGAGTCCCAAATAGGACGAAATGCGTGTTGTCTTCAATTTCACTGCTAGCCAACATCCACCAGTTGACTTCAAATTATATGACCAGACATCGTTGAAGCATCTGCACAAAGAGTCGACATGTCAACCTGAGACTGAGCACTTCGGTCGAATCAATCGATGGAAAATCTAAAATTGAATTGAATGTTAGATAAGGGATCTGAAAATAAGGTGTGGAGATAATTAGCACTAATTTTGGTAATATATAATCAGATAAGGTTGGTTAAGGGTAATAATAGATTACTTTTTTCTTGTATACACTAAGGAGGACTTCTAACATACTTCAAACCTTTTTATACTGAACTTAAGCAGGAAACCTAACGCTAAATCAAGTATTCCCTCTTAAATAAGTTTACAAATGATACCTCATGTACTGAGCATGGTTTTTTAATGGGTTACAAAAAGCAGTAGGCTTTGTGAAGTGGATTGAGACACAATACTATGCAAGCAGTGTGCAAAACGTATAACTTTCCCTGAAAACAATATTGACATGAGTCCTAATCATTTATACTATGTTAAACAGACAAAACAAAACCAACATTTGGAAATTAATCCACGGCTCACTAGTGACTGATTAAAGAATTAATTTGCTTGAAATTCCGGGTCCTGGGTTCGATCCTTAATGGCAGTGTCATGTGTGTGCACTGATGAAGAGTCCCAAACACGAACGAAACAGCTATCCTGTACCCCTTTCTATTTTTCAATGGTTGTCTAACTGAAATCAATTCATGTTCAAATTTAAAATCAACTAAACCTCTGCAAACTAACATTTGAAGACAAAATGGTGTTTTGAT